ATAAAAAACGTATAAAAAATACCTCGCGCAGTAGCCATTTCATTCATTCCTACCACAACACAACCCAGCCCAAAATTTAATTTGACATTTGTAGCAAAAATGTCACATCTTACGTATTCATCCAAATCGTAATTTGCAATCGGTGTCAGTCAAATCAGACTCGCGTCAATGTCACCATTTGACCCATTAAATTGACAAATTGGTCAAACCAGATACGTAATTCATTTATTACCAATAAGCAATCAATATCACTCACACCTCATTCAGAAAAGCTCAGTTTCCTTTTCTGTCAAATTCGTGTAGTACAACACCCAAGGACGCCATTAACTTACTTAATTTCCAATCCTACCTCTCTTCTTCTGCCCCAAACCAGACCAAAAAATGGGAAAAAAATCAGCAATAAATAATAAATTGGATCTTCAATCATCCCCAAATTGCTGGTTAAATTAGACTCAGATATTTAACAACAGAGAAAAAAAACTTTTAAAAAGTCAAGCCATGTCAGTCACTCATACCTAAATTCCTCCATTGCATTGTAATTAAACTCACATTTTACTTTACCTCTCTCGAGGCAAGGTTATGTCATCAAGATAACGAAAAAAATATAAAAATTGGTCCAATTTTACGTACAGCCAGCCCTAATTATTTTTTCTTGATTATTTATGGTACCTGCTGCCTGGCACGAATTATTGCGGCAGAGTTATTTACAACAAAACAAAGTCCTCGTCCAGTTTTTTATGTGAGATGTCGAAATACATAACTCTAAATATAAATAAATGTCCATTTATAAATAAAAAAACAAGTAAACATTTTCGGCTACTCCCAAGAATAACCCAAAAAAAGAACGAAGATGAAGATGAACGACACGCACGAAATCGTGATGTGCAGGGAAGGAAATCGAAAGTGTAGAGTTGGATTGGATTTCGATTTTGTGTTTTTTTTTGTGTGTGACCTATCCCCTTCGCGGGGGCAAATATTTAATAAGCTTTTTTTTCTTGGTGGTACTTAAAGTTGATGCAATTTAGGGGAGAAGAAGAGTTTTAAGATTTACGAGGTCTGCCATTTACTAGCAAAAGCAGGGGCCGCGGAAGTTTGGGGGGACATCTGGGGATAAAAACATGGGGATGGAGGGGTTTATATAACATGGGGAGATGATGGGGACATCGAATAACCGTGGGGACATTGTCCGCGGCCACTGTTCTTATGGGAGGGCAGGCAGGCTGGGAAGAAGAAGATAGTCTCATAATAAAACCAAGTGGCCATAAAATAGGCGAACGTTCCCATAAAACATGTCCCACAAAGGAGGGCATGTTCTGTTCTGCCATAATTTCGAGCCCCTCCTAACATGTAATGATTATCGGAATGTGCACGTAAACTTATGTAAATAAATGTGTACTTTATTTATCCATACTGTGGATTGCACTATATACGAAAAGTGTGCAAAATAAGAATTACATTATTTGCAATATGCAGTCTTCCGTCGGATGATAAATTCATTGTTTTTGCACATTGTGTAATCCACTCTAGCCTTTAGTTTACTGGGTCAAGAGGTAAATTTATCGAGAATCGTTCGTTAACCATTTTTCTATTAAGAAAATGATGATACATAAAGTTAATCAATTTCTTATTTTTTCAATTCGTCATCTCCAGAATGATAAGAAGGAACAAAGTGATGGGAAAAATGAGGCAAAATGAGACGACGATTGTATGTACCTCATTTCCGGTTGATTTCACTCCCTGATTTCTTAGAATTTTTATTTTTGATCACGATTGTAATCTGGGGTGAAAAAGAGCTGTATTCTTGTGCTTATCGAGTCTCGACGTGGTATTATCAATCACAATTTACTTACTCTAAATATACATAGGATTAGGATTTTTTCGCGATTTTTTTTTGCATTATGTACTCACTCACTCACTCACTTCCTCCCATTCTTATTCTGGGTTGTAAATAGATGTGCATTGACAGGTCTATGGCGATGGTGGGATTCTATTGTTGTTGGGATAAGAAAAAAGATGCAGCTCACGTCGGTCATGACATGACATGACGTAACACACAACATATTGTACCGACCGGCTCGTGAGTGTCATTCATTCCGCGAGTGGTTTACCTTTAATCCGCCGATGAAGAGAGAAAGCGACAAGTTTTGTACCCGAGCTTGATTAAGTTGTGAGATTACTGACAATTAGGATGGATGAATAATTTATGGGCTTTTTCGAGGGTTTAATTTTCAAAGGAAAGGTCCGATTTGTTTTAAAGTTACGCGAGTGCAAGTAAAATTATGCCGTATAGTTTAATTCAAATTTAATAGTGTGTAACGTGTGAGGTGAATAATCTTGTGTAAAATCGGATGATAATCTCAAATTATACAAAATGAGAACAAATTGCGTGCATAATTTTAAATATAACAAAATATGAAATTAAATCTGCCTTTTAAATGCAAAGTTTGAAAAATGTTTTCTTGAAATTTCCAAATTCAAGTTTAAGCAAAAAATGTGCACAGATTTATAATCCAATTTTACTTAAATGAAAAAAAATACAAGTATGAAATTAAGAACGACTTTTGCATGGAAAGGTTCCAAATTTTCCAAATTTTGTGAATTTTATATAAAAAAAAGTGCACACGTACCAATTTTCTTAGAACCCTGCCGCCTAACATAACATCCGGCAAGATAATTTCTTTAATGGGAGGATGATGGATTATCTAAAGAGTAATCTCGAGATGACGAGTTAAGCGCATCTCTCTCTTGCATTTTTTTCTCGTATAATTATCCGCAATCAATAATCCATTACAATCGATGACCCAACAACTCCATCCATCAATTTGTGTGTATCTGTCTCATCATTCATGTAATTGGGGGTCAATTTGCTGTACGTAATACAGCAAATTAAACGTTGCGTCAACAAAAAATAACAACTATGTAGCTAAAATAATAATGACCAGATACCTCTCGATTTGACTTATGAATAACTCCATCACACACAAACTCACTAAGAAAAACTATGAAATTTAAAGTGTTTTAAAGTCAAGAATCAACCGACGTGTATTTGTCCCAGACAAATGCGGACAAAATTCTTGAATCTATTGTTTCATAAACTACAAGAAAATTTATAAAATAATGAAAACGACACTAATTACGTACAAAAGCATATGTTCAATTTTAAATGCACGCAGATTTGACTTATGAATAACTCCATCACACAAATTCACTACAGAAAACTATGAATTTTAAAGTTTTAAAATTTTAAAACTATGAATTTTAAAGTGTTTTAAAGTCAAGAATCGACCGACGTGTACAAATTTGTCCCATACAATCAAGTGCCGACTGAAGAGTTTAAAACCTATTTTTTCATTACCTACAAGAAAATTCATAAAATAATGAAAACGACACTAATTACGTACAAACAAAAGTATATATTCAATTCTACTTAAACACCACAACTTGTAACCAATAATAATACTCACTCACACGGTTTGTTACGCAACAATTGCACATGTATTTCCTTACAAAACTTTATTTCCTCCGTTTTTGTCGCATCTTTTTTCTGATTTTGTGGCATCTTTTTCAAATAAAAGCATGAAAATAAACTATGTAGATAAATCTCGAGGTGACAAAAGGTGACATAATTCCTCAATTCATGCATAAATGCAGGCAAAACAAAGAAGACAAAGTTTATCCCCCACAAAAAAATGGACAGGCAGAAAACAGAAGCTACAAATAAAATCCGTCCAAATTCTAAACATCATCATCCTTTGTTCTTCTACGTACCTCCTCAAATGTCATGTAAGTAATGCTAAATTATAATTATTATCATAATTATTATGCCACATTCATGTCACATCGCTTCTCCTCTCTTGCGGTCGTAAAAGTTAATTGAGTCGTCGTCTCCTCTGGTTTCATGACTAATTCCTAATCGTAATTCAATTCCAACCCCAACCACGAAGCGAAACGTTTAAAAGGAAAAAAATGAAAATGAAAATGTTGTCATTTTGAGACATTACATAAATTATTTAAATAATTGATTTGGGAAAAACTTGAAATTTATGTCTGCGCATGGCGTGGCGTGGCATGGGTCATAATAACACCGCTCCCATTCCCACCAAAGTTAAGTACAGCATGCGTAATAAATAATTCGTTCAATGTCTAATATGTGGTTTATTTTGTTGAGTTAAATCCGTGCAAGGTCCTACCAACTAAGAAAAATCAAGGCATTTTTACTACAGCAAGGCAAGGTCCCTCGACAACTATGAACTATTCACCTCACGTTCCTCCTGTTCCTTATTTTATGTAAGTATGCACACACAATTTAATCGTCTCCAATTGTGTCTTGTGGTTTAATGTGGTGTCCCTCCGTTAAATAAGTAAGGTAACTAAATCATTTTTTTATGTACAAAATACGGTCGCCGTGTCGTGATGCAATGTCGTCGTTGAGTTAAATGAATGTCATTCCTCCTCCTCCAGAAGAGGTTGGATTTTTATTTTACCAAGAAATTTAATGTGTGGACGTGTTTAGTTTACGGCTTAAAATGGATTTTTGTTATGTTAATCTCCCCAAGAATTTGAGCTCATGGATAGCAGAAAAAAAATGAATCGCTCGACACGCTTTTCAACCCATTTGGTCACGCCAAATGGTTAATTTGAGGCCGAAATTGCATTATGAAGTGGTCGGTCGGTGGTTCAAAAATCATCCAATATTCGATTCAATCTACTACCGAATTACTGTACCAAATTCGTTTTTATGTAGTGAGCATGATCTGAATGTGAGTAAATGTGTGTATACACAAGTAAGTATTATGGGAATGGATGACTCTGTATATTTTGTTAGTAAATGAATTAATGTGATCTCTCCTGATTGGATGCGGTTCATGGTCCATCGGTCAAATTAAGGTGGCGTTGTTTGCATGTTGGGTTAGATCAGAAGAGGTAGATTTTTACATAATTTATGTACATTTACATCCTGATTTTGATATATTTCTTGAAAAAAGAACAAAATTTCTTACCCCATGAAGGATCACGTTTTTCCTCCCCCTCCCCCAAAAATTATGGTGGTGGTGGGTCATATCGTTGCGTTAATTAGTCAAATTTATTTTGACCCTTAAATAGATAAGCACACTTTCCTACTTTATTCTCACATTTAACTATTCGGCACTTGAGGAAGACGCAGCAAGCAAGAATTTTACGTATCCTTGTAAGTTATCAATTTTTGGAGAAAAAACGGGAACAAGGAAACTCCCACAGATGCCACTTTTCGATAATAAATAATCCACACGGAAATGCAGTTAATTAACTTATTGAATTACAATAAATTCCCAACTACCCCATTACACTTGGTGTCTCACGTGCACCACAATTCTCACAAGTGCATACATGACCTAAGAAGAATCACGGCTTATTATTATTACGACATGACATCACAAACCATTTTCTGCAAAATTATCCGGCATCTCTCATTTCAAGTAAATATATATAAAAAAGTGTGAATTAACAATTTCCTGGATAAGTAAGTGACTCAACTTTTATGGATAAAAATCCCCCAAAAATTACGTCAGGTCATTACTCACTCACAAACCACTTAACTCGATTGCTCACCCAATTATGATGTGATCGTCGTGGTCAATTAGGACACACGCAAAATTTGAGGTGACACAATTTTGCCATTAGCTCTAACCTGTTTACGGATGGATGAGAAGAGAACGAGAGTAAAAGTGACTTCTTGGGGCTAGTGAGCCACACTGACTGAAAGGGTTGACTTGACGGTGTGGCCATTAAGAAGTTACCTATCGTCCTATGTATGTACCTGCATATTTATATAGCACAACACCTCCAATCAACCAAGTACAGTACAAGTACAGGTCGACTTTGGCTATGCATTCCTTTTCCATTTACTTACGTGAATAAGTCGAAAGTTCACTTTATTACATGCTTATTCGCTGGACTGGATTGGCTCTTGTTTGCATTTCTTAAACAACAACAAACGAGCACCTTTTAATATTTTGTTTGGTCAGGATGACACATTTTTTGCGATGTGTGTAGTGTAGAGCCTTATTTAGGAAATGCACATCCATCCAGTAAAAAATACGCATGGCATCATCATTTTCTTGATGCGAGCACGCACGCCTACACAAATTCTTCGTTCACAGGGAGAATTATGGTTCGGTTTTAATAATCTAAATGGTCAGATTTTTTTTTTACTAATGATGGCACTCACGTCGTGTTCATGTCGAGTGTGTGTCGTGATTTAATAATGGATTAGAACTCAACTACTTAAAAGCTCGTCAAGTAAGTGGATGGTCTGGAAGTTCAATCTGCCACACCCACTACAAACCAAATCTTCTCGTTTATTACACCAATCCCATCCCGGATCTATATTTGTGATTATTATGCGGGTTGAATTGAGTTGGGGTCAAGCAACTGTAAGTACATATTTATGTCTGTACTGTATGGATCAAGGTGGGTGCGGAAATTCGAGTTTATGTATGTATCATAATTTAATTTTGCACCGTTCACTGCGAATTAAAAATTTTTTAATCGAAAAAATGAGCCGTGATGTCATCTTTGGTCTGGTCTCGTTTTGTGTCGGGGTCAAGTTACACCTTAAAAATAAAAATGTATGTACCGTATTTCATCCACCTGTACGATCCACACCCACGAAAAGGTACGGCGGGGGCAGTTTGAGACTCGTACATTTCCCACTCCTTCTTCTTTCCACTATTAATTAGTAGTTCAATTCAAATTATTTTTTAATGAGGTTTTTACTCGGAATTTATTAATACTTACTTAATAATAAGTGCATTTGGTCATTATTATGCATATATGCAAATGAATCAGATCAACCACCTGCGTGGCAATCGCAGCAGCAGAAGAAAACGACAACAAAGACCACACTGTACGCAAAAATGGTAACAAAAGCCTTTCTTTTCGCTGGTAGCAAATTGGATACTGCTCATTGTGCGGGGACACAATGGTTTCGAATTGTAAATTGCATAAGGATAAATAAATCTGACTGTGCGAATGCGTAATGAAAATGAATGGACGTTGTTAATGGCTTCGCGATACTTGACTAGGCGGCGGTGGCGTGAGCCGATACGTAAGTAATATTAGGACGGTTACAAATTTTTGCATGATATTTTACTACAATAAAAGCTAATTGTCCGGTTAATTATGAGCCATTTTTTCGAATTTTTTGGTAAAAAATTTATTCGTAATTGTAGAATATTTGTAAATATGTTTTTAATATTTTGTTTTCGTAATAAATAAATGGGAAAAGAATTTATATTTTGCATAATAAGGCAATCTCTCATAATATAAATATTAGATACAATTAAGTTGCTTTTGCAATTTTGCAGATTTTAAGGTTTTACATTTTTTTTAGCTTTTGTAGATTTCGATTTTTTTTTAAATTCTTGTACACAGAAATATTTCCGTTTAGAGTACAGATATTTTTCCGATAAAAGCTTCAAACTTATCCACAGCGACGCTCATTTCTGCCAAAATTCAATGTTCGTTTAACATGAAAATCACTTCACTTATCAAAACGGTTTTGATAAGTGATAAATTGTGCAAAATTGGTAGTGTGTATTTTATTCCACACAATTTCATGCACAACAAATCCCCATGCCTTTAATAGTATTATTTGCTTGTGGAGTAGTGTATGGTATTCATACCGCCGAATGAGTGGCATGACCTGATGACCGAAAAGATTAATATTTACACCATTTTAAGCCACTTGATCACATCGTGCACCTTTTCCTCTTTGCTGTCATTACATTACATGAAAGAAATTATACAATTGCAATTAGAAGCGTGCCCCTCAAATGAAATAAAATGAATTGTGTCCATTGTAAATACATGAAGCGATCGAGGTGGTAAATATGTGGTGGTTTCAGGATTATATTATTTTTCACCTCATTTGCTGTCAATCACTTGTCACGAGATGAGATCAACGCCAAGAGACGACAGAGAGAATAATATTTACAGAAAGGTTCGCCATTTCGATTTATAATATTTCCGATAACAATTTGGTCCAAGAGATTATACTCGTTTCGTTTATGGTTGCATTTATGATATAAAATTTATAACAAAAATTTTCAAAAATAATTTAATATATCGGAAAATTAATTTAAATATTATTACAACATTTGCCACGTAAAAGAATGGGAATTTGCAAGTTACAAATTGGAAATATTTGCTATTTAAATACGAACTTTATTTAGAGTTATGGATTTTGCATATTCTTCACAAATTAGACGTCGAAATAATTTTTTGGTCTGAATTATATTACTTTAGTGTTAAATTAGATTATACATAGACCATACATATCACAATTTTAATTTAAATTTAATTGTATTTATCGATTCAAATTTTAAAATATTAAATCATTATTTGTATATTCATATATTTTATTCAATTATTTTATTTCATTTTGAATGTTTTTGTGGAATAAAATATATACAAAAATAATTTAATAATAGATGTGATATTAATGATGATTTCATATTTTGAAATATATATTTTATTCCACAAAAACATTCAAAATGAAATAAAATAATTGAATAAAATATATGAATATACAAATAATGATTTAATATTTTAAAATTTGAATCGATAAATACAATTAAATTTAAATTAAAATTGACATTGTAAAATTGACATGTGGTAATGCGTCATCTAATTTAACACTAAAGTAATATAATTCTGACCAAAAAATAATTTCAACGTCTAGTTGTGCAAAATTTTCAAAATTCATAAATCTAAATAAATTACGTAAAATTCCAGCAAATTCTCATTTTTTCTTCTCCAGTAACAATTTTTATTTCCCATACAACCTTATATTTTCGCATCCTTATTTATTATCTAATAAAAATTACGACATGCACTAACTAAATTGGCAACCAAAATCTGGTTGACATTGCTTTTAACGAGACAGCCCTTTAATAAAAATGAGTCATAATAATAGTATTGTACAGATTGGCAAACATGATAGGCAACATTTTTACTAAAAATACAATACAATACATTTTACCTAAATTGAATTTGTCTGCATATGCAAATTTATTTACATACACGTTAAAATGAAATCTATTTACGATGAGACACGACTATTTTGTGATTCTTGGAGAAGAAAAAGAATGAAAAATCCCATCACCACACACGAAACGACAACGACGTTATCTCATCATTTAGATGACGATGACTCAATATTTACGGTGAAGAATAAGGCTTTATTTTTGTATTATAATGTAGATGATGATGATGACCGAACGTACATTTAAACATGTTTGCTCGTTACTTATTGTGCATCTGGCTGGCTTCTTGAAATTGCAAGTATTTCAAATGTAGCACAATTTTGCGTATGTAAGTAGAAGTGGACATCTCATGATTTATTGAAATTTTACCACGTAAACATTCACTTATTACATGAAATGTGTGTGTACATTGTCGAATTGCAGGCTTTTCTGCCAAGTTAAATGTGTAGGATTCGTAATTCATTTTCATGCACAGATTTTGATTCTTGGTTGCCAGCAGGTAGGTGAAGATTACAGGTGAAGATGAATATAGGAAACGGTCATAAAATAAAATAATGCTGCTAAAATTATTGTAGCTTAAATTATTAGCACATTATATAAATACAAATTCCGTTTCGGCCCAGTGTTTCACTTTGGCAGGCTTTGTGAAATATTAATGTTTAAGTGCATTTCGTGCAGTATTCACGATCGGACATGCATGAGCTAAGATAACAAGGTTTTTGCACATTTTTAAATTTTGTTTTACTGATAAATTTCATATATGTAAATAATTATTGCTGCATAAAATCAAGGATTACCATTAAACATAAAACAAGATGTTAGTTTAATACGCCTTTAATTTAATTTAGTTAGTTTTATATAAATAAAGTAAAGTTTTCAGATAGAGGGTCTTTTGGTCCATAATTTTGAATGCCTTTTGTCACATTTTATAAACGAAACAAAATTTTAAAAAAACTGATAATGAATTTGTTTGCACGAAATGTATAAAAAATTTCAAAATATCTTTTTTACAGGAGCATGCACACAAAATTCTAAAATTGTTTTTTTTGTACAAAATGCACATGCATTCACAACAATTCTCGTTCCTGTCTTATTTCAACCATTTCATGAAACCCTGTAGCCCACATTTGCATAAATACGACTTGTCACTGTATTACTATTACATAGTATCCACTTTATTCTAATGGACACGAATCCAGTCCATATTTAGCGAGGAGAAGCTGCATCATCCCAACAAAACAATGACCGAATCCATTATATATAAAATGGGTGGGTGGGTGGATTGGAAAAGATAGCATCCTTCCTTGCACACTTATCATCAGACACGGGGTGACAATTAAACTCTCTAAACTGCCAATAATTAAATGGCCATTAGCAGATGCATTGTTTTAATTTTAAAACACTTTATTCCGCAACCCCAATTATGTCAACTTTCCATTTCCATTTATTTCAGACGACAATCCATGTTTTTTTAGAGCCAACGCACACACACATTGATTGAGAGATGAAATGAATGAGTGGCCAAAAATGGGCTGAAATGCATATCCATCAAAAACATAGAAGATAGCCGCAGGTAAATATTTTTAAACTCGCAGTAACTAATGAGCAAAAGTAATTAATTCATCATTTTCATCTCCATTAAGCAAATGCTCGCCCATGATGATGATGATGATGTATTTATTTATCAGCTCTTCTCGAACGGAGTAGTGAAGTGAGTAATAAGTGATCCATTTCACGCACGGACAGACAGATGTGAAGCAATAATGTGTAATTGCAAAAATATGCAATTATTTCGCGATTAACGTAACAAATTAATATTTGTAAAATAGATATTTGTAAAAATTTGGACGAGACGAGAATATTATTGAGTCAGTAATCTCGGGCAAGAAATTGGTCCTAAATACAATTATAAATTAATTAGGGTTGCATTTGCATATGTCGAAAAAGTATAATAAAGAGAAGTATGTGTATTAAAAAACCTACAGTGTGCAGTGTTTATATTGCCCGAGTCAGGGACAGAGCCCTCTTCTAAATGTTTGTCAAGTGACCGGTACCAACTACTAATAGTAGTTGGTACCGGTCATTAAGGGAAAATTTTTGTCGATTGCGAATTATTCGCAATCGTCGCTGCAAAATTGCAGCTTCTTTAACCAATTCCAAAAACCCCACTGGGTCCTCGTGGCAAAAAAAATCTTAAAGTTTACTTTACATTTATTAAGCTAATCTAACCCTGCAGGACCACGCCAACTTTTAGTCGTCTACGCCCGTTTTCCAAACCAGTGGGGGTGACCAGTGTGTGCAAAAAGTCAGCCTTTTTGCTATTTGTTCCTATTTGCCTATTTGGCTTTTTGCGTGGCTTTTTGAACTGTATAGAAAACGCAATGAATAGCTTTCACTTTAATGTTATTTCTTCTCATCTCGCCAATTCAAGTATGACCAATTTCTCGAATATCAGTTACCAATTTTTAAAATAGCTACTTTTAGAAACGGTATGGGTCACCCCCTAGGCTACTCTGGTTCCACTTTGTTCGCTTTTAACTTGATATACTTCCATACGAGACCATTAAGTATCACCATACCGAATTTCATCTTTTTAAGACAATTTATAAAAATCGGTATGGGCCACCCCCTAGGATCGCTCCACATAAAAATTTTACTAATTTAACTTCATATTATTTCATTAGGAGCTATTAGAAACGTCAATGGTAAATTTCAGCTCAATTAAATGATTATCAAAAATCGATATGGGTCACCCCCTCGGGTCCCTCCAGATAAAAAATTTGACCAATTTCATTTAATGTTCTTCCTTAAACCCCATACGCAACCTATCTACCAAATTTCAACTCGATATGACGATTTTGACAAATCAGTATGGGTCACCCCCTAGGGTCTTTCAAAATAAAATTTTTTCCAACAACTTAAATTCATACTCTTTCATTAGACACCATTAGCAACCTCAGTGCCAAATTTCTGCCTTCTATGACAATTTTGAAATTTTGATGCATAATACCCCATCCACCTATATGACCCCCACTGGTCAACCACTTGACCGATTTCGCCCATCTTCGAACTTAACTCCTCATTTGCCCCATACTACATGTGTACCAAATTTCAAGTCGATAGGATGAGTTTAACGAGAGTTATCGTAAGACGGACAGACGGACAGACGGACGGACGGACGGACATGATGGTTCCATAAGCCCTGACTCGGGCTAAAAAGCAAGAAAAATTGATGGAATCTAAGATAATTTATATTTTTTGGACAAACTAAAAATCTGTAAATCTGGAATAGATATGCAGTTAGTCCATGCAGTCAATCCTAAAAAGTTGGCATTCTTGTCTAAATCTGTGGGGATATGTGTGGGATATATCTAATTTATTTTGCATTTTCTGGATACATTGCAAATCTGAAATCGGGGTTTAAATCATACTAGTCTAGAAAGTTGGATGCATTTAAAATTCTAAAAGTTTTAGAAAATAAACATGCTGGGCGTATTTTTTAAGAAAAACGGCATCATCTTTGTATCCAGTTATGCATAGGGATTATTACTTTTTTATCGGTCGGAAAATAATAAACTGCTAGAAAAAGGCAGAAAACTATATTTTACCTGCAAATTTTCTGTACTTGATTTCGTCGTAAATTTCATGCATGCAAACATAGAATCTTGAAGTATTCACTTATTTACATCTTTTTCTCAGAAAATATTCAATCAATCTGGTCAATTTCATCCACTTAGGTATTGATTTGCCCCCATTTAATTCCTAATATTGATTTCTTGTCATTACACATAACATAATGAGAGTTAAGTATTAAGTTAGCAGATGACGGCATTTTATTTATTTCACCTTGACATTGGTTGATTACAAATAAAGTGGATGACGAACCCCTCCCGAGACTTCCGCGTTATTAAGTGGTACATTAATGCATTAGTAAATAACATAACTGACGAGTGGGTGGGTAGCCAAATTTTGCAGAGGTGTGGATGCAAAATACTTCAAGAAATTGAATTACATTTCATTACACAACAATGGCACATTTTTTCCAACTTCTTGACCAGGAACAAGTCAGCTTGCACACATGTGTGTTATCGCTGCATTAGAGCAGAGATGACACTTTTAATTCATGTGCGTGATAAAATCTTGACACAAAAGATGTCTGACAATTGGAGTTATTTGCGACTTTGTTGCCAAATTAGGACCAAAAATTGATGATTACACCCTCTCCTAAATATTTCTCAGGCAGTTGAAAAGTGATCCAAAAAGTATTGTGTATCATTATAATTTCATGGTCTGGATTATATATAAAAAAGTTATTTTACAATCCTGGCCTGGACAATTTGCGAAATCCTGGCAGTTTTTTTGCACATGAAACGCAATTTTACTTTTGCACATGTAATCGTTCACTCTTTCTCGATCTAATTCGCAACAATTTTAAGTATCTAAATGGCATAATTTTTTCATGCATGTGTCACATGTCACTCTCTTTCTGTTGTCTGTACTAATGTGACACGATGAGAAGGAACGGAATGATTGTTTTGTTTTTGTTATTTTTTTCGTTTTTCGCATTCATTTCATTACTAATTATAATTATCTCTCTCGATGCAGACATTCTTCCATTGTTTAAAGTTAAGGAGAGACGACGGACAGATGTACAAATGTAGGAGAGTGAAGGAGTTAAATAGCTCTGCCAAATCAAAATCAACAGGACATAAAATTGGATGTCACTTACATTCACATACATTTTCGAATTTATCGTCGTCATCTTCATCACTGTCACATTGAGGTTGAGAGGGGGAGGCGGACTAATTATGTGAGTATGTAAAGTGTCAATCTTTCTGAGGGCTTTGACTTTTTCGAATTATGCATAGCAAATTTAATTTTATAAGAAATCCGAATGTATGTTTTCATCGGTGTTTCTGCTGTTAAAAAATACCTGGACGAAATCAGTACACTAAAATGTTTTTAAACGTTTAAGAACCCCCACAAAAAATCTAGAAAATTGCACGAAAATACACAAAAATCATGCATTTTGTGCATTGTATGCATTTTATGCACTGCATGAATGTATAAAAATAGTATTGTGCACAAAAAGAAACACTGGTTTTAATGTAATCTTCATAATGTGAAATATGTGTATCTACATCTTCACAAATGGGTGAATACCGCGTCTCATCTAATGGATGGATAACCTTTGACCCGTCAATTAAAGTAAGCACTGCTTTTTTACTACACACAACACTCAATACAAATCAGTACATGGATATAGTAATTTTAAATAAATATACGCACATATGTATCTATTGATGTCCTCGAGATTTGTGCATCTAATCTTAAGCAGATGACTTAATTATTATTTTTTACAAACTCCTCAAATTTTTTTTGTGGGTCAATTTAAAATAATTAGATTTCTTCCTGCATTTACTATAAATAAATGCAGATGTACGTTGTATTTTTGATCCTGGTGTTTGGAACACGGGCAAGTTTGGGAGGACAAGATGGAAGTGGTGAGTGAGACGAGACAATTGATTGATATATTTTTTAAATATGAAATTATTAAAAATATGCAATTATTTAGATATTTCCCGAATTAATAAGAACATATTTGTAAGGATATATAGGACACGAGAGTATTATTGATTCCGTAATCGTGGCCAAGAAATTGATCTTAAATGCAACTATGAATTAACTAAATAGGGTTGAATTTGCATATGTCGAAACCAAACAGCAAGGGAGATATCTATAACATATTTAACACTTTCTGGATAAATTAAAAATCTGAAATCGGCGTTTAAATCATACTGAACTAGAAAGTTATACGAAAGCATTAAATGCTTTAGATATTTTACAAAACTTTTAGCATTGTAAATTTTACAATGCTAAGAGTTATCTATCTGTTGTAAACATGATATTTAAGAAATTGGAAATTTTAAAATTGTAAACCATAAAAAATTACGAAGTTTAGAAAAACGGTATCATCTTTTTATTGAGTTATACAAAACTTGCATATGGATGATTATTAATTAATGGCTAAAATAAGGCATAAAACTGCACGCATATATCTATTTTACCCATAAATACTTAAATAATGCATTCACAATAAATACCAAATTCAGATGGTGGACTGGACGAGCTCCTGCAAGGCCTTGACCTCGCCTCCTTTACTTCTGGCATGGGAAACGGTTCCGATTTCAAGATCGATGCCCAACTCGGCGAGAAAGTGAGAGCCCTTATCCGACATTTTAAACAAGATGATCCCATCGGGGTGCCGGGTAAGAAATTTTAGAAATTTCAGAAACTTCAGTAATTATAGAAATTTCAGAAATTTTGGTGTAAGTTTTACATATGTCAATTTGTTCTAAATAATTTAATAATTTAGAGGGGATGGGCCTCGACGCCTTAATCGTGGAACCACTCCGTGTCCCCAATCAGGAACAAACTTTCAGCGGAATGAAGATGAAATTCGAAAACATTTCGCTCTACGGGTTAAACAAATTTCGTCTGAATCAGGTCAAGGTCACCCTTTCGGAGTTGAAGGTTGACTAACTTGTCATGTATTAATTTACATAATCAACATTAAATATTATGCAAATATATGTATGTGATGCTTGATTGACATCAGGTTGGCCTTATCGTCTCGATCGACCAACTCTTTGTTAACGGGTTGTTCCAAACATCCTCCTGGTTTTACCGAGCCAACGGTAACTTTTCCGTGACTGTGAGCAATGTCACTACCGAATCTGAAGTATCATTCGGGGTCGATTCCGATGGTACCCTGCAAGTCGAAGAGGTCAACATGGACGTGAAATTCGGTGATCTTAATATGCAATTGGGCGGTGATAAGATGGGCTTCCTCGGCCCTGTCGTGCAGGTTAAAGCTAAAGCTTATTAATTGACTGATAACATCTTATCTGTCAACGGACACAATTTAAAATTTATGTAAATATAAGGGCATGGTCAACACAATGGGACCCTTCCTCTTCGACTCGATCAAACCTCTCATCTTGGGCGACGTGGAGAGGAAAATTCGTGGCGAACTGAACCGACAAGGACGCTCTGTCCCGCAACAATTCCCCAATTCCATCCACCCCATCGATATGTTCTTATCTTCGGCGCGTATCTACGTCCGAGAAAAAGGCCTCGACCCTTTTCCCATTCCGGATAATCACCTAGCCTCCTGGCGCTACGGGAACTTTGAAATTTCCTCCGTGATTTTGCACGGCCTCGCCTCCCTCCATCGGACCGGACCGGTCGTCGTAACTTTTGAGGAGAACGTTATCCGGGTATCTGTGGCCATGGGGGCGAGCGATTTGCGGGGCGTGGTGCGCTGGAGGTGGGGCATTTTCAGAGACCTTATCGGAAAACGGGGTACTTTTCAGATAAGCGTGGAGTACGTGAGTGTCGTTGTGAATGTGGGACAGCCTGCTAATCTGGATAAGGAAACGACCATTGATGGGATTGAGTTGGAAGTGGGAAATATTGCCGTGGCGTCGGATGGGATTGGGACGATGGACTATGTCATCGAAGCGTTGGTCAATATTATTCCGAATTTGTTGCGGAAGCAGATCGTGGATGCGTTGGAAGAACCGATGAGGAAATTTGTGGAGGATGAAGTAAAGAAAGTTATTCAGTTGGAGGATATGATTGAGGAGAGGTTGCCTCCAAAGGGGGATTAATTTTAAGGCCAGATTTTTACGCAGGAAAATACTTAGAAATGTTAAAAAAAATATACCATATTTTTGAGTTTACAGTTAATTTTATTAAGTTCATTTGTCTGACTGTGCGTAAACTATTGTGAACGCAAAGATTACATCCTGGACGGGGTTACATACTTATATGCATTATAGCGTGTCATTTGTTTTATTTATGTACTAAGCACTGTTGACTGTGTATATTAATAAATTAATAATTAAGGATTAAGTCATTCATTAACAGCAGAATCAAGATAATAAACTTAATTTTAAAAATATTTAACAATTTTATCAAAATTTTCGTTGTTTTGATCACTCTCACCGTTATGGTCATCACATTGATCATCTATTATGTCTAAAGCGAAACTAGAATCTTGTGAATAAAATTTGTGACGTTATTATTCTGTATATGAGTTTACACAAGTTTGGAAAGGCATTTAATTATTATTCACATCTTATCTTTCTACATATGTATTTTCACTTCCAATAACTAAATTTGTGACGGTCAAGCCAACCATGAGTTAATATTTCCAAGTGCACGTTGACCCTTTAAATTATACGTTATCTCTACATTATTTTTCGCTACCTTCTTGCTCTAAATTTGTAATGATCGTAACTGATCAATCATCATAATTAAGTAACACATTTAAATAATATAATTTGGTATTAAGTAATATGTCCAGTTTCAATTATTTCAATTAAAATAAAACTGGACTTCACCTAATAATTTAAAACGTTGCAGTATTTCCCGATTTTCGTTTTTTCAACTGCGACAAAAAGTTGGGAGCCAGTTGTAATGCGGATGCGAGGAGGGCCGTGTTTAGAAATGGTTTGAGACAATTCATCACCGGCTGACCTTGCTCCCAGGCGAGAACAAAGGTTTGAAACTGTGGGGAGTTTAGCAGCTCGACGAGATACGTCATCCAAACGGACAGCGTTTGTGGGTTGGCGAGTACCGAGTCGGCGAAAATGATGAGACGTGGCCACACCCACGTGATAAAGCCCCAACTTGCCCACCCTGCAGTGGCTACGGTCACAATAGAAATCACTGCAATAATGATGCCCTTCTTTTGAGAGGAGAATTCTGAAATTAAATTAAAATGGGTAATTAATTCGCTAAAATTGAATTTGAGATAAGTTTGCTCACTAGAAAACTGGACCCAGATCTTATTTCCATTCGTCGTCTTGAGTTCTACGTTCCTCTCCGATGCAATCAAGTATTCTTCCCTCATTTCTTTAAAGAGACCTTGCTCACAACCACTTAACAGGTCGCGGATCAATTCTTCTTGACCTTGGGTCAACTGCTGGACCTTAAAAAATGCAGAGTACAAAATTCATATTTATTTCGACATCAAAAATCACAGTTTATTTGATTTTTTAAATCCCTACTTGGAGGAAATGGGCTTCCACGGTATCCGCAAGGTCAGCCTCTTGTCTCGTCTGCAACCTTTTGATTTCTTCTTCGAAGGAAGACTTCATATCTTGAATTTGACCGTCTTTCCGCTCCTGCTCCGCGACCAGTTCGAGAATCGTTTCCTTGTAGAAGTCGTGCGACAAGGAGGCGAGGAGATGGTCCGGGTCGCACCTTCCGTGATCATTGTCGGATGATGAAAACACACCCATGGCCACGTCGACAATTTTCTTTTCGTAAAATCGTTTCTGCCATTCGACTCGGCGTCGTTCTGACAATTAGACAAGTTCGGTGTATTTCAAATTGTGAAAGAACATATACGATCTTCCCCTTTTTTGTGGGCCCAAAAAATGCATAACTTTGGGAATTTATTTCAGGAAAAGTCCATCGAGTCGAGCCGCATCTCAAAATTTTTATCATTACCGTAACCGGTATCGATAATTACAATATAAAAAAATTGAGGTGCGGCTCGATGGACTTTTAGAGGAATGGCCAAAATCCCGAGAGGGTTTTTTATGAAATTTTGCAAAAATGTATCTAAAAAACTGGTCACCTGGTTGCCAACCAAAAAATCTCACATTTAAAATATCCATCAGTACAGCTTCGCGTAGCCCGAACCAGGATTTATTACTAAATAAACCGTAGCAACAAAATGTAGCACTGCACTAGGGTGAAACAAGGAATTCCAAGCTAGAATCCTACTTCAATCGAACCAATTTTACTGGATAGAAACAACCACTTTATTGTACTGTATTAAAAAGCTTAACTTAAAACTTTTGTACGATTTAAAACTGTAAAATTAAAAGATTTTGTCAAAAATCACGTACTCTTATTTTACTTGCTGTAAAATCTCGCGGTAAAAAGGTTTCCACCTGCCCCATACAGTTCGCACCCAATTCCATTCAAAGCTTATGGCAACTTAAAACTTTAGACATAGGGTTTTGAATCGAAGTGGGTGCGAACTGTGTGGGGCAGGTGGAAACCTTTTTACCGCGAGATTTTATAGCCAAAAAACAGGAGTAGCTTACAATTTTTAAGAAGATTGCTTGACACTTTATCATAATACAAGGTTACGCCAGTTGCTTCCATGACCTCAAAAGTCTAGGCTTTTCGAAAATTAGGTTTTTTTAGTCGTCTTAGCAATTGTTGCAACCTAAAGTTGTCAAGCAACCTTGGCTTGACCCCTTATTTATTTTTTCTTCGTAAACTATTTTACAATGCGAAAAAAATAATGAAAACACTAAGTATTCCTTTAATGGATGCGACATGTCTTTAGAAGAAAAATGAGTAATCGTACGACTGTGTACGATTTTTCCGACGGCCACTGGATTTTTTTGTCAAGAACAGGTTTTTCGTCAAAAATCCCTACCTCGGCGCCCTAGCCTACCACGGCGAAAAATCAAACACTTAAATATAATCTGAATATGGTCACGCTCTGCTCACTTTTAACTTTATATTAGTTCATGCGAAGCCATGAAGTATCACCGTGCCGAATTTCAGTTTTTTAAGATGATTTCTAAAAATCGGTCTGGGTCGCCCCATAGGGTCCCTCTGATACAAAAACTCATGATTCCCCTTTATGATTCCACATTATGACATACATTTACGTTGGGACGCTTGTACCGAATTTTCGAATATGCCTCGTATGATTATTTGGAATACTTTGCATCAACGACCCCACCTGACATGTATGTGACCCCCACTGGTCCAACTCCTTTTTGATTGGCACCATCTTCGAACTTGGTCGTTGCATTATGCAGATAAATTTTGTCACCAAATTTGGTCAAAATCGGTCAATGTTCAAAGTTATTGAAAGACAGACAGACAAACAGACATGACGACACATAAAGCCATGTTTCGGGCTAAAATCTAAACATTTGATTATTTGGCTGTAAATCACCAAGTTACGATATTTAAATACTCGAAAAATTGCAAAAATAAAGGGGCCGGGGATTTTGGCTCGAAATCGTCGCTAGGGGGCCACGAAAAAGGGGAAGTTCCACGATTGCTTGACATTTAGTATCTAGGTAACTCTTGTGTCTTTTAAAAGATTTTGATTTTGAAATACTCCACCCACCCAGATGACCACCACAGGTCAACCACTTAATTGATTTCGCCCATCTTCAAACTTAACTCCTCATTTGTCACATACTACATGTATACCAAATTTAAAGTCGCTAGGCCGAGTTTAACGAAAGTTATCGTAAAATGATCGGACGGACAGACAGACGGACAGACAGACGGACATGACGGTTACAAAATTACATTTCCAAAACTGTAACCAATGGCATATTTTCAACAATTTTTAGTTTTCTAAAAATGAAAATTTACTTTGTAACTCGGCCATTTGTCGTAACCTTATAGATTGATAAAGTGTCAAATAATCTTGGGGAAGTTCTTATGTGTCCTTTAATAAGTGTTAATTGTTTACTACATACCGAGCTGCAATTTTTGATCTAGATCGTCCACCTTTGACTCTAGGGAGAGGTGTGAATTTTGCAAACTTTCGAGATCTTGGGTCAACTTGATCACGGTGGCTTGAAGATGAGCGTTCTCTTCAGTGGCGAGTTCGAGGGGTGACCTTTCTTCTTCGAAAATGTCGTCATCTTCCGTGGGGGATGATAAGGTGGGAGGGTTTTGGTCGGATATTTGGCTGTTTCCGCTTCGACGACGCCATAATTTATAAGGCACTGACTTCAATCGATCCATTATCTGGAAAAGAAAATTGTTATTAAATGGAACTGACTGAAAAGTCGATAATTGGTTTTTAGTGAAATGTGTAATATTTTTCAATGCTTTTTAATAGATTATTTTTCATCGTGTATCAAGAATTTTATTATTTGATCATTTAGTTACTATTCGTTTTATAAAAATACCTAAATATTTAGTATATGCCTTATCCTATAAATCGTATAATTGTATTGGGGCGAACAGTATCCAATTTTAAAAGCTTTGTCCAGACAGAAATAATAATTTCGAAAATATGAAAAAAACCAAGAGAAAATTTTGGAACCAACCAAGTTGTGGTTTGTTTTGGTTGTTGTGGGTCGTGGGTGAGCATGTGATCTTTGTGTTGTGTTTTTTTGCCTTTACTATTAGTCACCCAGAGATATGTGGGTCGATATTTACCAACGCTGTGTATGGCATACACGGTATGCCCATTTCATTGAAAAGTTATCAAGAATTTTGTTTTACTAAAATCATCTCATTTATATATTTCGTCAAAAATTGGACGTGATATAACAGAATAATGTAACATAAAATTAATAAAATAAAATAAAATAAAACATTAATTTCTATACTAATGAAATCGTTAATAATAATCTTCTGGATCCCCGACGAATTCACAAATATCGTCATAACTCAACTCGACCACGGCGCCGTCGGGTATTTTCACAATTGCGACCTCCTGAGATCGGTTTCTCTCCACCAGTTCGCCAATCCTGCCCTTCTGACGACCTTCAAGTATACATACTGCAGCGCCCGTCTGTTTCGGAATCACGGTCTCCACCTGAGATGTGGTAATGTCCTCCAAAAATGTAGAACCCCCACCATCGGAGCGAAGGATGAATCTATCGTGACCTATGACGTCTTCGACGACAAACTGCAAATAATTAACAATAAAATATTAGTGAAGTTGTTCAGGTTTATGAAAATTAAAATAAAACTATACGACCTTGCACAGTTGCAAAGCTTGGGCGAATTCACATATTTACTGATAATTTGTTTAATGCTTACCTTCTTTTCGTAATATTTCCCATGTTTGTACTTTTTGTCAATGAATCTCACTTTCAAATGAGGCCTGACCCAGTTTCTACTCTTGGAAGAAGAATGATGTGACGATTTATGTGAGGAGTTGTAGTAATCATCATCTCGTTTCGACGATTTATGTTTTGATCTTCTCTTATCACTCGAAGAAGAGGAGGCAGCTGCGGCGACTTCTCTCTCGGCAGCCTCACGATTCATCCTATCCTTATCTTTGGCATCGTGTATTTCCTTATATTCCGAGTATTGGTCGTAATCTGGAATTGAAATTAAAGTTAATTAAACGTTAGTAGACAATTAGTACGTATATAGAATTTAAGTACTTACTTAAAACTTTCGACTTCCCCTTGTAATCAGACTCGGTGACGAGAACGATATGGAACTTTGACACGGTTGACATTTTTCCATTGATCGCTAACTTTATCACGACGCGATTATTATCTTCGTCAAACGCTTCAACCCTGCCATACATCCCTTTATCTGCGCCACGTTGAATGCACGCTCCTGCTCCGATTTTAAATAATAGTTCTTCCTTTTTATCCTTCCCACTCGCAGGACCGGAGCTGTTCTGGATTCCGTTTTGGACTTGGGTGGAGATGGTTGCTCCAAGACCGAGGCCTTTCGGCCGGAGTTGTGGCTCTACAATTTCGATATGTCTAAAAGAAAGAAAAGAGGACCCTTCATTACAATGAGTAGTGGACACAGTAAAAGGAAAAAGATTAGCGTACTGCTTATTCTTGAGGCCGATTCCTTCCGTCTTTGACCACCCCATTCCACGCAGCATCGCCATGCCGAATTCTTCTATGGGAATCTTTTCGTAATCTTCTAAAGTCGACTGTAGATATATAAAAAAATTGAAATTAATAATTACATAGGCCATGGATTAATTAAACAAGTGCTTGAAGAAATGCACGAAATATGAAGAACATGTTTCATAAAGAAATACATTGATTATTTTATGATTTCGTGCAGTTAACCAAAGTACAATAAAATAAATGCGATTAGTTTTCGTACCATTTCCGGTCTGAGGGAAACATCCATATTTTCTTCTTCCTCGAACCCTTTGGGAACTTGGTTTTGCAGGAGGAGTGGAATATGTTCGGGGTCATCTTCTACTTTATTATTGGCTGATACTCCTAAATAATTGAATATTTGTCTTACAAATACAATTTGATTCTGATTTGTACAATGAAAAGTTGTTCGTTTTGTTTGGTTACCTAAAAGCTCTTGGATGGCCTGATCTTCCAAGGAGAGTTTTACATCCTCCTTTTTAACAGCTGGCTTATCTTCTGTTGATTTTGCTGCTGCTGCTGCCGCCGCTTCTTCTGCTCTACGGTCCATGTCCATGCGCCACTCATTTTTGGTAATTAGAGGAATTACGAGGGGTAGTTTTACTTCTTTCTTCTTAGTTCTGAAGAATAGATTAGTATAAGTCGTTAGTCAAATGCAACATGAGAACCACCATAAATAATGATTTAATTTCTGAACTTACCCGTGAATCTGTCTTTTATCGACGGACGTTACAAAATCAGTCTCCTCGTCCAAATCACGAGTAGAGTCATCTCTCAACTTGGAATCCTTTAATACGCGAGAAGGTCCTTTCGTCTTGGAAAATTTAATGGAAATCATATTGATTGTTTTAATACTTGTGATTTAATTAAAGTTATTTCAAAAATCTTAAAATTGTAAAATGAGCAATTAATTTTTGTCAACAAAAATAATAGCTTCTACACGTTGTTGTAAAATTTCTTCTCATAATCTACGTTAATATTTGAAATTTGAAGACTCAACTAAAATTTAAGTAACTTGATTTGCTATTTAGTTAACTTTAAACTTTAACTTTAATTCTTGCAAGTTTATAGCGGTTGTGCAAACGACAAGTTCAGAAATAGAATTAAGATTACGCGGGTCTCTCTTCACCCCAATTTTGCACATTGCCCCAAAGTTGCACGAATTTTTTGCATGCAATATTTTGCATATTGCAAATAAATAATAAACACTTACTTATCCTCCTTTAGAATCACAGTAAAACCAGCATAATTTCCTAAATTTGACTATAAATCATAGAAAATTACATTTTTCATGAAAAACATGTTAAAATTCTACCACTCTCTTCACTTGTTACCATTTATCTCATCCGCCCCAAAAAAACGAAACCTGACTCTTTTTCTACCCTTCATTATATTACACAACTAATCGTATAACTAAAAAATATTCTAATAAAAAGTGCAACACTAATCCTCTCCCTTTATTTACACGTTGCAATTTCCTGGAACACAAAACCATACACAAAACCACAGACACCATTGTATTTCCCCTCTTGGATAGTCCAGTCCAGTCGTATAAGTAATTTTCATGCATGGCTACTCCGAATGTTTGTTTGTGTCGATTCAATTCTCGATTCAATAGCAATATTACAGGTAATAGTTCAGTTGGCAGCATTTGGCACGGCATAGATTTATACACATTTGCATACACACGTACACATGGAACTTGAAAGTTTTAGGTATTGGATTATTATTGGGGGCGTCTCATTTCTTGCCGTGTTTGTAGCTGACCCTGCTTTTAGCTAATATCCTGCCATCCTGCATATTATTTATTGACAAAGTCTGATAGGAAAGAGGACCCAAGGAAGGAAAACAAGTGTCCACTTTCACTAATACTTTCACTCTGAGAGAAAAGCACCAGAAAAAACACATCGCCGTCCATCCGTCCGTCGATAGAAATGACACGACAACCGAACTAATAAAAACTCACCACACTCAAGTTGAGAGTGTAGCAGGTGAACTCTGCAAAAAAAATCCTCTCTGTTTTTTGTTTTCTTTAAAAATCTAGTTTTTTTTGTAAAAAAATGTTCGGAAACTTATTTCTCATCGTGCTCTTTCTCGAGTTAAGTTTGGCTCAGATTCAAAGAGCACCCCTCCCGACCAGAGTGATCATTGCTGTCAACGCTGGGGGTCCTGCGCATCGGTGGGTTATTGGAATATTATTTTTTTGGTTGAAATTTGAAATTTTATTTATTTGTTTGTTTTGTTTTCAGAGATATTTACGGAATAAATTATGCCGCCGATAAATTAGAGGAAGGAGAGAGGTCGGACTATGGGATGCGGTACGATATTGAACGTGCCCCTCTGGACGATGGGATTTTGTACCAGACTGAACGGTACACGTTGGATGACTCTTTCGAATATGAAATTCCCCTGAGGAAGGATGGCAGCTATGTTTTGGTACTTAAATTTAGCGAGGTTTACTTCAAATCGGCAGGACAAAAGGTGAGGAGAATGAGTGTTAAGGTCAAAGGTTATTATTATGTCAGGATGGTTTCTCTCTAGGTATTTAACGTGGCTTTGGACGACTTCACGATCCTGTCACACTTGGATATTTACCGTGAAGTAGGTTTAGCCACGGCACATGACGAGGTCATCCCTTTTATAGTGAAGAACAATGCAAAAAAGTTGAAAATTCATGACTCCGAGGTTCCCATTCGGAACGGAAAAGTTAATCTCAGATTTTTGCGGGTATGTTTACTTGATAAAGTTATAAAACAATTACCCGCAAATTATTAACCTTTTATAAATACTTTTGAATTTTTCTAGGGGTTAGCAGACAATCCTAAAATTAATGCATTCTACGTTGTTCAAGGCACAATTTACGGTACAGAATCAGTTGAAGTCATATTGATTTGAATTTATTTAACTAATCTGATCATGATGACCCAAAAATCTAGAGATTCCAAAACTACCCCCACTTATGCCCCCGCAACACATTCGTCGTCAACAACAGCAAATTCAATCTCGTGAAGAATTCGAAGAAGAGGATGTAGTTTTTGAAGATGAGGACAACGAAGAAATCAATCTTTACGGGTCCAACGTAGGAAGTGATATGGACGACAAGAATCTCAAGATGTTCTCTTCTGGTAAATAATTAATTTCTGCTTAAAATTAAATTAGTTCAACATGTTCAATAACCTTTGACCTCTACTTTTTGACAGAGAATAGCAAACGTGTCCGTCGCAGCGGCCCTGTCCAGCATGTTGACCCATGGGAGTTGAAGAGCCAACAAGATAAATGGTTTCCCATCGTGATAACAGTGATCTCATTCCTCGTGGCCTGCATCGTCCTTTACATCTCGATAGGAATGAAGAATAAAAATGTACAAAAAACTAAATAGTCAAAATTACTGGATATCTAATTAGTGGATCCATCAACTTCAATTAACTGAAAATAATGTGATACATCAGCCAACAAGTAAATTATCATGTCGATAAGTCATCAATACTGCCACTCTTGTTATCTTGATTTTGCAAATGTCAAAATCAGTGCCTTAAAAAATGTTTTTAAACTAATTTTCTCACTCTTTTGAGTGGTTCTAAACGCTAAGTAATTTTAATGAATTGTTCATTACTTTTTAATTAATTTGTATGAAATATATGAATATCAACAAATGTCTGCTTTTATCCATTTATTACACGATAATTAAGTCAAGTATAACACAATTTTCAGTCTTTAAATAAAAATGCCTCGAAATTAGCCACTTCCTAAATATTACGTACGACGACACGTCATAATATAATGTTAACATAAAAACACCAACAATTAAGAAAGAAGGATAATTAAGTTACGCCCAACCATGATTAAAAATTAAGTGGATAAAAATGCGGTGCGATAACAAGTTCATCAGCAATAGAAAGGCTCTCTCTCTCCAGTCTAAAGTTTCTTCATCACCAGAAACTAAAGACGACAATTTTCATACATTTAAGTGAGTGAGTGAGATAACGACAAGATATAGATGAGCAAGGACGTTAACTATTATAGTACAACAAAAAATTCTTCTTTTCGCCTCGTTTAAAAATAATATCGACAATATTCTTCTCCACCTCCTAAACTAATAAGAGACACGAAAAAACTATGCGATTTTACATACAACGAATGACGACCACAGTGAACGTACATAATCCCACGATACATACATTACATTCTACAGTTACCGGTTCGATGATGAGACTTTTCTTATCAATTATTATTTTTCCTTATAATAATAATTACACTTTCAATTATATAGTAAATATTGAGAGTTCTTCTTCCCTATATTCTAGAGGAGGCCCTTATTTTTGGTAGCTTGATAAAAAATTATGAGTTTTTTTAAACTAAATTACAATTAATTATATATTCATTCACCACGACTTTTCTTCATTAAGAATTATGACGACACCGACTTTGGTTGTTTGTTGAGGTTCTGTTGAGGTATTTTTCGGAATTGTAACGTATCTATTTAACTATTCCTCAATATTATGCAATATTTTTTATGCATGTATTAGCTTCACATAGCAGAGTAAAATAAGCAGCTTGTACTTTGTTAATGAATGAATTAAATGGTATCCTATCGCTCTATTGTAACGGATGAGAAGTCAGCCGGTTGTTGAGGTGATGGTTACTTGTCGGAGAGGTCGATGTAGGCTTTCCATCCGAAGACGTTGAGTTGATGGTATTAATTGTATTTTGGTTCAAAGCATCATTCTCAAATTCTACAAAGTCGTCAAATAAAGAAGGCCAGGCTTCCGTGTCGTCGTAATTACTCAGATCAGATCCGACCTGAGAATCAAATTCCAAATGTTAGTTGGCGTAAAAAAAGGTCATAATGAAAATATCATTTTTTATCCCTCACCGTTTCTACCAAGTTCAGAAACATATTCCACGTATCTCTCGGAATGCCACGAATGCTTGGATTTGACTCTAAAAATGTGATCCATCTTTCTAAAATGGGTGGCTCTTTTTGCGAAAATACGACACGCCACAGACTCGTCGCCATCTCGATAGGCAATACGCGCTGACTGAGTTCAGACTCGAGGCCAAATTTAAAACTGAATCTAGAAACGATAATTCAAATTGCTTAAACTGTTGTTATCAGATTGACCAAACTTATCTAAAATTGGTGCTATAATTCATTTACCTATATAAATCTTTAAATTTGACTGGATCATTTCCCAGTTGGGTCACAATATCCGGAAGCCGAGCCTGAATTCCCGGTAACGTATCCGTCTTGAGGGTTTTCATCCCCTGGAAAAACTCTTGGCGAGAGAAACGACACATTTGTTCCGCATCTGAAATATATTAATTATTTTATTTAGCAAGATATTACCCTCTATCTTAAGATTAATTAAAATTACCAAACTTCCAAGCGAGCACGAGCATCTTAAAGTCCTCAGGTTTGACTTCGAGATCTTTACACAACCGATCGATCCCTTCAGCGAGGACTAATAATACAAATTCGCAAATTAATTAATATTAATTGTAATATAAAGATATATAAAAATGCGTACCGGCGTCCTCTAAGGGATCCTTATAGTGTTGGAATAAGGCCGCAATTTTGGACTCCGAATAGGCATTGTTGTTATCTCTGAATGAGTTCATAATAAAATTAGTAAACCAAATTAAATTAACCAATTGCTAGTTTCCTTTCCTTCAAATCAGCAATATAATTAAGCACGAATCATAACCTTTGTTCATATTCGAGACAAGAATTAGACATCATTTGAGTTTCCTCAGTTTTATGTAAATTAAACAAACTAACAAGTAAACCTTACTTGATAATGGTTATCGACGACGACGACGTCTTCCCCCCACTGCTGGGTCCTTTATCCTTATCCGCCGAAGTAGACCCAACCCTTCCCAAGGGTGGAATCCTCGAGTAAAAGTTTTTCTTGTCCCCTTTCAACGAAGCGGCGGACGTCCCGTCCTGATTATTCGGCGTGGAACTCGCCGCCGTCCCCGTTGTCGCACTATTATTGCCGTGGACTCGGTGATGATGGTGGTGGTGATTGTTCGTGTGTGGAACAGATTCGCCGTCTCGCATCCCGGCGCCCAGGGACGAAGAGACGTTCACCGGCGGAGAAGAAGAAGGAGTCGTAGTCGTCGGCGTTATGCTGTCCTTGTTCTTGTTGGGAGGTGTTTTGTTCTGCTCTTGGTGGTCGTGGGTGGAGGACTGGTTGCAGGATAGGCAGGCGCCCATTGGTCGAACCAAACCACTGGGTAAAATAAAAATCTAGTAGGTCAAGCAACAGGAACGGGACGAAGTTCTTCGAAACTTCGACGACGACGAAGTGGACGTGGAGTAGGAGAGGTCATATAGCATATAAAATTGGGAACAATAACGTCCTAGGTGTCGAATAAGTGACATAATATCCTCCAAAAGGGGGAAGAACAACCATTACACCCTGCAAAACAAGGAACACATTTCAATCTTCAAACCTACACAGTTTAATTTAAATAATGATTCCTGTCCTCCAGAAATAATTACCTATTATGAAATGGAAGATATATTTGACCCAAAAAACGGCAGCAAAAGATGAGAATTTACAAGGGACGACTAGGGAATAGAGAGATCCCTTTTTACTTTTAGTTCAACTATTCAGTCCAGCAGGCTCCCTTTGTGTTTCTTTATTCGTATTCTGCTGGCTGGGAGAAATAGATGAATTTTTTATACCACTACTTTACTTACTTGCTATCATATAATATGCTACTTGAGCCACCCTACTACACCTAATATGTGAAGAGCAGTGGTGTAGTCTGCCCTGCTGTATTTATATGTGTGTGATCTTGCTGCCTGGGTGAAATGGAAATGGATCGTGTGTATGATCTCAAAATGGAGAAAAATGTAAAAAAAAAAATTGGAAATTTACGTAAAATTTGGAGATGTAATTAAAATGTGGTCATTTAGTATAGTGAAATAATTAATAAGTTTCGAATTTTTTTTGTTGGATATTTTTGCGTGTGAAAACGGTGTTTTTCATTTGTATGATTTAAATGCCAGTTTAGCTAATTTATTAATGGGGAGCTTATGATAATATCATAAGCTCCCCATATTTGTTCTTACAGATTTGTTACAAGATTCATGATATAAATGAAAAGCAAATAACAGAAATAATGAAGTAGCGGAAGTAAATTCTGAATTGAGTATGAATTCTACAATTAGTGCATCATTAAAAATTTAACAAATCTTGGTCATTGTAGGTTAAAAATGATGTCGATTTCTGAAATTGCCGACCTGAAGACGGTCAAAAATAAACCTTAAAATTGCAGATGCACAATTCATATCCAATGATTAAATCCTTATGAATTAAAATAGTAACCCGCATTATTAAACAATATACGGCTCGAGGGCATATGTGGGGAACCGGATTGTTGATTTTCTACACATGCATTTAGCATTTCCATTTAACATCTCACCTGCCCGGCTGGCTGATCAGGAAGGTTGTTCATCTTACAATTTTTTACTATGTGTAAAGAATATGCGATGCGAATGATGCGATGATGTGCTTACAAATAACAATAAGTTAGTGACCACATCGTATCGGATTGAGTAGATTTGCACAGAATCTTTAATAATAATTATTGGTGTTATTATGTAATATTCTTCGAAATATGGCACCGAGCAGGTCACAAGGTCACGCTTTTGGGCTACGTGACCTTGTCGTATCCTTGTTCCCCGTTCTTATCGGACTTATCGCGTCCGTCCTCTTTTGGGGGTTAATTGTCCCCCTTGGTCTCCTTATTCTTATACCGTTCAGGACATTTGTACTCCAATCTGCCCTCAATTTCCGCTATGGGAAGGGACGCTTCACTTTGGCAGATGGAATCGACGCATTATTCGGAAACGACGAAACTTCAGGTCTGATTGAGTCAAGAAATCATAAAAAAAATCTGATTTTTTATCAATTTTTTTCACAGGATCGTCTTCAGCACCGCACATGCTTCTCGTCTGCAAAGGGACCACTCCAAATATTTCCGTCTTGCAAAACCGTTTCCTCCAGCATGTCTTTACCTACGGGGACGACACGTCGGGTCAAGCAATCTTTGGGGAGAGGCTCAAATCCCGATTTGTAGCGAGAAAATGGGGCTGGCCGGTGTGGGAGAGGATGGACGAGGACGCATTCGATATCCGTCGTCATGTCAAGCTCTTATCAAATTCTGGTAGCATGTTAAGTGAAGATGACGTTCTTGACAGGATGTCAGAGCTCATACAGGAAAAAGAGGTATATGATAATTTCGCAAAGTTGTGCCAATTTTATACTGGAATTTAATAACTTTAGGTCCACGCAACCGCGCCACAATGGGAATTCCTCCTCGTACCATATTACACCCCAAAAAACGTACCTGCTCAAAGCCAAGATAGTTATTTTGCCTGCATAATTCGACTCCATCACGCATATGGTGATGGAGCATCGGTCCTCCTCCTTCTCGATAAAGCCTTAGCAGATTGTCCCATCGCTTGGAAAATTGACCCCATGCAACCACTCGTACGATCCCCTCCACTCATTTGGACCCTATCTGCGCACGCGTTTGGAATTTTGCCCTTCCTTCGCACCCTCTTTTCCACAATGTGGGACAATTCGCCCTTCATTGTGGAGGAAAAACGTGGCTATTCAGACCGCAAATTCGTCGCATGGTCGGAACCGATAAGGCTCTCGTTTTTTAAAGAGTTGAAAAATAATTCTGGCACTGCGTTTTCCTCCATTGTGCTTACGGGTTGGTGAATTGAATACATTTTACTATGTGATTACTTAGTTATTACTTATGTTTAATTGTTTTCCAGCATTTTGCAGCGCCCTGAGAAAATTATACCATCAGAAAATGGACAGCTCCCAGTTACCCGACGTAGCAAAAGTTGCACTCGTCTCAGCCATGATTCCGTACAAAACGTGTCGACTACAAAACACGTTTTGCACATATTCCGTCCCCTGCGCCATAAGGTGATGGCCTTTTTTCCATAAAAAGTCTCATTATTTTTACGAGTTTGCAGTGCACTATTTTTTTAGCCAGCCCGACGTATCTCTTCGCCTTCAAGAAACACACGCTTCTCTAAAGAAAATCACTTCTTCGGGAGAACCAATTTTTGCCTATTTCGCCATGCGAGCGTCCGGCCTACTCCCCCGCGTCGTGATGGACCCCATCATTTCAGCGGCTCGAACGGCCATCCTCTACTCAAATATTCCTGGCCCAACCCGACCCGTCGTCCTGTTTGGGAGCGAGGTTATCCAAATGGGGGGATGGTTATCGATGATAAAGAGTTATGGTGGGTGATAAGTTATCATTGATAACACCTCATGATATCACAAAAAAAATATTGACCACATGTAAAAAATTTTGACCCAGGGTTTGGAATCATTTCGAAAAGCACGTGTGACCACGTCCGCCTCTGTTTGACCACAGATTCGAGTCTGATTTCTTCTCGGAGTGAACTCTCCCGTTTTTTGGAGGATGTCGAAGACGAGTTGGAAATGTTGGGGAGGATTTATCACGTACCGTTAGTTAGGAACGATAAGGATGATATAACCAGTACGATAAGACGGAGGAGGAGCGACTATGACATGGACCTTAAGAGAACTGGATAACTATCTATGGGCTTATCTTATGTGCCAAAATTAGAAAATGCAACGCAAATACTCTTAATTTTTGACCATACCAATGCAATAATTTATTTGCTTAATCAGTTAAAATTAATAAAATTTATCATTTTTAAAAAAACCCAAAATTAATTAGGGGATTAAAATATGTAACAATTTGCATTAATTCGTTGACCATCTCATATTTTTAGCAGCTCTTACGTGACCTTGACCTTTGACCCCACACTAATTTCCATTCGTAGCTGCGACCCCATTCGTAACTTCATCTCCGCTACCCTTGTAGCCGTTTGGGTTCATTGTTTGCCAACGCCAAAAGTCCTCACCTGATCCCAACAAAAAACAAAAACTGTTAAATTTCCACAAAAAAATTTATACAAAATTACGTCCAGTCCACAAAGAAAAGAAGATAAGCCCACAAAACAAACACTAATTAAGCATCCAATTAAATAGAAAGAGAGGAGAGAAAAAAAGCGTGCAAAAAGTATTTACACATGCGACCCAGATCATATCTTGCGCTCCATCCCAACTCATCCTTGGCGAGGGTGGGGTTCGCATACATGGCGACAATGTCCCCCGTTCGTCTCCCCTCGAGCACGTATTTGACCTTTTTTCCCGACACGGATTCAAACCGGGAGATCAAGTCAAGCACGGAGGCAGGTTTTCCGGTCCCAAGATTGTAAACCTGTCGTCGGTTAAAAAAATACGACCCAGAAAAAAATAAGATTTATAAGCATACACGATTTCAAAAATGTTCAAGTGCTTATCAAATAATTTACTTTGTGTACGTATCAGGTATTTAACTACGGCATTAATTAAATATGCAAATTACGAGCCGGTGTATGGAGGAACATGCGGTGCAAAAATCCCATTAAATATGAGGCATTTTTAGTCGAAAGTGAGTGAGTGCACACCGATTAAATACCTACAATAATTTACGGCATGAAAGTTTTTAGGACAAATACTGGACAAGAAGAAGGACAAGTCTCTACTAAATACGCCGTTTGTCACATTATTGTTCGGCTTACACATCGTTGGAAGATCATATTTCGGTCGCCACTCCAACTCTGCCAAGGCCCTCGACGAATCGCAAATTAGTGTTCCGACATCGCCGAAACGTCTCTCACCCTTCGCCAAAGGGACCTTTTGTCCTGTCGCGGACTCAAATGCGGTGACCAACTCGAGCACAGAAATGCCACGGCCGATACCTTAATTCGCAGTCTCAATTTTGTATTTTTTGTTTCTTTATATAATTTATGCTAATTTTTTGTGTCCTAATTAATTACCAATGTTGTACACCTGCGCGGATGAGGAATTATATGACGACATGTGAAAATTTGACCAATTATGACGCAAATTTTTGCTATTTTTGAAAATCTGGTCTCACCTGGAATCTTAGGTCGGGTGTGGTATCCAGCTTCTTCAAGGCGGCGACATGTCCCGATGCCAAGTCCATGACGTGGATGTAATCTCGGACTCCAGTTCCGTCCGGCGTGTCGTAGTCGGAGCCAAAAATTGTTACGTGCGGTTTTTTACCGAGGGCGACCTGGACAAGAATTACATTCTTGAATATTGAGTAAATTACTTAATTATGCATTAATTAATTGACATACTGCAGAGATAAATGGCATCACGTTGTGAATCTCTTTGGTCGGGTCTTCCCCGATAAGGCCGGATGGATGGGCACCCACCGGGTTAAAGTATCGGAGCGAAATTATGTTCCATTTCTGTCAAAATTACATAAATTAATTATGGCTAAAATGACCATGATTTAGCTTAAATATATAATTAATTACCGGATTTGACTTGGATAAATCCTTGAGCATCTCTTCGATAAAGTATTTCGTTCTGCCGTACACATTCGTCACGTTTCCGGTGGGATGATCTGTTCTCCGATAAGACAGTATTAGAGATCAAATTTATATGTACATGTAAACCACAAATCGGATACCTTCTTCAATCGGCAACTTTTCCGGATCTCCGTAAACGCAGCAAGAACTAGAATACATCAACCAAATAATTGGAAATGTTACTTGCTTATCAATAATTCCCTTTCTGCTCATCAATGAACCCACCTTGAAAACACGAGTTGATAACAATTCGCCGCTTGCATAGCTTCCAACAAGTTGATCGTTCCGATCAGATTGTTCTTGTAATATTGGAGCGGCAACTGTTTTATTAAAATTCATAAAACTTATAAAAAAATCTAGCCATTTTTTCTAAAATGTCCCAATATTTATTTTACTTACCTGCATCGACTCTCCGACCGCTTTCAGAGCCGCAAAATGAATCACCCAATCGATCTTGTGCTGGGTGAAGATTTTCTTGAGACGGTCGCCATCCAGGAGATCCGCCTTGTAAAAGGTCACCGGCTTCCCGGTGATCTTCTCGACACGGGTCAAAGCGGGGGCTTTATGGTCCGCCGTCTCAACGCTTTATAATCAATTAATCAATCAATGCGGGTAATTAATGCCACTGTATATGCAAATTTCGCTAAATCTACATAGTTTGCAACAGGCTTTAAACCTTGGTCGGGCATTCGCCTATCTCGCAATGTTTCTTGCCCGGGCACAGGATACCCCTGCCCGACCAAGGTTTATTCTCTGGTTTGCAAAGCGGTACAACTTTAAGAAACGCCGGTAGCATTATTTGTGAGCTAAACCTGCTCAGATTATTCCAAATTTTTTAAAAAACATTTCAGAGTTATATTTGCAGCTAATTTTTTCAGTAATGTGACCAAATTTCCCAGTTTGAAGTCAATATCCCATAGATTATTTTAGTAAATAATTTAGTGTATAACACTTATCTGATTCGCTCCATTTAACTAGGTAAATATAATAAGCAAGTTTTATCGACTTCTGTCCTTCGCATTTTCTCTCAAATTATTATTCTAAATTGTTAACCGTTTATAAAATCATTCTTTGTGTAAAAATTATCTCGCAAATATTAATATGAAATGAATTCATGACAAACCATCTGCTAAAATTCTCACCAATTTGTAAAGTTATCAATTGCGACCACATTAAAACCCGCGTTGAGAAGTTCGACGCAGCAGTGGGACCCGATGTAACCGGCGCCTGAAGAAAAAAACTCATAACAAATCACAACTTTCCGATAACGTCTCATCTTTCAAGAAAAACTTACCTCCCGTCACAAACACAGTTTTTCCTTCCATCTCAAAAAATCTGGTGACTTAATTGTCCGAAAGTGGAGCACAAAATGCGTGTAAATCCAAATATAATAATTCCGCAAGGTCAGATTACTGACGCAAACTGTTTAAATAAATAAAATGTGGTTGTCTTTTGTCTGTCGTGAATTGACAGGCAGATGTTTTCGCGTTAACCGGATAGACAAATTTGCCGTATTCTTCGTTATGTCACCTTTTAAATGGAGTATTTAAGAGTATTTAAAGGTGAATAGTGAGTCAAGTGCAATTAGTGTGCCCAGTTAAAATCCAATCCACGTTAGCTAAAAGGTCTTTTTCCTATGGTCCAAGTTATGTATGTACTTTCAGTTCATGGACGAATATGCATGCATATAGCATGCGATTTCAGATGCAAGAATGGAAATACAATCCTTCCACTGCTTTTTAGTAAGTCGGAGAAACAACCTGTTTCCTAATCACGTTTTTTTTCTAAACGATTCTTTCTTTACGGAACAGACTGCAATTCTATCCTCTTATTATGTAGCAACTAAAGTATAAGTAACTAAAAACTAAGCGGTGATATGTAGATATTCTGCATGGAATGAAAATGAACGAGTCAAATTGCTATGTGCATATGCATTGTGTAGAATATCAGTATGAAAATGAAGATGTAAAAAAATTGAGACAACATCCGCTAAATTCTGCTTCTATGAATGTATCTCTCGGTTGTAACTTGTAAGCAAGTGCGGATGCAAAATGTAAAAAAATTGGGCAAGACAAATACTGACTGCTTTTTATAGCGTAGTAATAAGTATATTATTTTAGCTATGCAAATATAAATGCATCATAAAATAGAGAGTTGATCCAGTTCTGGACCTTTAAAATGTTTCATGAAATGGACACATGCACATAGAGTTAGTGCTGTGCAAGTAAATTAAAGTTTAGTACATTCATAATTGCACATATAAACATTTAGTCAGTATTTAATGTGATATGAAATTACTGTTAAGGACGTATAATGTGTATGCAGTGATTTGCCATGTGCATCTTTGTAATGACAAATTAATTGCACTCATATACTAATTACCGTAAATTAAACACGGTTTAATATGAGATTTCATTTCGAGTGGGGTTTAATAAGTATACAGAACTTACATTAACTTAAATAAAAAAGATTACTTTACATATCATGTGACCTCATATTATTTCTCGTAATTATTTATAGGTACTGCATGCAATTATTTGGCATAATACATATTTGTAATAAATACACTCCTACAATTCTTCCTCATTAATCTCTCAAACATAATGTATCCTTCCTCCCAGCGTACACTTCTTCAATTTTGGAAACGCATTAAAAAATTTTGACGCTGGATGATCCTCCTCATTGACGACATGGTCCAACGTCAACTCCACCAATTCTGGCAACTCGGGCAGATGCAGGGGACAATTGCTATGCGCTCCTTCCACCCTGTTAACAAATTACGAAATTATATATAATTGTCCCCCATAAATTAAACTCGCTTTTATTCATTTTCTTACCGAAGACGTTTCAAACGCCGTCCCATCCTTTTCAGGAGGTCTGTCACATCCTCGGGGACCACATCGAGGCCTAATTTTCCCAAGTTGAGCGAGTTCAAATTGCGCTGCAGCTCCAAACTGGCCAGCACCGCGATCTGCGCCTCGAACAAAGTGCTCCCCCCGAAAGACAACGCCTTCAAGAGTGCCACCCTCTGTGGACGAAATTCCAACACAGTGAAGACTTCTTCGAGAGCATCGTCGTCCTCCAAATGGAACGCGAGCGAGGTTAAGTTGGGGGCAAACTCGAGCAGGTCGAGGAGGAAATTGGCTTCCAGACCGGAATAATAGGACGAGCAGGAGATGGAGAGTGACCTCAGAGATGGGCACGCACGCCGCATGAGGCCTCGCATTAAGGGAGGAAAACCCCCTTCGACAAGGGAAGAGGGCAAATTGGCGAGGTGCAGAGACTCCAGGAGTGGACACCAGTTCGATATCTGTAATTAAAATGTCTCCTGTTTCATAAAATGTATTAATTTCGAAAATAGGAAGTCAATTTGTATGAAAGTTGATTAAAAATTTTGAACAAAGTCACTTTTAGGCCTTTGTTATTGAACAACCCTACGATTTTATCTGGATTATAAGATATAAGTTAAATAAAAATTCCATATTTATTTGTGGACTTTTAACTTTTACGAATAAAAAAATCAAAGTATTAATTGACCAAGAATATGGTTTTTTAATAAACCAAAAATTCAATCTTCGATTAACTCATTTCTTGAAAAGACGATTTAAAAAATGCAGTGATGTACTTTTTTGACGAAATGCACATTTTTTAAGTTCAGTATTTTGCGATTTTCTCCTTAAAATTTCACCTCTTCGTTAACTAACCTGCAGAAAATAATTCTTCTGTATGGCATCGTTTCCCATCTCCACTTCGGCATCCCCACACGCCACAGCGTCCACACTGAGAGATTTTATTTGTCCCCCAAACTTCCCCATGAACTTCATCAATCCTCCATCACGAAACGGAACTCTGACCAATTTTACCCCCGAGGATGGCAAACGTCCCACTTTGTTCCAAAAATCTGTCGGGGTTCGTCCCAAGGAAGGCGAGAGGAGGTCAAGCTCCAAACTCGAGAGCGACTCGAAACGTGGGGCTGCAACTTCTGACCAGAAACGTGACACGAGTCGGGCCGACTTGACGTCACGAAGGGGCAAGAAAGACAATATTGTCGAAAGAGTGACAAAATTAGAGAATGGGCCACCGGAAGCATCGTCACGACGTTGATCTTGCAGGATGACTTCTTCACACTGACCTTGACTTTGCGGGATGACTTTTTCACGCTGACCTTGACCCGACCTATCGTCCCGTGAATGACCTTCGACCTCGTCAATCTGACCCTTATCCTCAACCTTCCTCTCCCAATATCTCTTTGCACACTTCCTCCTCGGCGGTACTGGAGTCGCCGTCGTCGAATCTGACGACGAACTCGCCCTTCTCCGCTTTTGTCTCCGCCCAGTCACAACTGTCCAACCCTCGTTGTCACCACTGTACGGGAGTAGACTATAGTAATCCAACATGACTTACTATATGTAAACAATGTGGGTGTAACTTTTCGAAAAAAACGAAAAAAACTATCAAAAATGACACATTGACTCAACTTTATCACTTTTCTTCCTGCCCAAACTGAAAAAAAGTGACGATGACTGACTGACCCACTATCTGAAAACCTGGGCATGAAAGCAAATGAAAAATAATGAACTCTCAAACCAAACTTATCCATCGTGCATGGAAGAGAATTATGCAAAACAACACGACTTTTATCAGCATCACCATCATCATAAACTACCTAAATAAAAGTTTGTTCATTCATTTCAGCAGTGGCCGCGGAAGCAGTGGGGACATTTGGGGACATTAACATTGTAGGACAAGGGAGGATGTGGGCAGCCGATGGGGACATCGAATAGCCGTGGGGACATTGTCCCCACGCTTCCGCGGCCACTGTTCATTTGTCCCGAGAACAAAGGGTCCTGTTTCTTAAACTGTAATCTCATATTTCTCAATAACAAAAACACCACCTTCTCCGTGACCTCTCTTCGGTTCAATGCCTTCTTAATTGTGCTTTTCAATTTGTTATCTTTAACGGAAGTATTAAGATAGAATTAACTTGAATATTATTTACTCTCCTCCAGGTAAAGTAAAAGAAGTATGAACGATAATCTGTAATCCTGATGACCTACATTTTTTCATCGGATTTTCATTATTTTTTCTCTCACGATTTTTTTCACGATTTTTGTTTTGGGGATTATTTGTTGACCAAGTTCAAACTGGAATCTCACAAATGTAGTTATCATGAATGTAATTAAGCTTATCTTCTTGTCATTAATCATACTTCACAATAAGAAGGTGAAGAGATGAATATTGGTCAAAGTGAGAACTATTTTTGACTGAGGTTTCCTTGTGCATGTATGTAACAGTTTATAAGTGAAGACTTTAAACATGATAAGGTAAAGATAAGGTAAAACATAATATTAGTATGTATACAGTTTATTTGTAGGTTACCATCAGTCATAAAAATTATCATAAGAAATATATACAATGCAAAATATAAGATAGAGAAAGGAACGAAGGCATTGCAGAAATTTCAAAAAATTATGCAGAATTTGGCTTAATAAACAAAACTAGCTAAGCTTTTCAATGCAGGATATACATATCTAGATGAGTAATCTGCGTGTGTGTGCCAACCAAATAATACGTAAAGATTACTTACTTATTTCAATCTCAATACTCGACCAACTTTCTCCCCTACGTGAGAGTGAGGAGTCTCACGTAGGAGTCTCTGAGTCCTCACCAACCTCTCAGCAAAACTAGATAAATCGAAGAACAACGGTCCAATTCCAATTAGATGAACAATTTGTAGATTATTTAAGACGACATTTATATCCAATGAGTAATGACTAATTTTATTAAACTAAAAGAGGAGCGCATAATGCGCATAATACATATTGTGTATTTAGTCATAATTTTGTAAAAAATATTTTATGCGTTGCCTGATTAAAATTTGTGGGAATGATATAATCCGTACTTTAACGTTCTACAAATGATAAATTACAAATTGATTGTCATTTTGCAACAGTTTTTCCGTTTATGAAAGACAATGCAATCCGAATGGGAAAATAGTTTGATACATGAAAACATGAGTCTCATTCATTCGTGTCTCGTTAACTTTGTGCAAACAAGTGGATGCTTTCACCCCTTCGATTGCGTGTCCACTCAAACTAACCAGGGAAATGAGGGGTTTGCACTACAGGCTTCTCATGATATTTCAGTGATCTTAATCTTGTGTTGTTTTAATAAATATCTTTTGTTTAGCAGCGATTTAAACCATAATTTAACTCAACTTTATGCTAAAGTGCATGAATAGAAAGTGCATCTTTTTCCGAGATTAAACTACTCCGATCAAGTCAATTATCTATGTATGTATGTCTTTACTTACCGTACTATTAGTATTAAGTAGTGTGACATGGATGGCCTGCAAAACTTTGTAAAATGTGTGTAGTTTACACTGAAATATACCTGCAATGTGATGTATATATGCACAAATACATGCTTTTCTACTGTTTACTTTGACATATTACTCGGTCCATTTTTAAGACATGCATCCTATTGTTTCCTGCTTACCTCGAACTAGGTAAGCGTAAGGGGCACGTATTGCTATTTGGCTGGTGGATCGCGATCGGTGCAAATGATTGACAAATTACATATTTAATGAATCTGTTGCACTAGTTGTTTGGGTTGTCGTATGCAAAATAAGGCTTGCATGATATCATATTTGCACAAATATGTTATTACTTTAGCACACGTGTAAAAAAACTGTACGCCGCATAAAAATAAAATCAATTGCTCGATGCCATTTACGAATATGTGCGTCAGGCCGTGGTTAATTAGTCACCCGGTAAGGACGCTTCTTTCAGTAGGCGTCTGTTTCCTGAGGAAAAAGGAATTAAAAAAATCGCAAATGGATAAGTCTCATTCAACAATCAAAACATCCCCAGTCGTCGAGCAGCCGGAAACCGGCCGAAGTATTGCCCATCATTTGCTGGGAGCAATTTCAACCACGCGCACATCAACCCCGAGATCTCCATCAATTGACAAAATTAAACACATTCCAGAAAAGTTTAAACCAGAGAAAGTAAAGTGATGTCTGAAGCTTCGACTCCAGAATCGGACGGGATTGTCGAGGCTATGACGATAATCCCCCTTGATGAGGATGACACCACCCAGCGGAGTCCCGATCGTCCGAGTATCACGTCGTGGACATTGGAAATTTGGCAGAGGATGATGAGGTTACTTTCACTTTATAACAAAATTATTTCGCATCTTAAATCATTTTCTAGTTCATTGGGGGAAACTTAGGAAAGTTCCTTAGTTTGGGACAATTTGCATTTTATAAATAAATTATGACTTTATTTCTTCGGGAATATATTTTTTTTTAACTTTGAATTTCATTAGGGTCAATTTCCCACTGGGAGAAAGTTAGCTATGGTGTACGTAGTATTCTGCATCTTTTTAATTTTCTACTTTCTCCATAATTTTGCAGCCAACTCCGTCGTCATCAAATGTAGGACCATTCACGCCAATTTGTCCAGTATTGTCCGACCAAGAAGCCACTGTCTCATCACCACCACGTGAGATTCCACATTCCCAAATTAGCAAACAATCTCCCAAATTTAGGCAAGAACGACCCCACACTTCTCCCCACTTCCAACCAGCGCGACCCCCCACATCCCGGCCTCACACGGCATATCGAATTCGCCACGACGACCTAGAACGGAACGTGCTTGCACCTTACGTCAAATCTCCATTTCCCCCACGCGTCATTCTCGAGCCATCCTACAAAACAAAGGTGAGACAATTTTTCTCCAATATTCGATCAACTGCTGCAGGCGTCTCAGTTTCCCCGATAGAAAATCCTCTCGATCAACCACCCCCACCCGAAAATGCGACAGGGATAAAAGAAGAACAGCAGCAAAATGAGCCCCAATTGGCTCAAGATAAAGTTGAGACAAATGAGAATGTTGTGACAAATGTTGAGACGAATGGAAAAGTTGAGACGAATGGGAAAGTTGAGACGAATGGGAAAGTTGAGACGAATGGGAAAGTTGAGACGAATGGAAAAGTTGAGACGAATGAGAATACTCCTCCCCCAGAGGATATTTTCCCACCCGAGTCGGTCATCATGCGACCATTTTCCGCTCTGAAGTCGCTCATCTCAAACAGCAATTATCTCGCGTGGACAACTATCCATAAATCTGAGATCGACCTTGATGACCTGGGTGACAATGAGATCGGCCCGATAAATGAAGGAGGGATGGAGATGCAGCCGATTAATGCTCAACAACAAAATCTTGATGGTCAACTCGAAATCCAAAATCTTGACCAGGACGGAGAGAAAGCAGAACCAGAAGAGGTGGCAAATGAGATCGTCAACGGTCAGCAAGCGGGCGGCCCCGCGGGGATGAGAATTCTCGGAGCGGCGAATCAATTGATGGCAGTGAACGCATCCCGAAATCGCTTCAAGGAGATGGCTGAAATGAAAAGGAATCTTTTCCTTGATGCTCATCAGTCCCTTCAGGTCGTCGTCAATGTGGGGGCGTGGCAGTTACTCTGCCCCTTTGGAATCTGGGAAAACGATGGCGTCTTTGAATTAAGGAGCAACGTAATTCATGCGGTGAGTGAAAGTTGTACTCATTTTTTTAGAAATTGTTAATTTAGTAACGGTAAAAGTTGACTACGAAGCATGCACCATAATTACAGGACAAGACACATCAATATCATACGTACTTACAAATAATAATTATGCATTCATTACGCCACACAAGTACAATCCAACCCTCACGCTTTTTTTATCACGCACAAAAATCCAACATCACATTAAATCGTGCAATTCAATGAAAAGCATCGATCAATACTTTATTAAGCAAAATGCCCATACTAATTTCCACTCACTTTCTCCCGGACAAAGCCAGGGGACAAATGTTATATGCATGGTTGTGGTTCGTTCAATCAATTTTCATTCGTCCATAAAAAATTTACGTCCTGGAAGGGCAGATTTACCAACCCTCATAAGTCCATAATTTGACACTACTTAATGAATTTTGTAGTGGGTGCTCAACCTGTTGTACTGTTATCTAGGGAATTGTTTACCCCATGATCCTGGTGACCACATCATTCAAGACCTATGAAACCTACATTGCCTGGACCGCATCACAGTTGAAGGGAAGGCCCGAGACCACAGCGTGGTTTATGATTCATGCTACATCCACACTTTTGCTGGGCTGCTACCTGTTTTGCGTTACTGTCAAGCGAAATAAATTTGGAAAGATTTACAAAAGCTTCAAAATTCAGTCCGAACAGATGGCGACGATGATGCGAAAAAAGAAAATAATGGTAAGAACAAATTAAAAGTTTAAATTCTCTACAAGAATGGATGAGAATAATGGTACTTGAGTTATGAAACAACAAAGCCATAAAATTTCGAACTTGTGGTTATATTGAATGAAAATGGAGATATACGAATTCGAAAGTGCAAGTAGCTTTTGTTTATTTCGTGGATGCACGTTGACACTATTCTGCATTGAGCAACTGGGTACAATGACTAAATTTCAGCTCATCAATAGCTAATGAAAAACACTTGTAATTTTCAAAATCCTTCTCTCTTTAAAATGTAATAGTTGAACAAAACCCCCAAAAAATAAATTCAAAAAGCATTGCTAAAAACTTGACTCATAACCTCATCTATAGATTCCAGTTTGTTTATTTTCATAACTGAAAATATATGCACGAATGATTACAAACTAATGCAGTTTCTAGGACTGAAAATTTTTATGATGAGCAGCAAATAATCTGCGTTTGATGTATTCTTCATAGTATCCTGTCACCCAAGCAAGCATCAGTCCAATTTAATTTAATTTAGGTAGTCATTTAACCTGCACAATAAAAATATAAGAAGTGCGTTATATTTTTAATATACATAGTGCCACCATCAATATAAATTAAAAACTTACAAGATCGTTCATCATAATTTCTGTATTCCGCCTTTCCTGGCTCTTTTTGTCTGGAATGTATCGAAAGCCTTTGCCCCTTCACATTCTTTGATGCACTCATCAACCTCCTTGATTGGCCAGAAATTTCTATCCTCGCAAGTCCCCCATTTTATTTTTATTGTTTCGCATTTTTCTGTAGATTGGTCATAACGATAACTAATTCCGTTGATTCTCATACACCCAGTCATATTGTTGTTCTCGCAACCTAAATGTACATATATAATAATCAAATAATCAATAAGATGAATGCAACACATAGTCTGCTGAAATTCAATATTTGACTTTAACAACACACCCAGAGGTGTGGCAAACTTAGGTATAATGGGAGTCTCCCAACGTATCTATGCTCACAGATGTTGACCAAATTAGTGTCAATCGGTCACAAATTAATTAATGCAAGAACTTATAAATTACACAATCTTCGAATGCTCAGGTTTAGCAGGGGTATTTCAGTTCAAAGAGGAGAATTCACTCCAAAGTTAACTACACTTTACAAATTTGCTGCGCAAATGTTGAAATGCAAATATCTCCGCATCCGAATCTGAGCATTCGAAGGTTTGCGTATTTTATAAGTTTTTGTATTAATTAAATTTGTAAAATTTTCTTATGACCGTTCCCCTGCAGGGTCAACGAATTAATTTCGTGTCCTTTCTCTATTATACCCGAATACACTTCCAAAAGTTTGCTTCGTCATTCCGGCAGAGATCACTCGTCAAGAAGTATTAAGTAGCAACCACCTAATAAGTATGTCTAATTCTTTTATTTGGCGACTTACGAGGGGTTGGAAATAGCTTGAAAGCTCCCGATGCTGAAAACAAACCCAGAAGTAATAAGGAAATAATAATAGGACTCATGATAACTCGACAAACTCCCACTAGAAACCAATCCAAGCAAATTTCCACTATGCAAGTAATTTATAAATCTAAAGTAGCGGATGTACATTATTAACAGTATATGGCTTTATTTATGCGTAATAATTGTACCGAAAGAAACAATAAGGTTGTAAAACTTGGAATTTCCGCAAATTTTCAGTGCCACTTAACAACCCCTCATATGGAGAGTAACACAAGCACATTGATAAAATATGAAGAAAATGTATATGCAATATAAATTTGTTTTGTTTCGTAATGCTTACAATACAAATGATGAGGTATTTATCTTAGATTTTCGGTGGGCAAATTTTAAATTGTTCTCTCACGAAAATAAGCAGACCCACATTTTTGCTCTTTCTAGAATGTGTGCATTTTCGCGTCTCCCTATTAGATATACTCCCATATAATAATTTATACACAAAGTCTGGAATTGTAGCACATTGTAGGTAAATCTATATTACGTCAGCATTTTTTGATTATGACTTCATACTTTCGAAGATTATTAAGCAGTTCGTAAATTATGACCTCGGTTATGCCCCGATACCTCCATCTACCACGGCAAAAATCATGTTGAATGGACATTACGATTATTTGAAAAATTATTTTGAGTGCTAGTTTGAACTATATTTTATCAATGTTTTTTGTCTTCATAAAATAAATACCTATGTTCTTCACTTTAAAAATCATAAAACTGCATGATAATCTGTTTCTTACAGTTCATGTTTTTGACATTTTTTGTTGGACTGGGCTTTTCTTCTTTCGTCAACTGGAGTGAATGGATTTGTACTCTGTATCACGAAGGGGAAGCACGTTTGATTCAGGAACTCACAGAATATTTCAAACACCTAACACCTGAAGACTGTCGGGAGTCTGAGATTTGTTTCCCAGCAGTTAGTGTTGCAATGATGGGAATGAGGGTTGTGGCAATATTGCAACTGTTCCACATTGATTTAACCCTGTGGGGAACGTCAGGGTCATGCTACTCGATGGAGAGGACTCTCCGAGCAATGCTTTTCAACAACGATGTGCCCCTGGATGTGAAGAAGGTTGGCAATATTTCGTTACAATTATAAGATCCTCGAGTAAAAACTAAACTTGTTTTCAGAAAAATGAAATCTTCCGGAGCGTCAAAGCCCATATGCATGATGTCAACTCTGCCATCGGGCCGTTGTTAATGGCCAGCGTCATCCAAATGGTCCCTTACGGGGTGCTAGTACTCGATCGGTTTAGCAATGCAAAAAACTTGGAAGACATACCATGGCTAGATTGCTGTATCATGACAATGAAGCTGGGTCACATTCTTCTGGCTGCTGAAGCCGCAGCAAATGTGAGAAAAATTAGCATTAGGGGAAATTAACTATTTAGTTTACATAAATTTAATTTGAAAAGGCTGACAACTTGTGGGAAAGAATTAAGTCGGACAGAGCCACCTACGCGGAAGGGGAAGATTTGGCCCTTGAGTTGATTACCGTGTCCGAAAACTGCATCCGCCTGAAAGGCATGGATTACTTTTATGTGACTTATCGCACAATTCAAACGGTATGATCCAACTTCACTTGATGAAATTAAATGTCACTGGTTAATTCTGTTTTGATAACTTACGTACTTCCAGATATTGATGGCTGTCATTACTTATTATTTGGTGGTGGCCGATATGCAAAAGGATGAGCCGAAGATTGAAAAGCTGCTGAAGAAGCTTATTGAACTATACAACAACAGCACATTAATTTATCAAGCTTAATACGATTCGTCACTATTTCTGGCTTGATTTAAATATTAAGTGCACTGTCAACTGTAAACAATAATGGATACGATAACTTTAAAAATCTTGTATATACAAACATACATATGTGCTTAAGACTCGTATTTACTAAGCGATTAATTGTAAAATTCTAATTAGATCTAGTCTGACTCAATTTTTTGTCGGAGACTGCGATATTAAATGCATAATGCAATTTTCTCACGAATTTGAGTCTCAATTTAGAAGAGTTGAAAAGCTTTATTAGCTGAAACATTAGAAAATATGTAAGTACTTTCTTTATTTTAATAACTTGATTGAAAATTATGGTTCCTTTAATGAATTAATACTCGGTTTTGGTCAAAATGCAAAATGATGACAACGAATATCTTTAGAAGATGAGACCATTGTAATTATAAAAATTAATTTCTAGCTACTCTGATTGGCGTACATAAATTACATACATGTAGAAAATGATCATGGATAACTACTAGTTTCCTTATAAGTATCTATATACATAAATTAAGAAAGTTGAGAAACAAGTATAATATAACTGAGGAGAGAAATACCTATTATGCATAGGAAAAATAATCATGTAATAATTAATGGCGTCTGATCTATAAAATTAAGTGCACATAAACATTAATTACACATTTTTTTAGTACCTACATTCATACATAAATACGTACGTACACTATCGATACATACAAAATACGAGACATTACACACCAGCTTATTCGAAATATAGGCATTTACGATGTTATCCACAATTTCGTCAATTGCAAAAAAAATCTGTAGTGCTTAAGCCACCTAAGCTATCAAGTACTAATCAATAGCATTTATACATATTCCATTTTTAACTAATGCAAACAACAATGTAAAAATTGATTAGTCTCACTTAATGAAAATATGATTGTTAATAATTCTTAGCTTTAAATGACGGCAGGCGTAGTATTCTGCTGCTCTGCAATGCAAATGTCCAAACCCATGTAAATATGTACATGTTGTATGAGCACCACAGTTTTCAATATTGTAAATATTTATTAAGATAAACATTCAAATTTTAAAGGATTAAGTAATTTAGCAAAAATTGCAAAATTTCCCAGCTTAATTTAAATTTATATAAGAATAGTTTGTAAATAGAGCTCGTACATAGTTGTTAATATTAAGACGTACAATCTTATCCCGCTGTTCTGATAGCTCACAATTAATTACACAACCAACGTAGCGTCACCAAAAATAATTACAAAGTACGGTATCAGAATAGTACCAGATACAAAGAGAAAGACCAGTAGGACATGAACACCCTGCACCTGATACTCGAGAAAAGTAAGCTTGAGAGCTCCTGTAGAGATTGCAAAAATTATGCAGTTTGACTTAGGATTAGTAAATAAAAGTAGTTGCATTTTTAAAATTTAGAATATATCTAGATGAGTAATTCTGCGAGTGTATATATGTATAGGTAAGTGCCAACTAGCTAATACAATCTAAATAAATTTGCATTTAAATAGCAATATCAAAATTTATCAGCTTAATTTAAAGCCTTGTAAGAATAAGGTGTAAATAGAGCTCGTGCATGGTTGTTAATATTAAGATTTACAATTTTGTCTCGCTGTTCTGATGTTTCATAATTATCTAATTACACAACTAACATGAAAATAATATTACCAGAAATGAATTCAAAGCACAGATTGAAAGACCAGTAACACACAAGAAATACACTGCCCTGTAACCCTGCATTTGATAATCAAGAAAACTAGGTACTGTAGAAATTTCAAAATTATGCGATATTTGGCTTACAATTAGAAAATAAAACTAGCTGCACTTTTTAATTTAAAATATATCTAGCTAAATGAATAATCTGTGAATGTGTGTGCCAACTAGCTAATAAGTATAAAGTATCTAAATATGCATGCAAATAATGTTGTATTACTCTTGTTTGTCGTCTTTATTGCTATTATTTTGTCATCATTTATCCAAACGTGATTATTTATAACCAATATATTTATGGTTATTGATTTATTGAATGTATATAATTGAGCTTCTTTAATCTTAAATTGTGCTCATGCTTGCTTCAATCCAAGGAATCTTTGTTGCCAATAAATTCCCTTTTATGCTCAGTCAAAATTGCACTTTTGGCATTATTTTTTTAAGTACATAAATACACACAATTATATTTCAAATTCATTTCCAGTTGTATTATATGTGCATTGTTATATTTTTAAATAGGGTGATTGGTAGTTCAGAATTGGATAATATAATTCTTTGGTGGACTAACTATCCATAAATTTAATTACCTAAGAAGTATTACCTTCCGTTCCATATTATTAACCATATGTTTTTTTTAATTCGAAAGGACAAGCAGTCCCTTTGTTTATAACGTTGGTCTACGTATAATTTGTGCAATTACTCTCTAATTTTATCACAATTACTCTCAACAGACCCAGAGGGGTAACAGAATTATAATGGAGGTTTCCCAACGTATGCTCAAAGATTTTGACAAAACTATTGTCAAGCGGTCATAAATTTAATTAATGCAAAAACTTATAAAACACACTATTCTTGAATTCTCAGGTTTTGGCGGAGATAATTGCGTTCAAAGAGGAGATAATGTGCCCAAAAGTTAACAAAGTTTACACTTTCCAAAACTCGCAGTAAATTACAGCGGATTTTCTAATCTTGAGATGCAAATATCTCCATGCACCAAATCTGAGCATTTGCTGATAGGGCCTTTTGCATATATTTGTGATCAATTTACACAAATTTGGTCAAAATCGGAGAGCATACGCTAGGAGACATCCATTGTGAGTGATATTTACAATTCTTCGACTATTGCGCATACTCGCGAATAGGCTCTGCTTTTCAAAATTTACTTATGACCGTTTCCCTGCAGGATCAACCAATTAATTTCGTGTTCTCTATAATACCCGAATAAACTTTAAAAATTTTACTTCGTCATTCCGGAAGAGATCGCTGTTTAATAGCATTAAGTAGCAACGGCCTAATAAGTATGTCTAATTCTTTTATTTGGCGACTTACGAGGGGTTGGAAATAGCTTCAAAGCTCCCGATGCTGAAAACAAGCACAGAAATAATAAGGAAATAATAGGACTCATGATAACTCAAATCATGACAAATTCCCATTAGAAATGAATTCAAGAAAATTACAATAGGCAAGTAATTTGTAAATTAACGTAGCGGATGTAGACGATTTGGCTTTGTTTATGTGTAATAATTGAACGGAAAGAAACAATAGGGTTGTAAAATTTGGAACCACGCGGTAGAGTCATATACGTTTACATTTTGGTTATAATTTATAACCAAAACTATTATAACTTATAATCGTAGCCCAATTTCTAAGAGCGTATCAGACTCAAACACCAGTTAAGTAACAGCAAGAAATGCCCTGCACTTGATAATCAAGAAAACTTCGAAATTCCAAAATTATGTGACATTTGGTTTACAATTAGTCTGTCTTCATTTATCCAAATATGATTATTTATAACCAATATTTTTATGTTTTTTGATTCATTGTGTGTAATTGAACTTCTTTAAACTTAAATTGTACTCATGCTTGTCTCAATCCGTGGAATCGTGGTTGCAAATAAACCCTCCCGTTTTATGCTCAAATTGCACTCTTTGCAGTATTTTAAAAACAGTAAATACGCACAGTTATATTTCAAATTCATTTCACAGTTCTTTGTACTATACATTTTGTTATATTTTTAAGGTGATTGGTAGTTCAGAATTAATACAATTTTTTTGTAATTGTGAACTAATTATTCATAAATTTAATTATCTGAAAGTATTACCTTTCGTTCCATATTATTTATCATACGATTATATACATATTTATTTATTATATTTAATTACAATTAATTCGAAAGTGCAAGTAGCTTGAACAACTGGATGCAATAGATTTTTGAGGAATCTTTTATTCCAGCTCAACTGCTAATGACAAGCTCATTGCTATTCTTATAATTCGTATGAAATTCTCTTCTTTCTCGTCTCTCGTGACCAGAAAAAAATAAGTGATAAAATTCCCTAAAAAATGATGCAAACAAGTTCAGCAAGCATTGTTTAACACTTTTAACTTAAGTTCACCGTAGCCTTATCTGAAGACTAATTTTTTCTTTATTTTTATAACTGAGAATATATGCACGAATGATTACAAAATATTACATTTCTAAAAGTTATAATCGACTGTTTTAGTATATTTTTAAAGACAAGCGACAGATAATTTAGGCTCGTATATGCTGCATACTTAGGGTCCTCTCACCCATTAATCAACCTGCATAAGCATGATCCCAAACATAAAAAACATGTTATAATTTTAACGTAGCACAACCTTCAATATAACTTACAAGATTAGTCATTTTGATGTCACTTTTTTATTCCTGTATGCAAGATGAGCCTTTGGTCCTTCACATTCTTTGATGCACTCTTCTTTTTCATCTGCTGACCAGGAATTTCTATCCATGCAAGTCTCCCACTGTACCTTTATCAATTTACATTTTTCGATAGATTTGTCGTAATGATTACTAGGTCCTTTGATCCTCATGCACCCGGTCATATTGTTGTTCTCGCAACCTAAATATACACAATGCTTAACATAACATGCATATAATTAGTCTGCTGAAGTTTAATATTGGCAGCATCACTCCCCCAGAGGGGTATATAGCAGAAATGCAGAATACAATGGACGTTTCCCAGCTCTCAAATTGTGACCAAATTAGTGTCAATCGATCACAAATATAATGAGCATGAAATTTGTGTAAATACTATTTTTCAATTCAGGTTTGACGGAGATATTTGCAAAGAGGAGAAAATGCGTTCTAAAATAGTTAAATTTTCGGATGCAAATATCTCTGCCAAATCTGAGCATTAGCAAATAGTGTACTATGCAAATTTCATATTAATTGAAGTGATCAATTGACACTATCAGTAATTTGCTCAAAATCAGAGGGCATAAGTTGAGCACTCCATTGATAAGTAATATTTATGTATAGTTTCTGCTTCTATTACACCCGTATTATTCATAATTTGCTTATGACCGGTGACCTGCAGGATCAATCAACTAATTTTCACGTTCTCTATACCCGAACACTCCTGACAGACGGCTCGTTTTTTTCGTTTAAGGTAGCAGCCACTTAATAAGTAAATATCTAAATATGTATGTTTCTATTATTTTCTGACTTACGGAACGCTGGAATGTAAGCTCCTGATTCTGAAAACGAACACAAAAGTAACAAGACAATCATAGGACTCATGATAACTCGAAAAATAGAAACGATTACAAGCAAATGGTGATATAGATATTCGAACAAATTATACATGCATCTAAAGTAGCGGATGTGGATTATATGACTTGATTTTCATATGCATAATTTTATTAATTGTACTGAAAGAAACAATAAGGTTGTAAAATTAGGAATTTCCATAACTTGTAAGCGTATCAATGACCAAGTCTGGTTTGATTATCGGAACTGGTAATTCCGTGTAGCTTAATATGTAGCTTATCAAAAACGGTAATCAATTTCCGTTGCAGAAAACAATTTTTTCACGATTATTTATTTACCAAGTTCAAACTGGAATCTCACATAGTTATCATGTATGTATTTAATTAACCTTATCTTCTCGTCATTAATTATACGTAACAATATCTTGAATCCTGTTTTTGAGTAAGAGGTTGAAAAGTGTTTGTTCAAAGTGAGAACTATTTTTGATTGAGGTTTTCTTGTACATGTATGTAACAGTTTATAAGTGAAGTTTATTAGTATTTATACAGTTTATTTGTAGGTTATCATCAGTACGGAACTGTGGATTGTTTTGTGGTGCGGATAATAATCAGAGTACTTTTTTTAGATTGAAAAGTTTCATTAATTAATTTTAATTAATTAATTAATCATGGTAATGTCAATGTTTGTCAATGTAGAGTATATGGTATGGAATATATATAGTTACAAGATGGTGGTGGTGGGTGAGGGGGGTGGTGTAAATAGTGTAGTCAAATAGACGAATTGATGACGGGTAAGCTCTTATCAGGGCGTATCGAGAAACATTTACATAACACATAATCACACTTAAATTTACGTGTGGTTGGCTTGAGTCCTCCACAATAATTAAACATGTATGTACAAGTATTAATTAATTAATTAATCATGCAATTAATTCCAAGTTTACTAACTTTTTGACTAGTGCACACATATATTTAGAAGCAATTTACAGATAAGTCCTTAATCATAATTTTAAGCAGAATTGAACTTTGCAGGACAAACATCAGGTAAAAACAGCATTGTCAACATTTTATCATAATGTGAAATCATGAGTTTAAATTGGCATCTGGTTTTTCGAGCATGCATTTTTCATTTGGTTTTAATTTTACTAGTACATTTTCCTTAATTGTGTTAGTTTTAGTTAGTTAAATTCAAAATCATTTAATGTGTCCCATTTCCCACAACGAGTTAGCTTGTTTTAATCCATTATACACTAAGCTAAAATACATTCAGACACAGTGTTATATAATTAGTTAATTAATTACGTAGTTAGTTGGGATGCATATTTACATACTTTTTTGTGAATATAGTTGTGATTGCAGCAGCACATAATTCGTGGTCATGAAGAAATCTGTGTCACAACACAATCAATTCGAAAATATGGACATTTCCCAAAACTTAAACAGTGACATGGAAGAAGATGAAGAAATTAAAAATTGTAACTCCACATTTATGTACTTTCAAAGGAAATGACGAGGAATCTGAAAAATCGAGACGAAACGCACTACAATCACGCGGACAAGAAAAATAAACCGGATGTAATAGAAGAACAAGATCGAGTATGATGATGGCACAGAAGGTTCATTTTCAAGTTTCAGGTGCAGATGTGGTCATAGTTGGCGTCATGCTTGAAGGAGAAGAAGAAGACATAGCAGATGACGAAGTTGAAGGTACAGTTGAGGAAAAAAGGGTCGTCTTAGTCTGACTAATCCAAGAAACGATGGAATGAATCGTGGGCTGAATAATTCCTCGAAGTGCGTTCCTCTCCTTTCAAATGTGTTGGACATATTCCGGATTCAGAAAAGAAAAACCTTGGAACTCGGTCTAGAAAATAGAGTCAAAATTTAGTCAAAATTTCGATTTTTTCTAAAATTATGTGTATGTACCTGATCCAAGTTCATCATGAATAGCTTATCCGTCGGAGTTAACTCCAATTTCTCCAGGGTAAACTGCTTATCAAAGTTGGACACGTCTTTGCGATGTTTCTAGGTAAAGATAACACAAAATATGTTAAAATTTCGCCTTTTTCATAAGTTTTTAATATATCTCATCAATTAAAATCTTCTTCACCTATCAAAAAATCTACAGAGTCAAAAAAATAATGTCAATTATCACTTACCGAGTCCCCCATAAACCCCTCACAAAAAATGAGAATTGTTTTTTTATGCACGCAACATAACACGCAACTAAAAATCTTTACACAAAAAATTAATCAACTCAAATTTTTAATAATGCCCAAATCTACCACGAATTACTTAAGTAAACGAGCAATTAAAATTAACTAAAAAATAAAATAAAAATGCATATTTTTCTTTACTTGTCCATCTACACTTCAATTTTTATTATTATTATTTTTTAATAATTGAGGCAAATAATGCTGCTCCTTAATAGGTAAGTAGGCTTATCAATATTGCGACACATTTTTCACAGATAAGTAACAACATGTAATACGAAAAAAATGGGGTGGTATTTTGAGTTCCTAAATACGTAGCGTCTCATTTTTTCATGGGGGGACAAAATCACGACTTACCCCTCATGCCCCCCTTTCATAATTCTGCATCATTTCACACAAACGATAACAATTACGCTACGAGGACAGAACAATAACACTCCAGAACACGGGACACATTACATTCAGATGAAACATTTATCATATTTTCTTCCCGTATTTCGTGTGTAATGGAAACAATAAGGGAAAAGTTGTAAATATTTATACGTGTTGAGGGAATAAATCACAGAAAAAGCCAAACGTACATATTTACGTATTTATCCTTTAGAGTTGACAACACCTAATTAATTTCAGTAGCAGAGTTACTATTATACGTATATTATTTACTTAAGCAGTTTGACTCAAGATCAGTACGCACAACAACAACAACTACAAAACCATAATTACTTAAATACTATAATTAATTAATTGTGTACCTAATCGTTCCACTACGTAACTGCATGCACCTTATCGTCTGCACCATTCGTAATACGAACATAATTCTAATTTGTAACAGTGTTTAGCCCACAAACTACTCACTAATTTATTAGCATGCTTCTTAATCTCATTGTAATACAACAACGATAAGTAGCTATTTGTAATGTACGTATGTATGTACATCGATCGTCACAATATTTGATTCAGAGTTTACCTTAATAATAGTTTGAACTAAAAACTAACTAATTCGGGAAGGATTGACTAACTAACTAACTTTTAACGAAATTGAGTAATATTTTAAGGCATCATCGATTGATTTCGTATTCATATTCATTCAAAGTACTTCTCTCTCAGGGCAGTTAAGTTAATTAACTAAATATAATTAATTAATAATTGTAATGAGCTCGATCAGGGTAATAATAACACTTTAATGATATGAAGGTCGTAATATAAGGTCAGTCCTCCTTCTGGGCAGATAAGCTGTTTATTATTTACGTCTTTTCTTCCGGAATGGGTTTGGTTTGCTTGCTTGTATTTTTCTTCTTCTTCTAAATCACTGCCGGGGTTGGGGTCACGGGTCGCAGGGGGGAACTATTAGTCTTCATGGAGAGGTCATCAAAACCCGGGACTGGGATGACCACATCGTCCCCGACCATCGGTTCAAAGTGTGGATTACAAAAGGAAAAGCAGGGAAATTCACTTCCATTAAGGTTCGAGAGTATCATTGCGGCATTCTTGTCCGGCGGGGTTAACGTGGTCCGTCCCTTGGTAAAGATGGGGTCAAAGTTCTCACCCAGACGTGGATTTTTCTGGAGAATAGTGCCACAAATACACACAGATGAAAAAACAAAAAAGTAAATAAAAAATATATTGCGACAATTTTTAATATGTAGTAGGTAAAAGCAAGATTAAAAATTTAGTAGTAGTGTAGTGTGTTACCGCTGCAAATACATACTTATTCAGTAGCTGATAAGTGAGGATAAGATGAAAGAGAGAGAAAAAATTAGTACAAAACATGACAAAATTGTGAAGAAAATAAGCAACCCGTATAAAATCTGGACGTGAAAGAAATGATGTTGTCCAAGATATAAAAAGACCAAGAAATCCATCTCCTTCACATCAAATGTGTCCACAAACAACCACCAGAAAAACCCGACCCGCATGGCCTTTCCAATTTATACTCAAAGCGAACATACATCAAAAAACTGCACACAAAGACATTTAAATATAACATGTCATTCACAAAGCCAAAAGCAGACGACATACGCAAATTCGACGATAAAAGTTTAATGAAAAAAGTGCCCCCGAAATACCAACAAGAAAAAAGTAAATATTTATTCTACTCATCGTCATCGTCCCACTCACAATTCTGGGTTTAAAGGGTGGCTGCACTTCCCGATTTTCAATCCTTTCCCAGTCGATCCTCCGAAAGAAGGGGTGGACCCGGACGTTGTTTTCTCCATTGTCCTCCCCCTTTGCTCCACAGCCTAACCGTTTCACCGGATTTTTTGTGAGGAAACCTTTGCACGCTTCTTTCGCCTCCTTGCTCATGGCCTTCGGGTAGGACACGTTGTGATCCGTGATGGCGGCGAAGAGCTCTTCTTCATCCTCCCCGTCGAAGGGGGGCTGTCCCACGAGCATTTCGTAGAGCAGGACGCCGTACGCCCACCAGTCGACAGATTTTCCGTACGGTTGGTATAAGATTATCTCGGGAGCGATATAGTCCGGCGTACCGCAGAAGGTTTTGGTCGTCTTGTCCGTGAGAATGCCTTCCTTGCACATGCCAAAGTCGGCGATTTTAATGTGACCGTCCTGAAAATAGGTAAGTTTCAAGTTACTCTTTGTAGACTTATTTCTATTTCTGTCAGAAATTTCTCAGAAACTTTTGCTTTCTCGGATTTCATGCATCTTAAGGAAACACTACTATTTGTCATTTTTTATCGGAAACAAACCTGGTCGAGGAGGACGTTGTCCAATTTTAGGTCGCGGTAGATGATGCCGCGCGAGTGCAGGAAGAACAAGCCGATGGCAATCTCTGCAGAGTAGAAGCTGCAAAAAAAGAAGAGAGAGATTAGCTTGATAATCAATGGGATATTTTTTGTGACGATAAATGGGTACGGTAAATGGGTATTAAAAAATGCTAAATTAGCCATCTTATGAATTTATGTTTCATGTGCAGTTCATTACAGTAACACAATTTTTTGCTCCGTAAAATGTAAAATAATGCACAGAAATTTCCAAAGAAAACTTTCTCTCATTAATTTCTCCAGATTAGACCAAAAAATTAGCAAACCTATCGTTTGAGTTATACTTCTAAACAAAATATAAAATTCTTGCCAGTGTCGTTAAACCATTACTAAATATTTTCCAAGTTAATTATAGACCTAGACCGTTTCACAACATTTTTAAGTTAATTATTCTCAACTTTTGTAAATGAATGCAATGCTTAGATTCTAATTAACCCGATCTCGTCAAACTTGCATATTTTGTCTATAAACAAAGTCAACTCACACTGCCACGGGTTCCTTGAATTTCCCAAATTGTTGAATTTGGAACATTAAATCTCCTCCGTTTACGTATTCCATGACAAAATAGAGCCGATCCATGGTTTGGAAGCAGGAATGGAGCTGGACCAGGAAGGGCGGCTTGCTCGAAAGTGCGAGGACACGTTTCTCCACCATCGTACACTCCACGTCGTCGTCCTGAATTATGATGTCCTTCTTCAATATCTTTATCGCGTACAGCTCATCCGTCCCCTTCCGCTCGGCTAGCATCACCTGCAAGAAATCATTTCAGCCATCTCAAATCCCTACATATATCAACTCAAAAATTAAAAAACCAAGTAAAATCCCGTTTAGAAAAAACCGTGGGTTCGAATTTGTGGTGCAAATGTGTATAAACACCGGGAGAGCGTTAGAAAATTACAGGTTCTCGAGCAGTTTTAGGAATTTTTAAAGTTTCCGGAAATTTTCGAGTCCGTTTTTTTACGGGTCGTTAGAATTTTCCTGGATTTTCTTCCCCTCGTTTTCCAGGAATTCGAACCCACGAAAAAAGTACCCTTAAAAATTTCTCACCTTTCCAAAACTTCCTTTTCCAAGAACCATCAAGAAATTAAAATCCGTCGCCCGAATGACATCCTTCTTGTTCATGTTGTGTGGAACTTCTTTGTCCTCGACTGTCGGCGCGCGTCGCTCCACGGAGATGGACGACTTCTAAAAGTCGCAGTTACGTACAAGACAAAAATTAGCATGATACATACTTTCCTCCCCCAAAAAAATACAGGATTTCGCTTTTACGACCAGGATTTCACTCCCATTTTCGTCGTACGAAACCTTTTCCACAAAAAAACCTACCTGACTCGGACTCCGCGTGTGAATCGTGGTCCCCTGAGCACCACGACCACATCCACCACCAGGTTTGCATGACAGTAGTGCAAGCAGGGCAGGGAGAGAAGGGATTTTTTAATCAGGTTATCATTTCCACAGTGAAGGTGAGAAAGTTAGTGATTTAGTGAGAATAATTTACAGGGAAAGTTGTGTATTTTTTAAGTGACAGTTATCAAAATACAATCATTTTCAGAGAGATTGTGAGAGTGCGTTGCATTGCAGGGATGCAGTTTCCAAGATTGGATGGAGTTTCAGTGTCACAAAGAGAAGAAGAGAGACAGAGAGGAGCAGCAAATATCAAAAAAATATATTTTTTAGATACATACTTTAGGTCAAAAAATGGTCGAAAAATGTTACCAGTATTGTATAAATTGGTTCAAAAAAACGGACAAAAAAAGATGCAAGAAAGATATAATATTCAAATCAGACAGATTTTCAGTCACACAGTTTTTACTCTGAGGAAAAAAAAATCTCCCAAAAAACGGGCATTTGCAAGACGAGCTAATTACTAATTAACTAACTAACAAAGCAATCTTGACTTTTTGAGACAAGTGTTAAAGAAGACAAATAGAGACACACTTGCATACCGACTATTTACATAGGACTACTAAAATACACACAAATTTACAAATAGAAAGAGAAAGCACACGTAAATAGGACAAGGAACGAATATAAATAAATGCAAGACAAGATGTGCAACTTTCTCTTCTTACCCGCATTTGATTCTTGACCTGCAACAGATCCACGCTCTCCTCGGGAACGGGAACATTGTAAAATTCGCCCTCCTCTTGTGTCAACAGTTTAAACCATCCGTCAACCTGAGGAGAGAAAAAAATATTTCAATTTTTACAGAATTTCATAAAATTCAAGGTTTCTGAACTCGAATTATCTTGAGTTTTATCCCCAGAACTCGCGAAATATTGCAATTTTTACCACAATTTACAGAATTTCATAAAATTTAAAGTTTCTGTACACGAATATCTCGATTTTTTAAATCCGAGAACTCGATAAATATTAATTTTTTTACCTAATTTACAAAATTTCATAAAATGTAGAGTTTATGAACACGAATGATCTTGATTCCTATCCAGAACTCGCAGTGTTGCAATTTTTACCACAATTTACAGAATTTCGTTAAATTCAAAGTTTCTGAACACGAATTATCATGATTTTCTGAACCTAGAACTCACCGGCTGTTTGAGCACTTCCGATATCCCGAAGGAAAGCGACCCCATGAAATCATTTCGTGATGTTCGATCCCAATCCCACACTTCGATTAAGAGACGACGATCCTTGTCCTCTGGTTTCAACTCGCTGCGTACCAAGAAAATAATAACAATAATCATAAATCAAAATCCCCTTTGTGCTGAAAGACGGCATCATCCAAATGAAAATAAGGGGACGAAGACAAACATAACTTTGATCATAATCGCGTCATATCTTCAAATTACGGCCTTTTCTTTCAACCCACGCGTCCCAAATTCTGTACAAATAGTTACTTAATATACGGCGGCAGTGTGCCCCTTGAGGTGCATGAAATCAAGACAAACTGCCCACGATATTTTGCCGTTGAAATTTTGAATATAAATATTTTGAAATGGGAGAAAGCACATTTACGTATTGCAAGTCTAAACCTTTTGGAGTGCCCGAAATAGAATTGTAAAAATTGCAAAAAGTTTTTGCAATCGGTTTTCTTAATACACTGAAGAAAGATTTATGAAAACTGCAAGCAATGCATGAAAAATTGAGTGAAATGCATTAAAAACTGCACGAAATGCCTGAAATACTGCAAGAAATTCATGAAAACTGCACGAAATACATAAAACTGTACGAACTGCATGAAAATCGCATTAAATTCACGAAATCTTCCCGTTCATGAAAACTGCACGAAATACATAAAACTGTACGAACTGCATGAAAATCGCATTAAATTCACGAAATCTTCCCGTTCATGAAAATTGCAAGAAATGCATGAAAAACTGCACAAAATGCATGAAAAACCATCATTACACACACAAACTAAATACATACGTGACTCCTTATATTTCGACCAGTTTTGTCCAGCCACCCGCAAAAAAAATTTGAAACTTTCTCCTATTTGCTTGTCTGTCCCTTGCCCGCCTGCCTGCCCACACATGCCATTACTCAACTCAACTTTACTTTTCCAGCAACACTTTCCCCTGTCATCTTCTTTCCCTTGCGAAACAACAATTCAACAAGAAAATCATCATCATCAGCAACACCTGCTGGCGAGTAGATTTTAGCCCGTTCGTCCAGCCATCCATTTGTGGTGTGGTCGGGGTGAAAGTGAAAATATGGAACGAGGTGAAAGTACAGCACGTTAAAAACTAAACCAGAGGTAAATGAGTCGAGTGAAAGTCTCCCCGTCTGGCTGGGGGGTATCCACCACAAACTATCTCACTCTGGTCGACGGGGGCCGTACAGGAGGCATGACCGCCCCTCCGTTTCTGCTGACTTTTCCATCTAAAACTTGACCCTGGACAAAATTGGTCACCAAATTTACACGCAGCTCGACCCTGCTGGTCACGATTTTTTGCAACATTCAGATTTGTAGCCCCCTGTGAGAAATTGATTTTACCAGTGTGGTATAAAATTTGAAATTCCTGGACAATTATTATTATTCGAAAATAATGCGGTAACAGAATTTTTACCGAATGTATAAACGCCACAGGTTACATAAGGATTTGTTACGCAACCATGAAAATAATTGTCCGAGAATTTTAATTTTATATTCCCGGAAATTGTACAGGGTAATAATTTTATTACCACTTGGTGCCATAACTTTCCCCATCCCACCTGCCCAGCCCCCTCTACAATACAGATAAGTGAATCACATTAGAGATCAAAAGGAGTGAAACAACAATCTAATTTTCTCCCCGCAAAATTGGTCCTCGAATCACAATCAGGGCGTCATTACCGTGAAAAGTATGCAATTTGTGAACCACCACTCATTTAACCAACTGCACACACCAACCACCATGATCACTCGGTGACTACGTGCCTGCTCTCGTCTCGTTCCCACTTCTTCTTTGTTATACCCGGGTTAATTTCTTTTCACCGAATTTACTTATTTTTTATTTATATAACTCTTTCCTTCCCCTTGACCTGATTTTCTCGTCGGTTCAAATCATGAATCCCGGAAATTTTCCTGGCAGAATTTCCATCAAAAACTCAATCTCCTCTCGGCAGAGGAGAAGGAGGAGGTGACAAAACAGAAATGTCCAGAGGGGACGCCGCGCCATTCTCTTGCAGAAGACGTAGATGGAAGAATGGTGACAGGAAATACAGGAAAAAAAGAGGAATCGTATGTATCTACAGCCCTCACCCACAGTTTGCTTGAAGGAGGATGATGAGATCTCCAAGAGCTTTGTGGAAGGAAAAAAATACACTTTTTTTCCACCACTCGTAATGGGATAAGATTTACAAAAGAAGAGAAGAAGACCTAGTTTTTTTCCTTCTTCTTCTCACTTTCCTGACTCTACTTGGCCGTAGAGAGTCAGGTTATAATAATGACTCTGGGAAGGACAGGGTTCGGAAAAGGGGGATTTTTTGATAAAAATTGTATCAGAGTTTTGGGATTTTTTGGGATTTTCTATTTCGAAATTATGCAATCTCTGTCGAGAATAAACTGACGTAATTTTATGGTTTACCTTACAAAGTTACAAGATTTTTCAGAAATCTCAATTAGACGTTGACTTTTCAGGTGTAATTTTTCTAAATATCAACACATAATGTTTTTCATACTTTTTAAGAAACTAATTTTACACGTGGTTCAAATTTTGTACGCACGTGTCCCGACATGTCCACAAAATCATGACCTAAACCTTGCTAAGACGTTGACGTTTCAACCGTAATTTTTCTGCGTAATGTTTTCCAACTGTTTTAAGAAACTCAAGTTATGCATGAACATGTGGTTCAATTTTTGCACGCAAATTTGTCCCACTTCCACAACACATGTCCTAAACCCTGCCTTTCCCCTTCCTTAATTCACCTCCGGCCGCCCCAACCTATGTAACTCACAACTTAGGTCACATTTTCCCCCCTAAAAAAACCTGCCGAGAAAAAGTATACCCATTTATTTTTACAGGGTGTTATAATCATCACTGCTGCTTTCTCTCTCCTCTCCTCGCTATTCTTTTCCTGCGTAAAAATGCTCTTGTTTCATAATCGATTCTCTCCTCTTCTCCGCCCTGTGTGAAAGCTAAACTAACTACTTTCACTCCTCCACTTTCTCCCCGCACATTATAAAACACACGGCCAACTAAGGATAAAGAGTAGGCGGGTACAATGTCTAAGTTAGCCAGGAGAAAATGAGCATGGAATGCCAAAAACCAGGACTCACTATCTTCTTCCCCATGCACCAAGTAAGATGATAATATAATGGAGCTAATTGAGGGTGGCATAATAATAACTGGAAAGACCGCACCACACCGCACAATCTGGTCTCTCCCATTGTCAAAACTTGGCCGAGATGATGACCATGATATCGCGGTGGTAATAATCTACCCATCAAAAACCAAACCGCAGAGAAAGTTGGTTTGTGTCGTGTCAAACTCAAAAGTGAATTCGGAACGGAACTTTCTCTAGACTTGCATTTTGCCGGCCCCACGAACCAACCACCCACTTTCTTTCCCCCCTCTCTCTAATCAATGTCATGAATAAATAAGTAGCGAAGATGGGACAGCTGGGGCTCGTAAAGTAAACAAATACAGGGGAGAAAAACGGATCACGAATTCTATATACGAGGACAGAAGAGGAGTAAGATCAGAAGCAGCATCTTTCTTTCCTTGATCCTCGACGACGACGAAGAAGACAATCCATCACAGCCAGAGGGTATCGTCGGGGCACGAAGAGCAAGAAATGAATCATGTATGTGTAACATACGACCTAAATAGATACATGGGTGGATGTGGAGGTGCACCTTGAGAAATTTTGCGACAGATTTTGAGACCGGTGGGGTGGGTACCAGTTTGGTAAAAGTTTAAAGTGAAATGGTAGCCAAATATTTTGCAAATTTGGTCATTTCTGTATAAATTCGGTCGTTTTTCTCTACACATTTTGTAGGATTTTCTCAAGATTGGTAACATTTTTTACCGGTGTCATATTACCAGTTTGGTAAAAGCTTTGGAAATGTATCCTTGTACTCCCCAATTTTTGCGAATTTGAAATTTCTGTATAAATTCGGTCAAATTTCCTCCCAAATTGGTAACATTCCCTCCCGCAAATTTACCCCTGATACCATCTCGAGCCAGAAATGATGCCAATTTTACCCCCACATTTTTAAGCGTGTCGCCTCTTCGACGGGCCTGCACGACATTATTATTTATACCGTACGTCTCATCCCAGTCTGCAGTTCTACCCGTCGTTGTCCTAATATCGACCAGACGCTGGGCAGAAAACCAATAACGTGTAATCTTATTCTAAGCAAGATGCCCCCCTGTCACTTACAAAACGAGTGTCTCATTCCAAACCGGGTTAAGATTGTTCTTGATCGTTTTCGTCTTCCTCTTTAGCCCAGACTCGTCCGGGATTAGTTTCATTTTCACGTACGGATCACTTGCACCATTGGGATCCATCGGAATTAAGTTCTTGGCTTGGCGAACTGCAAAATTACAATAATTACGACATCATCATCTCGCATTCACATCAGATCATGGACATTACATGCACCCGTAGAAATCTGGGCGGCATTACCGGTCTGGTAAAAAGATATTACACTCTTAATAATATGGTAAAACGGCTACACAACTCTATCGATTGCTAAATATTTGAACCTCGGATACGTAAAAACTTTTGTTCGTACAAATTTTGAAATTCCCAGAAAAGCTTAGTTACATTATATTACCAAAATGCGCGCCACAAATTTTCCTAGCGTGCCCCACAAAATTAATTACTTCCACCCTTCCAAACTCAATTAACCTTCTAACCTTATTAAATATTTATTTAATTACTGTCCAACCCCAATTAAAATTTCATCCCTTAATTACTCACCATCAATCGTAAGCTTGTTCCCGACACAGGTGATTTTCAGCTCGAGCCGCCCCCTTCGTTCGGTGTGGTCGCACCCGCACAAATTTGGAACTTGTTCCTCACATCGTTTATGCACGTTCATGTCACATGCTGAAATTAGAGAGATTAAATTATGACCAATTAAAGAGAAAGCAAACATGAAATTAAATTTGCCCCGTAAAATAATAATAACAACGCGGGGCCGCCCGCCAGTGTTGTTAAATCAGGTAGAATTATCTGAGAGAAAGCAGGGAATTGAGAGTGACACGGAGAAGGAGAGGATTACGAGACAGACAATGCCCGATTAGCCGGCTACATAAACTACTCCGGTATACTACTAAAAGTACTAAAAGACTAGAGAATTGAGAATTTATAAGGTGCAGTTAAGCCAAAGGTGGGGATTTTAGGAGGAGTGAAAGTCAAGTCGTAGCTAATTCCGACGTCTCTTGTTCCCTGAGAGATCCTTAAAACTAGTTCATCTCAGGAGGGGAGCTTGCGAGGTTGATAATAACAGATCTTGATGCCCTTTGGATATGTGGTAGGGTCCTATGAGTGTACTAAAACCCTGAAGTGGTTTGACTCCATGGCCACATTTGCGCCCGCCACACCCACTCAAAAATGTCCAAAAAACGCTTTCACCCCAGTTTTCACTCACTCAAATCCACGCCAAAAATAAAATTTTACTCGGATTTTGAAATTTCTTTCACCATTATACTCCCAGATAGTGTCTTTCTTCAATCCAATATCAAACTCAATTTTTTCGAAATTTTAAGTATTTTTAAAATTTAAAATTCTGAATGAGCATTGTTGTAGTAATCAACAAAACAAATTATGTTTGCGAAATAATCATCAATAAAATTGAGTTTGATATTGGATTGAGGAAAGCAACTATCTGGGAGTGTAATGGTGAAAGAAATTTCAAAATCCGAGTAAAATTGGATTTTTGGCGTGGATTTGAGTGAGTGAAAACTGGGGTGAAAGCGTTTTTTGGGCATTTTTGAGTGGGTGTGGCGGGCGCAAATGTGGCCATGGAGTCAAACCACTTCAGGGTTTTAATACACTCATAGGACCCTACCACATATCTAAAGGGCACCAAGATCTGTTATTATCAACCTCGCAAGCTCCCCTCCTCAGACAGACATTTCAAAATATCGCTTTTCTTTCACCCACGACTTCTTTCTAAAAGAGTTGAATTTCATCAAAAAAAACAAATGGGGAGTCCCTTTATATTGTGAAATAATCGTATCGTTTATTTCAAGTCTGTAAAAAAAAGTGGGAGTTAGTATTTTTCCCTGGGCAGAAATTCTGTGAAAAAATGCAAAAATAAATGGGAGAGTTGTTCGTCAAAATGGTAGCAAATTTCTGAACATTAGGTGAACTTTCTCCCCATTTGTCAATCTTAAACTAGAAATGGGTCAATTTATCCAGGTCGAAAGCCATTTAATTCAAATCCATCCTAAAATTGCAAATTGTGTCTAAAAATATCACGCTTAGTCCAAAATTCTTAAAAATTACAGGAACTTTCTCCCACTTCAAGATCAAATGAAAGTTACAAATCATATCATTTACCTCAAATCCATCTTAAAATTGCAAATTTTTTCTAAAAATATCACGCTTATTCATTAAAATAGTCCCATATTCTTAAAAAATACACCAACTTTCTCTCCCTCTAACAACAAATATAAGTCAAAAACCATATCGTTTACTTCAAATGCATAACAAAAATTGCAAATTCTGTGCAAAATTTTTATATTTAAAATTGACTTCCTCCCCGAATCTCATAACCCAGCTCCATCCTCTCGTTCCCATCCATCCATCCATCCACGTGGGCGACGGAGGAAAGAAAGGAGTCGTCTTCTTCCTCTATCCCTCTCTCTAAGAAGTTGATCTTCCTACTTAACTCATCCATCAGCTTAAAGCAGGGAGCAGCAGTAGCTAATGCTCGGCTTAAGTTCACTCCTAATTTCAAAAACATGACCCATCCATCTCACCCAGAAGAGCATAAAGCCATTCAATATATATAAAAAACCATTTAACTCCACATCCTCTGTTACCCAGATGGCTCAAGCAAAATAAAATAAAACATTCACTCAATTCCTCAACTTCTACTGCATTTTATGTCTCTTACGTAACCGGAACGTCGTCCTAAATACATATCACGATCGGAAATTACTCAATATTTGTCCCATCAATCTAAACCCAACAAAAAACACAAAACCGACCCATCCGAATTCTGGAAATTCCTCGCTTTTTTCGAAAAGGTCATCATTATCATGAGCATGATATCCACATCACGTACAACGTACACCCACGACCAGGCCTCCCCCACACGAAGATGCAGGCAGGCTAGGAAAGCAAATAAAGGGGAAAAAGGTAATGATAAAGAAGAGGTTGATTTTTTGCAGGGTGAAAGTAGGAACGGAGAAAGTGGTCCTTTTCTCCGGGTGAGTGACTAAGAACCGGCTGGGCCCACATTGCATTGTGTTCCTCACTCCGCTTTACATCTTCTTCACTCGACTGGATGAATATTAGCCTGCTTGATGCTTTCTCCACTTTCTCGAGACGAGACTTGTACAGCCAACACAAGGCAACCCCAGAGTCAAGAAGGAGACCAGCATGATGTACAGCTATTTTTTTTACGAGTGTATACACACTCGAGGAATGGAAAGACACTCTTAAAGATTTTGGAAAATGATGGTGTCTATTTTTGTGGTGTGTTTGATAGCATTTTACCAATTGGTACTTAAAAATGTGTAATTACTTGATTATCTATTTGGAACCCAGTAAATTCCGTAAAGTTACAAATGCTGATGTGTCAAGTTTACAAAGGTTACGAGCAAGGGAAACATGAGGCAATTCATACAGGCCTTGGTAGCCTTGTAAAATCCGTAAACTTACAAAATTTTACAAATATTTCAAGGAAAATTAGCTTACAAATTTTTGTAACCTTAATCACTAAGGATCAAGGGCGTCGTTTTCTTTTACAAAAGTTTGTAAAAAAAACACGGATTTTACAAAGTTATCAAAGACTGATTGTGAGTGAATTTTCTCCATGTAATGCTTGAAAACTAACACAAATAACGTTTCAATTTGTCAAATAAATTTCGGACTGAATTTTCCAAATATTTTTTATCAAGCTTTGTAGCCTTGATATTCTCACTATCCCACCATTTTTAAGTGTGTTCCCCATAAGTGGAGAACGGATACCGGAGAAAGTCCTACATATATCCGTCCTCCTTAAATGTGAGCCATTGTAAATATAAAACGATCCTCTCTCCTCTAAAAAAAGTAGATCAAATCTAAAAAATCCTCCCGTAAAAAAGCTAAATAGGATTTCTTTACAGTCAATCTTCTTCTGGGGAGGGTTACGTATTGAAAATCCTCCCTTTTGTCCATAATTCTCTCTCCACGGAGGCAATAATAATGCGATTAATGAACAATAAGGACCATACCCCAAATTTCTCCCAGTTAAAGTAAACACCATCCCAAAATACATAACTTTCACTCTTGGAGAAAGCCCGAGATGAAGAAATTCCCTCCTCGCACACACCTTAAATTCGATCAGGATGAGAAATAAGATGACGAGTTAATATTCACACGCGTCATTTGAATGAATGCATTGCCCTACAAAATTCATATCCATGCCGGAGAGAAGATCTCATCTCTTCTCTCGACCAAAACTTTTTCGCCTGAACATGACAGCCCGCTAACAAGGCCTTGTTAAGCCAAATTTACAAACCGGCCGACAAACGTACCATTATTTACTATACTACACGTTAAATAATTCTATGGTAGTGGTAAAGGTCAAATAGCACCATACATGTTAAAAATCCGGTAGAGGCACATATACGTTCGGTGCTGGTATTGATCTGGTAATAACTTGCTACAGGACCGGTAGTAGGTTCTGAGTGGTAATTTTTTCAATACCACAACATTATTAAACGGTAATTCCCTTTATTACGAGTCATGTATGTATGCACTATTTAATACCAGTTTTCTAATAGTGTAAGTCTGCAGTATATACAATTTGGTAATACTTTTTGGTGGTGAAAGTTAATAATTTTACTTTCGTAATTTCATAATAAATTTCAAAATTTCACTTAACAGCCAAAAATTGTTACCAAATCAGTCTCTCCCCCGGTAATACAATATTTGTAGCACATTCGATTTTTATCTTATCAATGCTAACAAAGCTTCAAGTTCTATTTTTGCTTTAAATCTACGACGCAAAACTAACTTTGTCAATAAAAACTAACAAATTCTCAACAACAACAACATTTCACAGAACAAACTCCTTAATTAAAAGGAACTTATTAAAGCGAATTTTCTCTTCGTGAATCAAAGGCTAATTAATGATACGCATCCATATTTCCTCTTTTTGACTAATCATCCTCATTAAATTAACCTGTTCAGAGAGAAAGAAACTATATTTAAACGACTCTCTCTCGATGTTCCAAGGTTAAACAAAACTCTGGCAAAGACAAAAGAGAAAGGATGATGATTTCATTTCTGGGAACAAAAGTGACATGGATTTCAAAATGAGGGGATTACGGCTTGCTTTCACTAGTTGGGAGCAAATTAAGGAGAAAGAGAAAGCAAACCTGGTCTATTGTATCGATTCGGCTAGTCTGTCGGAGCATTATGCGACGTTACTTATGCACCGTAAATAATGTGGGGACAAAATAATTGGAAACGATTTATTACCGTATCGCTGGTAATAAATAATTGCCAACGAAATTCAAACTTCAACTTGATAGCATTTAAAAAATGGTTAAAATGTGTTACAAAATTTGAATTTCGTACACAATTGTTGCCACATTTATACATCAAACCATTACCAACGCGGTAAAGCTGTACACTGTCAAAAATATCGTGGAGTCACATATTTACTCCGGAATGGTATTGATTTGGTAATAACTTCCTACCGGATTGGTAGAAGTTTGTTTCTGAGTTGTAAATTTGTCATTATCACAACATTACCAATTACCGTTATTACCATGCCGGTAGAGCCATATTACTCCAGTCAGTAATGATTCAATACCAGTTTTCTAAAAGTGTGTCCCTCAGTGACAATTTTGTTACTGTATTAATTGCGGTGAAAGTAGTCCCATTTTAGTAAAAAAATCTCATTATTACCAACCCGGTAACAATTTTCCCAGCCCTATCCTTTAGAGTACACCCTTTCCATGCATACCCTTCACAAGAACAATGTACCTCCTAAGCCAAACCCTCACTCTCTCCCTAACTAAATACAATAAATGAACAGAATGCCACTTCCCCAGAGGAGAGAGGCAAGCAAACCCAACCAAAAACAAGATATGTAACATCATCATCACCATTTAAAGAGAGGAAGAGTCGTGTCGTTGTCGTAGTTTCCAGCCGACGACGATGACCTTGGTTCAGCTCTTTCTCTCTTCATCCTCAAGTGGTCTTTACACCACGAACCACGAACGAACCACCAACCAAAACGACATGCATTCATTATTTGCCTGTGCCAATTTCTAAAGGAGAAAACAAACAAAAGAGAATAAAACTCTCTCATGATCCAATCTAACCAAATCCTCGATCTGGATGGACATTGTCTCTCTTCTGGGAACGAACAATGTGCGAGTTTTGAAGACCACTTCAAAATCGACGATTCGCCCATAATCCTATTCATTCTACGGGGTATTTATGTACGTCTGTGGACGTGGGATGGAATAAAATAGGTGAAATTCACTTCACCTTTCACCCTAGTTTTCGCCACCTCGCTTTCTATTCTCTCGAGAAGAGAAGAGAGTTTTAGTTGCCAAGTGGCAAGACGGGAAAACATTTGACGACACGGTTTTAACGAGGAGGGGAAAAAGTGAGTGGGTTGAGGATGGATAAGGGTATGGATGGATGTGGTGGTAGTATTTAGGAAAATGGGAAATTTTAAATTATTCCGATGTGGATTTGGGGGATTAAGTCACATATGGAATTTTGCATGGGAAAGGATTTAATGTTTGAAATGATATGAAATTTTAAAATGTAGATAATTTCAAACACGACCAATTTCATCAAAGATTGAAATGTTCGAAACTTTAAATGAAATTCAATTCTAAAATTTACACAAACCAGAAGCTGCCAATTTTCAGAAATAATTTGCAATATGGCTAACTTTCACCCGAAAAAAACGAAATGGTCGAAACTTTCTGCACCAGATTAAATTCAATTCTAAAATTTAGACAAGACAAAAGCTGTCAATTTTGAAAAACAATTCGAAACACGAAACTAACTTTCTCCCCCGGAATTTCACAACCTGGGAGAAAGTCTGTACAAAAAAGCACCCCACTTTCTCCCACTTACTTTCATGACTCCCTGTTTTCTCCGCCTAGCATAAAAATTCCAACCTAATAGGATCCCATAGAATACAGATATTCCTTCGTCCTCACTCTCAGAAAGTTACGTGGATTCCCTTTCCCCACAATGTAGCCGTAATGATATGGGAATTGAATTATTATTATCTCTCCTGATTTGGCCCACTCTTTTCCCTTATCCTTCCTTCCTTCCTTCTTCCCTCCTTCCTTCCTTTTTTGCGTCTTTTGGATAAAATGGTATCAAAATATTTGTGAAGAAAGTGAACAAATTCCCAGAAGATCTCTTCTCCATCTCTAGATCCGTGCACTTGATGGCTTCCACCAACTTTCTCCCTCTTCCGACATACGACTCGATTGCATTACACACTCTTTCAAATTTTTTGACAAATTCTCCTCCACTTTGGTATCTACCATACACACATTTTCTGCGTTTTCGATCCTTCTATCCTTAAACGAGACGTAAGAAATTTAAGGGGTAACAAGCAATAAATTAACGTCCAACTTTGGTAATTAGTTAGTTACCGACGACCAACCGACTTGCTCTTAATTTGTCGCGAATTGAGAACAAATTGAATTTCGGGGGAAATTAGTTCATTTTCTGGCAAATTACCAACCACCAGATTTTCCTCGCAAATTATTATTTAGTGTGTAAATAAGGCAAGCCTGGTCATACAGATATGAAATGAAGACAGGCTGGAGATCCGTCTCAACGGCAACCGGGCGTCAAGAGAGACGAAGAAGAAGACGAAGCTACTCCTCCTTATTCTTATAATCCCTACTTCGCACTCCATTTCGACGTGATGATTCCACCAAAATTCCATCCATCCAGTTACCAGTTACTTTCTCCATATGCAAAAATACACACATTTCTGTGCCGAGATCCCAATTTTCCCCTGAGAGGAAAAAACTAGAGGAAAACTTGGCTGGATCGCATCTCCAAGAGAGAGTAGAGCTGCTTAACCCGGAGGAGATAGTTTAGTTACCCGGGTATATATCTACCGGGTATCTCTATCCCTGCCCGATCCGGGCATGTAGACCCAGCCCAGGCAACAAGTGAGTCGAGTGCTCAGCCAGAGAGAGAAAGCATAAACAAGCAAACAAGGCCAGAGACGAGACCCCGAAGTGGCTAAAGCTCACTTGGAGAAAGCAGTAAATTGGGGCGGGATGAGAAAAAAAGAAAACTTTTCCACTTTTCTAACATGTAACTCACCTGTGCATTTCATTCCTTGATGCAGCACGCCGTACAAGAGGGAACCGCAATGATCACAAAAAGTTGGCGATCCATAAGTATGCGCTTTGAATTTGTGCTTCGTTCGCGAATCCTGAAAGGAAAAGAAAGAAATGAAATACAAGGTTTTTTTGCAATTTTGTAGAATTATTAGAGGTACGTTTAGAGGATTAAGGGAAAATGATGACGTGGCATATAAATAATAAAGTCGGACAGGGGAGTGCCTTTTGTGACGTATTATACATATTTTGAGAGCAAATTGAAATTTTTACCAATTTATTGCCACCTTTTTCATAATTTTAAACTTTCCATTTCTCCCCAGTCCGTAACACGTTTGAATTTCGCGCAAAATTGCTTTACCCAGTTAAAAAAACATTTCATTTTAGTAGAAAATTGACATTTTTACCAATTTATTCCCACCTTCTGTCGATACCCATAATTTCAAACTTTCCCTTTCTCCCCGGTCCGTAACACGTTTAAATTTCGCGCAATATTGCTTTACCCCGTTTAAAAAAACAAGACCTCCTGACAAGCCCATACACATTTATCTGCAATATTTACCTCTCACATCACGAACACGATCGACTTACACCTTTGAAGTTTATGTAACGAAAAACTTTCTCTGACCCGGAAGGAAATACATAATGCTACCTTTTACGTATCCTATTCTTGTTCCGCGTGGTTGGATAATTTCAAAAATAACGGCCACCCATCCATCCCCTCAATTCGCAATTATTACCTCCTCCCCAAAAAAACGGCACTACTAAATAACTCACGCGTCGACCGGATGACGTTTAACCCCGAAAACAAAAAATTCAATCACTTTCCTTCCTTCCTCTTTCGGGAAATGAAATATACAACTTGTTCTTTATTACGACATATATTTTGTTTGTTTCCCTGCTATTATTGACTTGTAAATAATCTAATCTATGTATGTATACGAAGCCATATATAAGGATTTCTGCGTTCTCTGCAAGGATTTCATTTCATGATCGGTCCGTATGAATATAGTCATGAGGCAGTCGAGGCAGAGAGAGAAAGGTTGCCATTGCACACCCCATTTTCCACTACTAAATAATCAACTAGTTGAAACCAGACAAGTCAAGAGAGAGAACTTGTCGGATGGGATCGTTATCTTCTTCAGAGAGAGAGAGAGAGAAACAGAGAGTAAATAGAGCCTTGTGCATGATCCTGTAGATTTTCAGCGGGTGGACTGGACCGCAGACGAATCTAATAAATATGCACTCTTAGGAATCATTCTGAAAAAGTGGGACACACATTTTTACACAAAACGTTATAAAATTCAATATGATGAAGGATAAGGGGGATAAAATTTTCAAATTGGTAATTTGGAGGGGAGAATAAAATCGAGACCATATTTGACCAATTTGTTACCACAGAGGGCCAAATTGGTAACATAAAACATGACAAAATTTATAACGAAGCATGATCAAATTGGTAACAATAACCAAACTAATAACATGGGAAAGATTGCTTGATAAGTGTTTTGTTACCAATTTGGTAGTGTTATGTAATGAATTTGGTAACCAAATTAGCCCTCCATTCTTACCAATTTGGTCATGCTTTGTTACGAATTTTGTCACGTTTTATAACCTGTCTGGTTATGTAATAACTGATAAAATATCGTCCTGATTTTACTCCCCCCATCCAAATTAGGCATCACACCACCTACAAATTTTATCCCCCCATTTTTAAGCGTGCCTATGACCACCCAGTCTACCATCTCGTCTACCTAGTGACACTCCACCACGACCACTACCACCCATCGCAATAATAAGATCTATGAATAACACCTGCTCCTTCAGTCCCAGTCAGTAATAGCATCAGGTGCTTAATTATTTCCGTTATTTCCAACTTTCTCCCTTCTCCCCACAGGCTTAGAACACAAATATCCAACTTTCTGCCGTAAGGTTTCTGCCCTGTCAAAGTTGAAATTAACAATTAACGTCCTCCTCGTTGATACGTATCACTTACTAATGTTACGCATTTCCCTCTCTCTTGCTGGGATAATAATAATGGACACATAACAACAACCAGCACAAGCTTATTCATACCTACCTACCTACATACCTCTATTCAAGGTACGTATACCTCCACGTCCACGTCCACCTTTTCCGAACATGCACCGTACAGTACACTACACTAACCAAACTTATATTTTGTAGCTCGAGGGGAGAAATTTATTTCATCCTGGTGGGTTCACTTTATTATTTTACGGGTGGGAGAAAGCAGCCAAAGTTCAGAGGTGGAGGTGGGTCGTCTGGTTAAACTTGGAGTTTCAATTATGACAAATTATCCACCCCGCTAACTTTCATATACATAATTCAGCATATTATTCCACCACCCGCCCCTTGAGTAAATATGTGAGTGCGCGTCTATTAATCAAATGTCAGCCTTAACTTAACCGTGAAACCGCACCCATTTAAATTTAAAGGATACACACATGCACACACTTACATCAGAATCCGCCCCCTTATCAGCTCCAGGACAGGTGAACGAGACAAATTCGTGACATCTTTTGTGCACCACGAAGCTGCAGACTGGAAAAAGAAGGAGGAGGAATACGATTTATTGGATGGCAGGATTTTATTTTTTGTTTTACATAATATTGATTTTGTTTATTATGTATGTACGTACTGTTGCATTGGTAGCCTTGTTTTCCAAAACCCCTGTAAATTGGAGGAAATCACGTTATTGTTATTTTCTCATAAATAAATTAATGAATAATGGAGGAGGAGTGGAGGGGGATCAACAGGTGAATATTTTTGGGATATCGAATTTTTGAGGATGATTGCATTTTCGAGTAATGAAATTTTGTGATATACAATTTTCGAGGGAAGGGTGTGACATGTTTTATATGGGGGAAAGATAAGTCATATCTTTGTATATTTTTTGTTACACTACTCGAAATTCATGTATTAGTCTAGACGACGCTTTATTTGGTGACATAATTTTCCCCCGGGAATGTCTGAAACTTTGATTTTTGGGTCATTTTATAAATCTGGATTTCCACCAAGTTTAACACATTTCTTAAAAATTGTCGAAACACGTTCCTCCATTCTTTAACTAATTAACCTTTTATTTATTCTACGGCGGGAATGTCCGTAATCGTTCATATTTTACAAATCCGAATTTCCACCAAAACAAACGTTTCTTAAAAATTGTTCGTAACACATTCCTCCCTCCCTTAACCTACATAATAATTGACCTTATCTTATAATGTCCGTAATATCGCATCATTTATCCAAATCCCGAATATCTTCCCACCCATAACTCCATTAAAAAAGAAAACTTCACATCAACATGCCCCCTGACTTTAAACGGCATCTCATTTCGCCCACTTGCCCACTTGAATTCCACTCTTTGAAGTTGGAGAAAGTCCCTGAAACCCATCCTTTCTCCTCTCTCCTTTCATACCCCTCTAGTGAAAACAATTTGCAGAAATGCATCCACACACAGAACCGCCTCGACCTATGACCTTATCCCGGAAAAGGAATAAATAAGTGGCAACAGAGAGATTGGATCAGAGAGGAAGAAGAAGAACAACTTTGTTTCACTCTATCTACCAGAGAAAGGCAGTTTAACTTTCATCTCATTTTATTACACTGAATACACATACGTAACGTAACAAACATAACATTCAGATATGCACCCATTACACTTTTGTTTCATTTTCATCTCTTTGGCTGCAGTCCAAACTCATTCCATACTTTTTGTCTTTATTCTCGGACGGGGAGGGAGAAAGTAAGTCGAGTTAGTCAGCCTGCCAGTCAGTCAGTCAGTCAGTGTCCGTCTCAACTTTCTCTGCTGCTGGGTGAAAGTTACTTTACAGGGATGAAAAATTGGTCACAATCTGATATGCAGATTGGGAGGAAAGAAAGGAAAGAGGCAAGATCTTTTTGGGGTGTGGTTTATAATGGAATTCTTCTTGCATTATTTGGGAGAAAATAGGGTATAAAAAACCAACCGCAATCAAATCTGGGATTTAACGTATTCTTCGCATTTTTACCTGTGGAAGATGAAATGTGACAGTGTGCTCCATTATGTGTACTTTTTTGGTTAAATAGAATTTGATATTTTTTTCGAAAATGTATAATTTTGAGGCCAATTTTGTAACAAATTATGACTGCATAACAAATGCATTAATTTAGGTCCTGAAATGGCATAAGGGTAGTGATAATTATTAATAATCTACTATTTTCTGAACACTGTGGGTGATAAAATGTGACAGTACGCTCCATTACGTTATTCTTTTTTCGTATAAATTGTGTGAAACAAAATTAAAGGATATTTTCCCCGAAAATGTTTAATTTTGAAGCCAATTTTGTAACAAATTATTATTTTGCATTGTAAATGCATAATTTAGGTAGTAGAGAGTTATGACATTCGTGAAAATCATAAATGATCCATTATTTTTAGTGGTCTCAACGGTGCGGTTCGGTTCGGTTCTTGGAAGAACCGGTTTAGAACCGAGAACCAGAATTGAAGAACCGAAACAGAACCGAACTTTTTTTAGTTGGAACCGAACCGCAACCGGACCAAACCGGGACCGAACCGGCGGTTCGGGTCAAACCGGTAGTGTTATTAATATGCAATAAACAACAAACAATGCTAATTGACGTGTTTCTGATGAAATTTCACATATAAGCCAATAACTTATCTGTATTTAAACAAGCAAATTCGACTACATGTCAACAGCAAAATCACTTATGTATGTATTATTGAAGTTAGAAAACAATTCCAAGTTTGGGGTGCAACCAAGTCAAAATTTCATTTTGGAAACATTTGGGGTGTGACCAAGTAAAAATTTCATTTTGGAAACATTGGGGGTGTAACCAAGTCAAAATTTCATTTTGGAAACATTTGGGGTGTGACCAAGTAAAAATTTCATTTTGGAAACATTGGGGGTGTAACCAAGTCAAAATTTCATTTTGGAAACTTTGGGGTGTGACCAAGTAAAGATTTCATTTTAGAAACTTTTGGGGGTAAAAATTTCGTTTATGAAACTTTGGGGGTGAAAATTTCATTTTGGAAACTTTGGAGGTGTCATCAAGTCAAAATTTGGTTTTGGAAACATTGGGGGTGTGACCAAATAAAAGTTTCATTTTGGGAACTTTGGGCGTGTCATCAAGTCAAAATTTGGTTTTGGAAACATTGGGGGTGTGACCAAGTCAAAGTTTCATTTCGGGAACTTTGGGGGTGTGGCCATGTCAAAGTTTCATTTTGGGAACTTTGGAGGTGCGGCCACGTCAAAATTTCATTTTGGAAACTATGTGTATTTCGGGAAATTCGTAAAACTTTTTCGAAAATATGATTAACTTCGCTAATGTATTTATGTATGAAGTTCGGTTCAACCCGAACCGGCCGGTTCGGTTCGGTTCTCAAAGACTTGGAACCGGAACCGAACCGGTAATAAAAGTTTCGGTTCGGTTCGGTTCTCCGTATAAACCGGAACCGAACCGAGCCATCGGTTCCGGTTCGGTTCTATGAGAACCGAGAACCGTTGAGACCACTAATTATTTTATAAGCAATGTGAGACGAAATGTAATTTTATACAAGTCGTAATCGAAGTTAAATTGTGACTATTTAATATTATCAGACAATGGATGAACAGGACACAAAATTCATAGTCCACGAAATTCATTCCCAATTCTCACAAATTTTAAGAAATCACAAAAAAATTAACCCCTTCCCTACAAAAAATAGCCATTTTCTCTCCAAAAAATGTACAACTTCACCCATTTTTTAACTCAATTTTCTTCCTCCTCGTCGAACACTGTCTTCTCTCCCCTAACGATAAGCCATTTCATTTCATTTCATTCTCTAGCTCACGTCCACACCTCACCACGAGGGAATTAGGAAACCACAAAATTCACAAAAAAAATCATCCAATTTCACCCAAAAATAAAATCCCAGTGTAACCAAATATCTGTATCTATCGGACGAAAAAAAATCCAAACCCCTCGTCAGATTATACTTACTGGGCCCACTGTAACTGTAAGTGGCTGTTTTCTTCGAAACCGACAGAGATAATGAAAATCTGATGATTGCATTGGATTCCCCGTGCGATTTTGCATAAGTACCATAAATCAGTTTTTTACTATTTGCAATGCAAATTCGCATGGAAAATGTTGAATGGAAGCGGGCGGCGAAAATTTTTCATTACAAAAATGGGGAGAGAAATGGCGAATTTTAAAAGTGTGGCAGGAATCGAACGAGCCGTATAATTTAGCCCAACAGACTATAAAGACGTTCATGGGGACGGGGTGGACTAACAACAGTCGAAGAAAAAATTTTTGAAATCCTACAAGGACCACACCCATCATGAAGGCGCTGAAGGATGGAATCCGAAGAAATTCACGAAATTCCAACGGAAACCAACCTCACAGCTGCCAGTGTAGAAGCAGATTATTCAATGAGTGCTTAAATTGAACCTTAGACTTAGGACTTTGAAATGTGGTACTTGCCACATGCCGACCATCCCCCAAAGGGAAACCAGATTAAAGAAACCCAGGAGTGACTTCAAGCGGTACGCTCAGAAAAAGTGACGAGGATTCTATTTACAGATGAGGAGATTTTCACATAGGAAAAATATTTTAACAAGCGAGTTGGCCTTATCTACGCCAAATCTGTCAGAGACATCCCCCAATATAGACAGAAGGTCAGAAAGCCACATTATCCAAGCTTTGTGATGATTTTGGCAGGTGGGACCTAATTGGGGCAATTTCTCTACATTTTGTTGAAAATGGGGGGAAGGTGGGGGGATCAAATTTCTTAAAATACGTTTTCGAGTCCGCGGTACATCCCCTAAGTGAGATCCAATTCACTGGACCTTGCAGTAGGACTAGGAATCAGCTTATAGTGCAAAAAATGACCCAAGCGTGGGTAAAAAACAAAATTCCGAACTTTTCCTCCTCTCGGAAATGGTAATTCTACTTTCTGGATTTGAATCTCCGGACTATGAAAAATGGTCAAAGTTAGGGGCAAATGTGTGTTCTAAGCCTCGTAGAAGTGTAGAGATCGGAAAAAAATTTTTGACCACGGAATGGAACACTTTGCCCAGGAATTAGTGCGTGCTTCAGCGGAGAACTGCAGGCGGTTTCCTCAGCGCTGCATTAATGGCAGGGGAGGAAATTTCGAAAACTAAAAATTGTTTTCTACTCAGAAATTAACTGGCTTTCGGTTAAAATTAACTCGAAATTCGTAACATAAAAACTGTTGAAGCCACAGGGTTTCATTTCACTTACAGTTTCAGTGGGCCACCTAGTATACCAAGAAAGGAAAGTAATTCTTTCTTCTACGGCTTCATCCGTCGTCTCACAACAAACCCGAAAATCTGATTCCTACCCGTCCGTTTTTTTTCTCTCGGACGACTCTGATTCCAATTCCTCATCAATTTCAAATCAAATCCGGCATGGTTTCGTTTGCTTTGCTTTGATTTTTTTTCTGCCATCCGTGTATCGATTCCCCTCGTCTGCGCGACCTTTAATATTTATTTTCCGCAAACAATTCTTCGCCTCGTTCAGAAGGAAGGAATTTTGTCATTTTGCTACAGATACAGATACAAGTTGCATAAGGTTCGATGATGCATGCCAGCCGGGCAGAAAGTCATTGGTCGGATATAGAAGAGAAGAAGAGAAGCGAAAAAAAAACACTGGGATTCCAACATTTCGTGATCTTTCACTCGGAAGAAAGGAACTGTTATAAAGGAGGTGATTTGGACCCGGGTCACATCTTCCATCCAGAAACATCATCACTTCTGGGTGGCTAAAATCGTCCTGGTCCACATCGTCCAATCAGGATGTGTATGAAAGATACATACATATGCACGACTTGTCATTCGGTATTCACTTCATTGACCGACTTTCTCCTGTTATGGAGAGAGGAGTGGAAGCAGGTTGAGAGGGGGATAACACACCCACATTCCAGTTTCATGCATTTCACAAGAGTTATATCCTCTCAGAAGGATTATGTGAGGCACAAAAAATGGACAATATTTAAATAGAAATACGGGTTTTTGATGATTTTATAAGCGTAAAAAAATCGGATTACACAAGAAATTGCACTTCTATAAAAAATCTGAAGTATTTTCTTTCTTACTTTCACCAACTACTTTTTCTCTCATTCATCCTACTCGGGTTTTAAAAAATGGGATGAAGAGTGGACAAAATTTAAATAAAAATGCAGGTTTTTGACGATTTTATAACCATAAAAAAATCTGATCACACAAAAAATTGCACCTCTATTAATAAAACCCCAACTTTTCTCCTTCTTACTTTCACCACCTACTTCTTCTCTTAATTATGCTCCTCATGTTTTAAAAATGCAGTGCAAACCTCTGACCCCAAAAAAATACACGGATTTCCAACTATTTTACAAGGTTAACAAATCAAATTACACAGAAAATTGCGGATATGTCAAACTTATTTCACTTCAATTATGCTTTTACCAACCCATGTTTTACAAAACTGCAGTGTAAAAAGTACTTAAAAAATCTGCCCCCTTAAATTAACGAGATTGTCGAACAACTCTTCACACATCTTACATATATGCCATTCCCGTTAAGCATTTCCTTTTCAGGAGCTAGCTTTTCCCCTCTCCACATTTCTCCTCAATGTCGACATTGTCGTCACTCCGAAAGAAATCATTTCAGAGAAATGGGATGGAATGGATGTCCACATTGCATACATACGCGTGAACAATGTCATAATGGAAGAAGTAAAAAAGAAAAAAGAAAGCAAGACGTAAAGAATTTCCATCTCGTGTGAGAGACGACGTCGTCGTCCCTTCAGAATTCTGCCCTCCTGCTGCGAGAAAGTATGAAACTGGACCTAGATTTCCACTCGCCCAGCTTTAATCCTTACTTCCCTGCGAGGAACGTACGTGGCAGGAGTGGTGACATATATTCCACCCGTCTCACCTGCACGTCAAGTTTGCCACGCTTAGAAATTTGGCACGGGTTTCATACGACATTTTTGGCATGGAATTAGACACATTTGGCAACTTTTTTGGTGGTCGACCAGTTTAGTCATGTTTGAATAAAAATTAAGGACTGGGTTTCGTCACTTTGTCCATAATTTCGTCACAAATGAGTCGCACATTGTCAACCTGGGTCGTAATATTCATCTAATTTACAGCCTATTTTTAAACAATAGGTCATGTTTGCATAAAAAACTTGAAGACTGGGTTTCGTCACTAATTTTTTCCCCTTTGTGCCCAATATTTGCTACTAATTTGTCCCTATTTTTCGCCACAATTTGTCAACCTGTGTCCCTCTGGCTAAATTTGTACCCCACATTTTTAAGAGCATCCTCCATCTCACCTTATCCTCTCTGCCCGTTAACTTTTCCTAACCTGAACGGAAATTCGATCCGACACTGACTGGTGGTTTGGTTTAGTTTGGTTTGGTGTGCCTGGGATAAAAAAAACTGGGGAGAAAGCACCACCACCACCACGACCACCACAGTGAAAGCAGCGAGAAAGAGGGGATTACCTTTTGCAGAAAAGCCCAGCACAGATCTAAATCTAGCTCTTATTTTACACGTATGTACGTACGTATGCACACCTCACTCGCTTTCACCTACTCTCTGCATGCATATGTATGCATGCATGAAATCCTTAAATAAGCGGTAGGCAGGCAGAGGAAGGTATGAAGCTAAGTAAATAAATACTTAAACCCCTAAAAACCAAATACCACCTGCATACAAAATCCTACATATTTTCACCAGGTGGAATTACTACCCGAATTTCTCGGCAGGATTAGGAGACAACCCTACAAAATCTAAATTCTTCTAAACCGGACTGCCCGCATTCATATTCATTTCGACTACAGCAACAGAAAAAAGAAGAACATTTATTTATTCAGTGATCATGACTGACAAGCTGTCTTGACTCGGTGGGTACCTTTCCCACCGTGGATTTTACATCCTCCGAAAACGGGGAGGAGAAGTGACAGACAGGAACACGGGAAAATTTGGATGTCCTAATGGTGAAAAATGATGGTCAGATGTCACCTCATTTGTACCATAAAGACCAATATGTGCAACTTTGTTGTTCGATTGCTTCCCGAGGTAATTAAGGAAACCACACGGTAAAAGAGTGACCTAGATTGGATATTCAGGCAGCTTCATAAATCAGCCGAGTTCCGTTGTGTGTGTGTATCTAGTCTTTGTGGATAATTAGTGATGGGAAATTTTGCAAGGTGGGTTTGCACGGCCCGAGACAGAGGTTCTGCATCTTTTATGAATTAAATACGGTACGTATCCCAACCCAAATTATGTTTTTTACGACAATTTTCGAAATTCAGGGCAGGTTTCCGCAGCCAGAGTTTCGAAATATTTTACGAATTAAATACTATACGCACCCAAATTTTGTTTCTAATGGAATTTTCACAATTTGGGTCAACCTACTTCATCTTCAACTGACGATTATTTTCTAGCCTTCATATTGGCCAAAAAAGTGCACCAAATATATCGTAAATTGATTAACCTTGAAAAAAAACTTATCGCGACGACAGACCGACAGACATGACGGGTACATAAGTCCTTTGCCTAAAGATGAGCCAACCAGAATGTCAAAGTGATGTCGAACCGTGTCTACAAATGCATGCAGTCTTGATATGGATTAAACATACACAAGTTTCCAAAAGTTTTTGACTGAAGGATTACATCGCAAAGTCCTGGGTACAACAAAGTTCGAAATTGTCAACATGTCCTGATTTTCAAAGTAGTATGTAAATACAGACATAAAATATCAACGAAATAATGACGATAAGCCCCCCACCCATGAGAAAATGTGTGTTCCGTCCGTGCCCAGCTTATCTTTTTCCCATGCTTATTACTATTTCCTAATAAGTATAAAATATCGCACAGAGTTAGAGTCGAGCTCGTCGTCGTCGTTGTATTTACATATCTCGACACGCAATAGTCGAATTAGTTATCGCGTTTAGTTTCTCTTTCAGGATTAAATAAGTACGGGTTGACCTTTCCCTTTCTTTTCGGCACAGTTTTGACTTTGGGTTCATCCGTATTCACGTCAACGTGGGTAAATTCAAGAAATTGCGTAGTTTTGCAAAATTTCGCAAAGTTTTGTGTTCGCAAAGATGCGATTTTTGTAGCAAATTTCTTAACGAATTTAAGTAAAAGCGTATGCAAATAGAAGACGCTGATTATGCGTCCATTATGAGACATGTCATACGTACATTCTTTTAGTGGTTTGTTACATCAAAAAATTTCATCTCAGATTTTCGAAATTTTGTCGAAATTTTGAAGTTTCCAAATTTAAGTTTTTTTCCTTACCAGATAAAGTCTTTGCAGTGCGAGCAGAACGTGGGCTGTTTAAAGAAGCGCGGAATGAACTTGTGATCCTTAACTTCGTAAACGTTCTTCTTCTTGAGGGCGCCTGTAATGAATAAGAATTAATTTCTTGAGAAAAAACTTTTATTTTGATTTTTTCGAAAATTTTCGAAATTTTTGATTTTTTATGGACAGAGATTAACAATAAAAATTCAATTCAAACTCACCTTTTCGACCGCGTTGGCGCAGGCCGAACATGGTGTTGATGTCGCCACCCATCCCGTCGTCGTCCCCTCCGCCGCCATGCTCTCCCATTATGCTGAAAAAATACATATAAAAATATAAAAATTCACCCTTAAAGTCTAAAACTTTCTTAAAAACTTGCGTCAATTCTTGATAAGTTTACGAGTCAAGAATTACTATGCAAAATTCGCACTCTAACTTATTTACATATGCAAAATAGTGCCAAGTTATCTTCGATAAGTATATACATCCGTTTTTCCGAATGAGTTCTCCCTAATCCATTTTACCATCTTCTTTTCCTCCTCGTTAAAAATTTATTAAAGTTTGAAAGCATTTCTCAGCCCAAGTTTCACTATATATACATAATTCAGCCCAGAATTTATTGATGCCCTGAATAAATTCGTATCATCTCAATCTCCCAATTTTATGGATGATTTCCAAAAATTCTTGGAAAACTAATCTCCCTATTTCACAATTCCATCCCGAACAAATTGCAAGGAGGAGGAAGAAAACTAGCCCAGAATGAGAATGAGAATGAAAGGAATGCACGCAGAAAATCCGGCCTTTTATTAAGCTCCCAAATTCCAAAGGTTCATTATCCACCAGCTAAAAAAAACTTTTCCTTATTCTCTTTTAATAAATAAACATTCCGGGAAAAAGGAAGACCTGGAAGAAAATGGAGTCGGAGTGCTTTTTATAATTCGCTTTGACACCACTATCACCACCACCACGGTGAAAACACTAATTAATTAACTTAGCAATAATTAAGTAGGTAAGTTCCATCCAGGGAAGGAGAAAAGAAAGGGGAGAATGGAGGTGTTTAATTTCTCACGCTTTTTTGGTACTTCTTTCGTAGGGTTTCCATTTCAGAAGAAATTCGATTATGTGTAAGTAATAAAATTAGAAAGGTAAGGCTTCAGGTAGGGTTTCGTTTTTTTAAATGGGTGATTTTTTTTCGCAAATTAGCAGATATTTTGGTAGAATTACTAAACAAGACATCTACCGTGATATTTCAAAATATCGCAATTTCCGAATTTTTATTAAAGTCGTGAAATCATTTCAATTTCTAAATAAATTCCAAATTTGTCCGAATTTCTACGTATTTCATCAAAAATTGTGTGAAACACGATACCCTTCGAGTTACAACACCCCATTTTCTCCCAGCCTCGAGAAACTCAATACTTTCTCCCATTTCACTAATTTCGTGAAATCGAAACCTCTCCAAAAATAAGATCCAATTCAATAGAGAAAACTTGTCTGAAATTATTTTAATCAATCCTCAATAGGAAATCTACTCCACTCTCTGGGCAGCAACAACTTTCACTGCTTTCACCCACAGAAATTCATTCCTTTTGCTTGCCCTCCTCTCCTTACTTGCTTGCTTGCACTACATTTAATCAAGAAAACAGAGACAAAATGATTTCCCAGAGAGAAAACGAGAGAGAAAAACGTCTACAATATTACAAATTGCGCTACATTCCTGGTTTGGTTTCACGTTCGTGTTCTGTTACGCAATTCAACCTCAAGTTCTGCCTGCCACACCTAAATTACGGACGAGGTGGGAGAACGTTAATTGAATTTTGATAAGGATCAAGTGTCTCCTTGTGTGTGAATACTCTAAATAATGTGGTAGTAAAATTGGTAGCGAGGAAGATGCAACAGCTTTTCTACCACGTTGGTAACGATTTATGACACTACTATTGTAAGAATAAGTATACGTGAAACTCATATTTCTGGAGCCAACTTGTTACCCTAAATAATGTGGTAATAAAATTAGTACCAGGTGAGACAGGGCTTTTTTGTAACGGTTTGTGATGCTAAAATTGTAAGAATAATTACACACAAAACTCAGGTTCTGGAGCCAATTTGTCAAAGATTTGTATTTTCTGAACAAACATTTGTCTTACAAATCGCTACCAACGCGGTATAAAAGCTAACACTAAATGTTTATCCAGAAAATTCAAATCTTGAAGACATTAGCTCAAGCCCGGTCAGAAATTCAACTTTCATGCATAATTCTTACAATTAGTGTAACAAATCGTTACCAACCCGGTATAAAAGCTGTCCTGTATCTCACCCGATAACAAAATTGTTACCGCATGATCAAATCATAACAATAAAGCTGGTTATCATCCCTTCATCTTGACAATGAAGACATCCCCGAACAACTATTTATTTACTACACAAAGACTAGAAATCAAACCAAACCAACAAACCAGCTATCGGATGACATAACTTGACACGTGTTGTTTCTAAAAACATGACAATTGAGGGAAAAACCAGAAATATATTTACTACTACACAACAAAGTTACACACTCTTTGACGTGACAGGATGCGAGGGAGTGAAATGTGACACCAAAAACCAAGCCAAGTATCGTATCCTTTTGTTACGTACACTGGAGAGCAGATGTGAACGCCCAAAACCACGAGCACAATTTAGATCATAGTTTCTCAATAAGTGCGGGGGATTTTTGAAAGGTGGTTATCTCATTTTGAAGACAAATTAATACATAAACATTCACCACAGAAAAATTGGTGTATGATTATTTTTCGCTCTGAACGGACCTGTGACGCCAAATTAAGAAACGAGGAGCGGTGCAAAAGTCATCGCCAAAAACAATTCAAGTAATTGCAGTTTTAAAATTACGAAAGTAAGATAACATTTTTTTTAACTTTTTATTACACCTACTATTGACTTATATTTTAAATAATTCCACCCCAGATAATACAATGTCTCCGAGAAGAAAAACTCCAAGAAAAGAAACAACAATCGCCATTCGGGATCTGGTCATTCAGCACTACGAAAATGGGGGGAAGACGCAACGAGAAATTGCTGATTTGGTCAAAAAATCTCGCTCAACCGTCCGTGACATCATTTTACGTTACAAATTAACGGGATCTATCGAGAATAGAAAACGAGGAGGAAGACCACCAACCTTCAACGCAAGCGAGAAGAAAATGATTGTTCGAAAAGTGACCAGAAATCCAAAACTGTCGTCTCCGATGGTCTCCGGTGAAATGGAAAATGATGTTGGAAAAGTATCTAGTCGTTGGACAATCTCGAGAGTTTTGAAAAGTAGTGGCCTAAAAAATTTTAGAGCCAGGAGGAAGCCCTACATATCAAAAACGAACCAGAAGAAAAGATTGGCTTTCGCAAGACAGCATGTAAACAGTGATTCAAAATTTTGGGAATCAATCTTGTGGTCCGATGAGAGTAAATTTAATGTTTTCGGGTCGGATGGCAGGGCTAGGGTATGGAGAAAGGTCGGAGAATCTCTTAAACTGAGAAATCTCAACGCTACAGTGAAGCATGGCGGAGGAAGTGTCATGATATGGGGCTGTTTCAGTTCCGCTGGGACCGGTACGCACGAATTCATCAACACTACCATGAACCAATTTGTGTACCAAGAAATACTGAAGAGAAACGTGAAACAATCAGCAGCCAAACTTAGCCTTGGAAGACGCTACACCTTTCAGCAGGACCGCGATCCTAAGCACACGGCCAAGTCCACTTGGGAATTCTTTAGAACTAACAAAATTAAAGTTCTTGAATGGCCTCCACAAAGCCCGGATCTCAATCCTATTGAGCATTTGTGGGACCACATCGAAAGAGAGATCCGAAAACACAAAATTTCGAGCAAAGCTGAGCTGAAAGAAAAAATCTCCGCGGCGTTCAGTACCGTCGACCCTGACGTCACTAAGACATTGGTTGCGTCCATGCAACGTCGCTGTCAGGCTGTTATATTGTCGAATGGAGGTCCAACAACATATTAATTGTCAATTCTTTCGGTTAAAATTGAAAACTGTTGAAATATTATATGTTGTTTTCATTTTGGCGATCACTTATGCACCCTCTGTTTTCACTTTTTTTCAAAACTACGAACTTGTGACGAAAACTATACATTTTGATGTAGACTATTTGATACTTATTCATTGAATATTAAATTGTATACAAAATGCAAAAAAAAATTCCGGAAAATTTGTTATCTTTAAAAAGTTATTAGCATTTAAATGGTGAGCTTTCTCTTGGGCGTTCACATCTGCTCTCCAGTGTACTTACGAACTTGTTAACGTAAATACTTTACTCGCGGGAGTAAATATGTAGTAAATTGCAGTTGCCTGCGTCCATTTTGTGGTTAACTGCATGTGGCATGAATGAATGAAGAGGGAATTTGATACTGTATCGAAAGAGATGAATGAAATGAACGCGGTGGTGGTGGTGGTGCTATTAATTAAGACTAAATGAGTGGGGAGGAATTAATTGACTTTCTCTCCACAAAATTCTGGGTGTAATTGAATTAATCAATATTTAGGATGGGATCTTTAACAAGTATTTAGGTATGATGGGATGGATTAGAATTACGAATTTGGTAAAATGTGGATGTAACTACGATAAGCGTTACTTATTCAGAGCAGAAGGGTATCGTACCTAAATTCGGTTCCAAATTTTGCCTATTTCCAAATATTATTACCAACGTCGTGTAATCATTACATTTTTTAAATTCTATAAACTACAATTCATACAACTTTGAAATCTTCTAAAATCAGCTTAAAACTATTAGCGAAATGTTATAATTAGTGTATTTAGCTCAAAAGTAAGCATATCAAAGCTACAAGAAAATCAGCATCTCACGAAATATGCAAAAAATTCCACAAATATTGCAAACACAAAACAAACATAAAAAATGGGTTCAAATGCAAAATAAAATCTAATCGTATACTCCCCTCAACATAAATTGCAAGGGTACAAAAAATTCGCAAAACCCCTAAAATTTCATCCAAATCAAACCCACCCAAATCAAGCAAACTATTTAAATAACATATGACATACCGATCCATAATATGACGACACCTCTTCCGTAATCCAGTTTCTTCGACACGATCACCAAAAAAAGTGTGTATATGTAACCTAACGAACCTCCCTTTTTCCTATCTCTATCTCTTTCTCTCAAAATATGTCACTCGGTCAAAATAAACTTTCTTCTCTTTTACTTCAAAGCCCCTTATTTTCTTTCTACTTTCTCCGTATAATCAATCCATCCCCGATACTACGTACATAAAAAAATTCGTCTCTCTACACTTAAAAATATTTTACAAGTTTTTTTCTGTTTTCAAAGTTTTTTCTCTCGCAATTTATTTCAAGTGTGCTATTAACTACACGCCTCGACTTGCTTGCTTACTCGTCACCCACACCGTTCTCTATATGTTTCCTAAATAAAGTACATATTTCTTTCCACGAGCAACAATTCTTTTCTTAAGAGACTAACAAATCTAGAGACTTTTATTTTAAGAGAATCCGAATGAAGGAATCTTACTTTTCACTCTCTTCTTCTCCTTGTCGTCTTGTTCTTGTTGTAAAGTTTCCCTCGTCACCAAAAGTGTAAGTACTTTCTCTCCTCTCGCTAAACTTTCTGGCGACGTGTGACACACGAAATAAGGGGTGACAGAGGAGAGAATTGCGGTTAAAATAGTTTAAGTATGTACGTCAAGTAGGAGACACCACGAAAAGTTACGGTTTTTACACAGGTAGGAATTTCTATATATGTGATATGCCTGGAATCTCGATAAGGTAAAATATTCATGTACTTTAGTCAGGTAAATTGGTAAGTAAATATGTATTTGTAGGCCGGTTTTTGTCCCCCTCTTTTAAAAAAATTGTTGTAAGGTATTCATAAAAAAGGTGGAAAACGGGGGGAAAAATTGATCCTGGGAATAAATTTCTTTGGATAAGTAGATAGATACTTGATAAGCTCGAGGATTAAGATTTGAGTAAAGTTTTTTGGTTCTTGAATATATAATTGTTTATTTTTGTACGAAATTAACAAGTGATAAGGTGTGATGTCAGAGAGACTAGGCTTAAAAAAATCAGTACCCAACCGAGGGGAAAGTCAGTTTATGTATCAATCAAATGGTTATCAGAGCAATTCCCTGCTTATCTAAATTATTAGATAAGCTCAAAATCTATAAGTGAGTGAGTGAGTTTCAACCTCTGCGTGTCCAAGTGGTTCGTGCCTGACTGAGGTGGGCTTGAGGAGAAAGTTTCCCTTAAGAGGTTTGTGGGCAAGGAGAGAAAGTGAGTGAAAGTACGGTGAAAGCGCATGCCAAAATCCGTATGGTGCCCGTTAGCGGACAATTTTGCGATGAGAAACATACGATTCGAGAAGGAAGGAAGGGAAAAAAAGGTGCCGGATGAGAATTAAGAGAGACCACGATTAAACGGCGTGTGCTCTGATTTCCTTCATCGGTACATATTTATCACGCCATGGAATTGTTCGTACAATAAACGCGATCGCATGCAAGATTAATAAGCAAATTTCTACCAACTCCGGGGAACTCAGGTGTAATTAGTTAATTTTGGGAGAAAAAAATAAATTTCGCAATAATTCGTGAAATCTACATACCTAAATCTGCATGCAAATTTACAATACAGCAATGATTAATAAGCAAGTAATGAATTTCCAACTCCGGATTAAGAGTAGCTAACTAGTTAGTTTTGGGAGAAAAGAAATATTTCGCAATAATTCCTAAAATCTACCTAAATCTGTATGCAAATTTGCATACAATGCACACGTGGAATCAAAGTTGCGAAATTTAGTATAAATAACTTGTTTGAATAATGAAGAAAATAAAAACTTTTGCAAAATTTAATCATCGATGTTCCTAATTAAGAGTAACTTATATACGAAAAGTTTCTTGAATAAATTTTTCTTCCCTGAATGACAATTTACCTTCTTCAAATTGACAATTTCCTCACAAAATAAGCATTCCCCCACCTCTCACCCTATTAATTTCATCCCACGAGTAAAAATCTCACACCTACGTACGTACATACATGCATACACAATTTCCTTAAAATTAACAAATTTAAAAATAAACCTGCCATTGAGTAATATCTTTTAAGCAAACTTGCCCGTGTAGAAACAAGGAAGGATTCGTCACCGCGTCACATATGCCAAAATCCAGTATGTATGACGCTACTTGTTGACTTTTTCTTTATGCTGATGACGCCTCACCACACCGCACCTCACAAACTAACGAAATGAACAATGAAACATAGATGTAAACTGAAGGAACAAGGTAATAGTAAAGTTTGACGTATTAATAATCACTCTACACCCAGTGGCCACGGAAGCCGTGGGGACATCGGGGGACGTTAACATTGCAGGATGGGGGGAGGGAGGGGTTTATATAACATGGGCAGATGATGCGGACAACCGTGGGGACATTGTCCCTCTATTTCCGCGGCCACTGACTACACCCACCCAATAACCCGCATCTCCACCTCACAATCCAAATTCAATCCAATTCGCGATCTTCTACTTCAAAGTAATCAATTCTGCGACACGTCTCTCTCCACGTCGACGTCACGTATTTATCTACGAGCATTTATTTATGGACGAGAACGACGAGGACTGTGAATTTATGTGCACGAGAAGAAAATAACAGATTGATAGAGATGAAACAACGTCACTCAGTCAACCGGAGCCAATTAATGCAATCTCAACTTTGCAATTGATTTCACCCTTGAATGAGATTGAGATGAGAGTCATGAATGAATGTGGAAGTAAAGTAAGTAGGCTTAAATACATAATAGTGTACCTACGACTATTTATAACTGCCTGATTTACAAAGTGGAGATAATAGTGCATAGTACAATTCCATCTTGCCGGATGGATGAGTCAATTAAAACAATGAAAAGGGAAGACAATGGGGATACTAAATTGTGATATTCAATCGTGAATTGTGATATGTTTTGGAAAAGATGGTAATTTTTTGGGGGAATATTTCCTGGTGGGAAAAACTAAAGGATTTTCGCTAGATGAATTTTTAACTTTTATGAAATTGCGGATGTTATACGCCACTTTGAAATTGTGTGAATTTTAATTTAAAAATTAACAAAGATTCCTCCAAATCCCGAGCAAAGTTTTGTATTCATAAAAAATTGTTAATCTTGGGATTAGTTTACATTATGTAAATTACATGCATAAAATTGACATGATTTTAATTGATATAAATTGCAAAAACTCGTAATTTTCTAATAATTGTTTTAATAAGATGACAAATTTAAAATTAAATCAATTTTATGTAATAATTCTAATTTTATTTTTTAATTCGACTAATTGGTTAAAAGCTGCACTTTCCTTCCTTCTCCATAAATTAGCTTATTCCTTCCCCATACATAAATGTCAAATTACGTATACGATAATTGTTTAAAAAACCAATACGTACTTAATTTAATTAATTATTACACCCCATGTTACATATAATTAATTAAATTACGTAAAATCCACCTTCCTAAATAAATACTGCTCTAATAATTTCACTCTTTATTTATAATACCAAGTATATATTTGATTAATTACATATGTACACCTACGTAACCAATGTCATCCATCTCTGCCAAACTAACCTGGATATTTGATGCGAAATCGACTTGAGGTGGAGAGCCAACCCTTTACTCATCATACTCATGATGACGAGAATGAGATGTGATTTATTTTCCGCGATGTCAATACTAATTAAATCTATCACTCATTTATTACTTTTTATTCCCTACGATAAGCACACCTTTCAAGTATATTAAACCCACCATACAGCATATTAACCACTACATATCACTTAACAATTTAAACACGACACGACACTCACAAAACCCATTAATTTTATTAAACCAACCAACCACCTTCACTCGAAGCAAAATTAATTGATCCAAATATTTTAATTGATTAATTGCATGTTCTGCATGGCATATGAAAAGTATAAATCTGCCAGAACAAAAACACCAAAGATTCCGGTCGAATATTTAATAGAGCAAACAGTCTGTTATTTTTGCATGTTTTAGATACTTTTGCATGAAAAAACAACAACCAGACGCCAAATCTGGTCGGTTCAAAAATTTTTGGCAAATATACAATATTATTATTATTTCGTAGATAGATAAATATATAATTGGGCCACACGCGAACTGAATAATCAGTCGAAATCTGAGCCAAATTCCAAACCACGCAGCCTAATTTTTTATTTATCATCAAAGAAGATGACGAGACTGGACAAACGTAACGTAAAAGCAAAACTAAAACTGAATATCTTTACGTAACTTTATTTAACTGGATGAATGATGGACGTAAGAAGGGAGATTGCAACGAGTCAAAAGGCGAGTTAATTAACGAGTGATCCCATCCATTACCGTACATAGAAAAGTAAAACTAACTATTCGCGATATTATATTAAGTACCAATTCTATGTATGAGAAGAATCAAGAGTGATGTATGTGATGTGTGCGATAAGAGAGAAAAGACCTTTAACGAACGAATACATTTACTTTACGCGATAGATAGATTTATGAATGTATGTACGTTATTATTATTGCATAAAATAAATGATAAGGAAAATTACTGGGTTGCATTGCATTTATTTGATGATGAGTTCAATTTCAATGTCAGAATGAAACTTTCAGGCTGACCGAATGACGTCCATGGACCCAAAAAATAATAATAAATGACATATCGATAATTATATCAGAGATGCGTGCAGTGCGCTTAATTATTGTCAACCTGCTAATTGATGAGATATTTTTACATACTTTGGACCATTTTTCAACGAAATTTTATGTAAATTATTATGGATTTTTCAATACTTACCTCCATTGATAGATCATTCGTTGGGGCTTATCATCTCCGACTCCTCCCGCGCCGCCGCCGCCCCCACCACCATGGTCCACACTCTTGCGGCTACTCATCGTCGTTTTGAATGAACGTAACGTCGTGAAGGTTAATAATTAACGGAATAATTAACTAAAAACAAACACAAGGTTTGTTACGAAGACCTTAAATCTAATCGGATTATTGAAAAAAAATCCTGGAAGACTTCAGTAACTTAAACTAACTGACCTCCTCCTCTTTCTTCCACCTGTTCTTAAACACTACTTACTTTTAATAACAAAAGTCAACAGATGATTAAAATTTTGGCACTTGTTTTAATATCACACACGTCACATCCTCTAAATCCAAAATCAGTCAGCTTGACTAATTAGATAACACGTCTTCTTCCACCCGTAAGATAAATTCTCCCCGTCAAATTTTGCATAACACACTTAACATTTAACGAAAATCTTTTCCAAACTTTTTTCTCATATTGCAAATCGTCTTCCTATCATCGCCTCCATTTCTTTCTACAAAAACTACCTAAAATATGGAATGGAGAAAGATAATATCTTAACTTAACTACTTATCGCCCACTTTTTTAACCCGATTTTCTTAACTGCCGATCCTTAAGTAGAGATGAGCACAATTTACTTACTTACTATTCTACAATTTTCTTAAAAACAACAAATACAAATACAATTTTCTCTACACAACAATTTAACACTTATTACTTACACGCACACAACAATTACCTAAACTGGACTGGACAAACTAAACAAACTTCCCGATTATTACTACATACACACGGAGGCGGATTTTCTGCATTGATTTCTTTACACAAAAATCATGTGGTATCTTTTTATATATGTTTGTACGTATAATACGACTCGTGTTCTGTTGCTGCTCATCCTTTTTGTGGACAAATATCAGCAGCACCTACTTTACCCATAGCAAAATACAGGCCAACTTTACACGACAGATAGTAAAGAAGAAGAAGACCAGAAAAAAGTCGATTCAACGGCACCGGGTCGTCCAACGATCCGGATTTGGACAAAAGAACAGGACAGAAATCTTCTTCCTTCAGAAAGAGGATGTTAATTCCTCAAAGGAAATGTGTAGGATCAAGGAATGAATATAAATATCAATCTGGGAATGAATCGAATTAAGGTGTCTTTTTTTCCCCTTTCGTCTTTTTCAATATGTTTCCCTTTTTATTACTTTATCCAATTGGCTGAGAAAAATGGGAACAATTTACACATTAATCAATCCCCTGGGAATTAAGGGGGCAGATTTTAAGTAAAGATTAATGGGGAAATTGACATGTGTGGGAATGAATATAGGAGATGATAATTCGAGATAAATGCGCTGAAATGTGGGAGGATTTTTACTTTGTTAACTGGTCATTTAATTTACTGAATTAATTGTAAGTGGAATCCCCCTGAAAAAATGCAGGTTACCGTAAAATACTACGTAAATTCTGAGAATTCCGTCGTCGGTGTCATCTCTTGAAAGGAGGTGACGTTTCATAGTGCTAATCTTGCTAAGTAAAAGTTCTAGCGTGGATTAGTTAGTGGCGATTTTGATTAAAGGTGTTTTGCTAATTAATCAGTACACAAAACTTGTGGCAAGTTTGTTGGAAAACCCGTTCTTCGTCTGGAGGGATGGATGGTGGATGACCATGAAAAATATTGCTAAATAAATACATAACAAAACCTCTCACTCACTCAGGGAACTTATTAATCACAAAATAAATAAAATAATGAGTCCATTACACAAACTGTCAGAGAAGCGAGATGTGTGCGTACGTACGATTTTATGTAATAACAATAAAATCAAAAATCTCGTATTTCTTGAAAAATGCTGTCCAGAACAATGCATTCATAAGACAAACCCATCCCTCGAGCTATTCCATACATCAAATTTCCTCATTAAACCCTCCAAGCAAAACCTGGAAAAGAAAAATCATTCCACTTTTTCCAAAGAAAATGGGGGCATCAATTATTATCTCAACATTTCGTACATTTTACATAACGATAAAGAGTTACATATGTATCAACTCAATGATTCATCACGAAAAGATACATAACTCACTCACTCCGCAATTTTGCACTCCTCGGCTTAAAAAAATAAAGAAAACTTACACATATTCGTCTTTGTTCTACATAAAGGATTCACATCTTACAACACTAACTCATCCTGACTCAAACTATACAAAATTCAGTGCAAAATGAGCTAACTAGCCAATATTTCTACTGAACTGAAGAAGGTGATGATGCATCCAGTTTTTGTGTCTCTCGCATATTTGGGCGTACACCTCTACATAATAAATCGGCTAAAAAGTTAACTTGCATTACATACAGATAATACATACCTAATCTCCTTTTCGTGTGTATAACCATGCTTGCATTTCGTATACGTAATGTTCGTTCACTTTCAGTTTACTTTTTTTTACTACTACTTGTTACACTCCATAATGAAATAAGTGTGTAAAAAAGCACATATCTATCCAGTCTCCATGTACATATCTGTATATCCAACTATCCTCCAAACTGCTGCTTTTTGGCACTATGTACAAGCAAGTTAAACTCTAACTAAGCTAGGATTTAGATAGAATGAAAGAAGAAGAAGAAAGAAGTCATTATTTTTAGTCCGCTGTTTAAAAATTCATACCTTCTCAAACTAAATACATAAACTACTTTTAAAAAAATACAAAAGCCAGGAGATTACGGAGGAAGGAAGGTGCAAGTTGAGTCATTCATGTTTCATTTCATACAGAATTTTTAAAATGGTAGTCGTAACGTAAATAAAGCAAGTTTTACGTTCGCAAAAAAGTGGGACATTACGTTAAAAAAGCAGGGATAAAGGATCAATAAATACGATACGATCTCATGGATATCATTTTCTGAAAAAAAAAGAAAATTACACAAAAAAGTTCACAATTATGAGCGAAGTTGTTCCCGTCGTCGGTGGTGCTGGCGCCGGGGGTGAAAAATTTTACAAGGTCGAAATGAACAAAACGGAGTGGACGTTGCCGCACAAATATAAAAATCCACTCCCCATCGGAAGTGGGGCTTATGGACAAGTCTGGTAAGGATGGAGTTATACTTATGTGTGCAAATTAGGGGTACTTTCTCCATATTTTGTGTCTCTCCTAGTTCGGCCGAGATCTCTGTAAAGGAAGAAAGTGGTGGCGTCGTGTTGGAGAAAGTCGCCATTAAAAAGTTGGCCCGACCCTTTCAATCTGCAACCCATGCGAAACGTGTGTACCGCGAGTTGAGGATGTTGAAGCATATGAATCATGAAAATGTGAGTGGAAACTGAAGGAGACTTTCTCCAAGGGGAAGATTATTTGTAGGAAAGTTGGGGAAATGGTGATGGTCATTTACAGAATGGTTTTAATACTGCATTTCGGAAATTATATTAGTATATTTTTTTTAAATGTAATACTTATGCGACGAAAATGTGAAACGATAAAATATCGAGTATTAAATTTCAAACCAGATCTATCACTTTCCTTGGGGAACATTAATTTATTCGGTCTTTATTAGGGAGGCTTTCCGGGCTTCCCCCATATTGCATATTGTATAGTTAGTTTTAACTCCAACGAAAAAGAAAATGTTTCCCGTTATTTCTTTGTTTCTGATTTAATACTGCATTATGGAAATTGTGTAAAATATTAGTAACTTTTTTTAAATGTAATACTTATGCGACGAAAATGTAAAACGATAAAATATCGAGAACCTAATTTTATAGTTAGGTTTTTTTACATTTTTTATAGGAGTTTGTTTTAATCTCAAAGGCAAAATTTTGTTTCCCTACATTGTTTAATAGTAAATTTCTTTTTGATTTGGTTAATCAAAAATTGTATTGTAGCCGAAACTTTTTTTAAAATTTGAAAACACAGATTAAAACCGTTCGAATCTTACAATTTTTTATTCACTTTTAAAAATTCCATTTCATATCCTTCAAATGAAGATTATTTTTCAAAACTGGAGAGATTCTTTAGAGATTCCTAATTACTTTTGTTCCTCTAAATTGGACGCAGATAATTGGACTCTTGGACGTGTTCACGCAAGCCGTCGCGTTGGACGATACCTTCCAAGACGTGTAAGTCGTAGTGGTGAAAGTTTGCTTGGTGAAAGTTTGTCCATCCGTCTAACTAATTGGTCCCCCATGTTTATAACCTCCAGCTATCTCGTGACCCCACTAATGGGCGCTGATCTCAACAATATCATCAAAACGCAGAAACTATCGGATGAACACGTCCAATTTTTGGTGTATCAGATCCTCCGAGGTTTAAAGTACATCCATTCAGCCGGAATTATCCATCGGGTAAATATAAAAATCTTAACAAGAAATACAAATTTTGGACAACAAATACTAATTTGTGACAACAAATTTTGAAAAACAAATATAAATATAAATTTTGACAAAAAAAATCAAAATTTTCAACTTCCTCTTAATATTTCACAGGACTTGAAACCGTCCAACATCGCTGTGAACGAGGACTGTGAATTGCGAATCTTAGATTTCGGCCTGGCCCGACCCACCGAGACGGAAATGACGGGATATGTCGCAACCCGATGGTACATAAAAATAAATCTTATCCCATCAAACGAAAACTTTCCCCAGTGTGTAATTTCACAAATTCATGATGACAGGTATCGAGCCCCGGAAATCATGCTCAACTGGATGCATTACAATCAAACAGGTAGTTATTTTATTGCCCGTATATATTAGATAAACAATAATTCGTTATCTGTAACGAAAAAATGAGACTATTATTACCGTATGGATAAACAATTATATGTAATCTATAACAAAAAATTAGACTATTATTAACCACGTCATAAAAATGGGTCGTGATCCGTTGCTCAAAATGGGAGAAATTTTTAGTTTCCGGGAACTTTCTCCCATTCCAAATTATGAGAAATTCTGTGAAATTCTGTTCCGCAATTAAAATATCTAAGTTGCCATGAATTTAACTATGACTTGTCTTCAGTTGCTGAAGTAAATTTGATAGTGTGACCTTTGATAGTTTATCGTTTAATCATTACATCCTATTTTCACAAACGCCGTTTAATCCTTACATTTTTAAAAACGCAACTAACTGAAATCCAATATTATACAAAAATGCAATCTAAAAATTTTTAAAGGTGATCAAAACTTAATTCACAGGGGCAATCTTCGTGATCTTGATAAATATCATCACAAACTTCATTTCCTGAAGTTAATTACAGACTGTAATATACAGTCAACAATTATAGTTACAAATAATTGTAATGATTATACGGCACTTATAAAAATATGAGATATATCAAATACTTTAAAGTAAATAACAGGTTAGATTAAAGTGTTCTGAAAATTTAAAAAAGTCTTTGGTTAAAAACTAAATGTTGAATTTGTTAAAATTATGTTTCTACCAGAAATTTGTAATGTTCATTTTTTAAATTAGCACACTTTAACCACCTAAAAATTATATTTATTTTCCACTACCCAGAAAAATTAGTTAAAAATATAAGAAAAATATCACAATTTTCACACATTTCTTACCCCTTGCCACTAAAAAAAACTGAAACCCTGTCCCTACACGAGCCATCCTGTCATTAATAATTAACCCTGATTATTATTTCCCAAACATTCCATCTAATTATTTTCCCCTCTAATTTAATTCCTTTCAGTCGACATTTGGAGCGTGGGCTGCATATTTGCCGAGTGTTTGACGAGTCGTGTCCTATTTCCGGGGACGGATCGTACGTACCAATAATTTTATCCACTTTTTTATTATTATCATTTTTTATCTTTTTTCTCCATGAATTTCTTCCTTTTGAGACGGTTCGTTTCCTTCTTTCACGGTTCATTAAATGAGAAAATGCGACGAGATAATTAATTTGAAACATCATAGCAAAACTTGATAATCGTGACCCATTACACACCACAGACATAAACCAGCTCAACTTGATTATGGATTTGCTGGGCAAGCCGAAAGATTCCCTCTTGGATAAGATCTCGAGCGAGCCGGTAAAAAAATATACAGATAACACACAAACAAACACATAAAAAATGCACATCTCGCTTAAAAAACCGCTACTTAAATGAAAACCCCGTAAAAAGAAATAAATTCATTTTGAAAAGAGTTAATTTTTGTAATAATTAATTAAGTATTTTAATTGTGTGACACGTTTTTTTTATTATTTTGTTTTGCCATTTTCTTCTCTCTCCCCCCGACTGACAGACATTGACCAACTTTTGCGGATCATGATGGTGACAGGGTCACCCAGAGAAGAGCTCCTTGAGCGAATGTGTTCCCAAGAGGTAGGTTTCGTACGTTTCGTTAAATCTTTTCAAAATGGATTTTTTTCTCTCTGAATTTCAAAATTTTGAAGATAAAATTTTGAAAATTTCCTTTACTGTAACCCTTGCTGTAGTAGCTTAAAGCTTGATAAAGTGAAAAAATGAAAGAAAATGAAAATAAATGATTGGAGAAAATAAAGTAGAATTTTGATTTGTTGAATTTCTAGGCCCGAGTTTACATCAGATCTCTCCCACCGATGAAAAAGAAAGACTTTGCGACCGTGTTCAAGGGAGCAAATCCACTCGGTGAGGAGATATATAATTTTAATTTTAATTAAATAATGTCAATTACAATTTTAATGATTTTATAGCCATCGACTTACTGGAAAAAATGTTAGAGTTGGACTCGACTGGTAAAATATTTGATTTGCGAATTTAATGATTTGGCGAATATGGTAATTTTCATTGATTATTTTTTCATCATATTTCCCTCAGAGCGAATTACGGCCGAGTTGGCGTTGTCACATCCGGTATGACGAAAAAGACATAAATTATAATTTTAGTATTAAATTAACAAGTGTTTTTTTATAATTTATTTTTTCCTTCTTCAGTATCTCAGCTCTTATGCAGACCCCACTGATGAACCAGCGTCCCCACCGTACGATCAAAGTTTCGAAGGTAATTTTTTACGTAGTTATTATAGCCATGCTGTTTTTCCATTTTATATGTAAGACTCAATTTCTTTGCAACATTTTGTGGTTGCATTTCATATAAAATTTTGCACTTTTCAAAATTTTTCTGGTATGAAATTATATTGCAATTCACATTTTTATTTGTTTTCGAATTTGGTAAATTTAATATCCGAAAATTATTTTGCCAAAAAAAAATTCAACTACGGAAGTTAATATTAGGTTCGTCCATTGTAAGGTGTGAGTATCCAGGAAATATACTCAAATGATAATATTTCACACGAACATTCAATGCCACAATTCCTTCTGTACAATTAATGTTTTAATTGCAAATATAACTTTTTATTGCGTAACTATTACTTCCAACAATCCATTTCGTAAGACTCAATTTGAATGAAATGCATCAAACCAACATTTTAAGAGATAGTGGGCCCGTTTCGTATAAAATTTGGCACTTTTCTAATTTTTTTTTGCATGTAATTATATTTGCATGCAAAGGTGATTTTTTTAGAATTTGGTAAAATTAACAGCCGAAAATTATGTTTTAATAGAAATATTTGGAAATAAATAAAAAAAGAAATTAATTTTAGATCCGCCCAGGGACCTGAAGTTCTTCGTTTATTATGGACGCAAAATTCGATATTTTTTTAAAAATTTTTCCGGAATTATATTTCTAGTCAAATTTTTTTTTTTTTTGATTGGTGAAATTAACAGCCGAAAATTATTTTTCAATACAAATCTTTTAGTTAAATTAGAAATTTAGGTTCGTTGGCGGTCACATGGTAGTTTATTATGTATGTATTTATTACGTACGTTAAAATCCAGAAACACAAATACACTCAACTGATAATATTTTATAGAAACATCATATGCAATGTCTCTATCCATTCTATAGAATTAATTAGTGACTCAATTGCAATTAACTTTTCACTTCCTGCTCACCCACAGATATGGAAGCTCCACTGGAAACTTGGAGAAAATACGTGTACGAGGAAATTATCAATTTTAAACCAAATTCGTGCTTCCAACATCAGGAATCTACCGAGTAGTGTGGATTAATATAAAAAGAATTAAATCTGTCCATGATCATCTACTTATTCAAATTAAAGTGCAGGGATTCTCACATATTGAAATTGAGATTTTAACTGTCCAATTAAATTAACTAATCCTAAGAAGATTGTACCTCTTAAATTCTAAATTTTTGCTCAGCAAATTGAAAAAAAGTATTAATGAACCGAACAAATTAACTGTTATTATTTAAATAATTAATACTTAAAATGGAACAAAAACATAAATTCAAGTCTTTCGCTCAAATCGATTACTTATTTTATGTATGTAAACCGGTGGTAAACTTATTGCTGCGAAAAATATGTATAATTGTAATTAATTAACTGCGACAATCTTTAAAACGCATGACATTTAAATAACTAGAGAGGTGAAAATGTGCAATGTAAATAAAAGAAACGCAAATTTTATGGGTCGACAATTTCACAATATTTGGTGAAATTTAGAATTTTAGTAAAAGTAACGCAAATCTTAACTCAAACTGTAATACTGTCACGCCGTCCGTGTAATTTTATTATAAGAACAAACTAATCATAATTTTACAGGTAATTTCAATTAAATAGGTCCATATTGAATGTGAAAATATGCATTAAATTAAAATGTGGTTTTAATTATTAATTAAAAATCAAGAAAATTTTTATACCAATTACTAGTTTAAATTTTAGTGTTATTATGAAACTGCATTTTTTGTAACTCTGCCTCCTTGACTTAAAATATTTATGACTAATTTTAATTCACATACATTTGAATCACAAAATTTTAATTGAGAACGATTTCAAAATATTTAACAACAAATTATCAATACAGTGTTCAATTCATGGTTTGTTAAATTTATTGTAATTAATTATTCGGGTTGTGCATTCATTAATAATTTGTACTCGTGTTGTTCTTTGTTGGTGCTTTAACTTCTTGAAAATAAAATTGTTGGAAACTTTATTTCATAAATCACCTAATAATTTTCCGCATAATTATTTTGATTATTTTAGCATGAAAATCCTGAATACAAAATGCCATAAATTTGCATGCAAGCATTTTAGGAAACATTGGGAAACATAGAGATTTCTTATCAGCGGGATTCAAGCTCCAAAAATAGGAAAAAACATTGGCGAAGATGACGATAAGATTTTTCACACGTGCCTCTATCTTATCTTCATAAAGCTTATGTTAATTTAAAAGGTAAGTCTCATAACATTTCTCAAGATAACTACTGCATTTTAACAATTTATAATTACAGTAATCTTGTTCCTGGGTCATTTTGTTTTCAATAATTACGAATTGTGGTTAAATCGGCCTTGCAATTTCAGATACGACCTTTAGTTGTTGTTAAAATTGTTGCCAGTAATTTTAATGGGAAACTAGAATTAATATTTTCTAATTGACAATGTTGCAGAAAAGTTTAGCTCTAATTTCATTCACATATTTATTTATTTTTCAATAAATGAAATATCGCATTTTTCATAGTGCATTTTACTAATTCGCCGTTTCTTTTTAGTTACAAGCAAGCCATATCTAAAACCACCACCGGAAATCCACGGTTTTTGCGGTCATTTCTTTTACTGTCATGAAAAATGCGTCGCCTACTCGCCCACCGTTTCAGTCTTCCACTCGCTACCGCCGCCCTTGGAGTCGGAATCGTGACAGCGTCCTCCTCAATTTTAAATAATCATCCACAAAGACGTCCCATTTTCACTAGTCACTGCGCCCCAAAGATTAACAAACCGGCTGAAGCCATGTCTGAAGAAAACATTCCAGGTCTCTACTCTCAAGATAAGTTGCGCTCAATGTCCATCAACATCACGGGTAGGTCAAAGTTCACGCCAAACCTAGTCACCCTTTGATATCACAAAATAATCTTTCTTGTCAATTCAGGAATGCGAATTCCCTACCACGGGAAGAATGAATCTTTCACGGAAGACCAATTAGTGGCGAGGGAACCGTTCTCACAATTCAATAATTGGTTTGAACGAGCTGCCATAACGGAAGGAATTGAAGAACCGAATGCAATGTGTCTCGCAACAGCGACAAAGTACAAATATCCGTTGAAAATTTAAAGGTCATCAATTATTTATTGGCATTTTTATTTTTTATCAGGGATGGGAAGCCCTCGTGTCGTATGGTGCTTTTGAAAGGGTATGGAATCGATGGGTTCAAATTCTTTACGAATTATTGTTCTCGGAAAGGCAGAGAACTCGTGAGTGTTCTATTATTCTCTTAAAAATTCATAATTTTGTTTGCTTGCGGTTGCAAAATAACAGGAAACAGGGAACTGATTAAATGACAAATGACCTTGATTCTTTCGTAGGAGGAAAACCCATGGGTTTCACTCAACTTTTATTGGGAACCGATGAAGCGATGTGTACGTAAATTATGGATAAACTGATAGAATGAAAACTTTATAGGGGTTTATTTTTGGAAGTGAAATGTCAGATTTTTAAAATTTTAATATCCTTTTTCTGTCCAGATTCGAGTTGAGGGTCGTGTAGAACGCCTGAGTGTTGAAGAGTCTACGGAATATTTTCACTCGCGACCGATAAGTAGTCAGGTGGGGGCAGCGATAAGCCCTCAAAGTCAACCTGTCCCGGGTCGTGAATTTTTACTCGAGAAAGAAAAAGAACTGTTGGCCAATGTTGGGGAGAATAAATGTGTCGACAAGCCGGAAACATGGTAGGTCACAAATTACTTCAAATTAGATAAGCACACTTATCAAGTTTCATATATTATGTATAATATTTATTATTTCCAGGGGCGGTTTTGTCGTGATTCCGGACGTCATTGAATTCTGGCAAGGTCAAACTAATCGGATTCATGACCGAATTCGTTTCCGGAAGCGAGCCCCAGGAGAATGCCCTGATAACGTGCTGGTCCACGAGGGAGAAAATGGATGGGTGTTTGAACGCCTTGCGCCATAAGTCAAAACATAAAGTAAACCAAAGTACCAAAACATGACAATATAAATATCAATCTGAAGTATAGATCTGCATGACTAATTAGTACGTACATAGTTGCCATAATACGTAATAGAGAAAGATCGCATAATCTCAAATCAAGTCTTCCATTCCAAATTTAGTGATATTACAAACCACAAAAACTGAAATGCAATCTCAAAATTAAATTAACTTTTACTTGTGCATATGTAGTAAGTATCATTCATTCGTATTTGTTATATGTCTCGTGCTCAAAATGTTTATCAAAAATCACAAGTTATCACAGAACTTTGTTTTTAAGCCTTGATAATTTTATTATTATTGTGTACCACAAATTAAGTTGATTACGTAAGCTAAACACTAATTAATAAAATCGATTTAAACAATTTATTAAAGAATGTCACGCTTTATTTCAAGCTTCATTAATTCTAACCAACCATCTTATTAATTTTTCTTCAGTACTCTAAATATTTGTCATGAGCTGTTGACTGGAGTATAATTTCCAGGAAAAGTTTATATATACAAACAAAGCTTGTAAATAAACCAAACACGGAAATGGAACGACGAATCATACATACAAGAAAAAACACGTAAAAAATACCACCAAAAATGGCCCACCCAATTTCCGCAAAAATATCGCCGTCTCTCCCTCTCCTCCTCACCATCGTCCCCTTCACCTTCGTCACTTCATCCGATCGTGACGAAATTAACGACATCCAGCACTCCTGGCAGGATGGGGAGAGTGCCTTCACCTACGAACTGGGCGAATGGGAGACAATGATTCTTGACCTCATATCCCGTCAAGTCCCCTCCGTCCCCATCCAAGCGTTCTCCGATGACCCACAACTTTACCAAAAGGTGGATCGTGGCAACAAAATTTCTCTCTATTTTGACCAGCCCCCCGGAGGTCAAGCGGGGTCATCTTCTACCTCCGCCCTCGGAGCGAAGGAAATATATCGGAGGAAAAATGTCGACGCCAAACTGCCCGTGATTGTCCTTCGCAGTGGGGAAGATCACCTCCCATTGTTCGAAAGAAAGAGAACTTTTGTCGTTTTGAGACAAAATCCGGAAACGAATAACACTTACTTTGCGAGCTATGCTTATTTAAGGTGAGTAATTATGAAATAAGGGAGATGTAACAAACCTAAGTAAAAATTAAATCGCATTAAATTGCAACAAGCAAAAATATTATTTTTCGGCGTGAAGTTTCATCACATTTTACTAAATTACTTGCAATGTCTGTTATTAATGGGAAGCAATTAAATTTCGCAAATACCATGCTTGGCTAAAACAAGAAATTGTAAACAAGATGTGTTTATGAAACGAATCCCAGAATACGGAGTTCTCATTAATCAATCTCACTTCCGACTCTTATTTATTATGAAATTAAACTTTTACAGAAATATGTATGCAAATACATACAAGTTCATATGTATAAATCGATCCATTGACCCGTATCATTATTAATCCATTGTCATAAATATATAGGAAATTATCATAGATTAAAACCGATTGATACGTAATTTAAATAGTAAATGGATTTATCTGCTTACACCAAAACACACACCTCAACTTAATTACTTGATTTAAAATGTCCAAAACAATTAAACATTTAACTCTAACTTTCATCATAAATGAAGATAAAGAAGAGATTCTTCTCGGTTTCAAAAAACGAGGACTAGGTCAAGGACTTTGGGATGGATTTGGTGGAAAAGTTGAACAATCAGAAGAAATTGTAGATGCTGCAAAACGGTAAAAAATATACTGCATGAAGACATCAATTAAACATAATTTTGTTTAATTCTATTTACAGTGAAGTTAAAGAAGAATGTGGACTTGACGTAGAACTTGGCAAGCATTTTGCCACCATTGATTATTCCTTTACAAAGAATCCTCTCGAAATTCAGAGATCTTTCGTTTATCGTACGACGATAGCAAAATCTTCCGGAGAAATTCAAGAGACCGAGGAAATGAAGCCACAATGGTGGTCAATGTCTCAACTTCCCTACGACAGGATGTGGGCGGACAGCGAACAATGGTATTCACTCATGTTTAAAGGCACACCCTTCACGGCAGAATATCTATTTGATGATGACAATCACGTCATTAAGGGCAATCTTGTGTTGATTTAGTTAGGCTTAATAAATTGCAAATCTTTAAATCATCAACTTGTTGACGGAATAATATGAAAACAATTTTTTAGTTATGCCTATATTATGGATTTTTAATGTAAGTTTGAAAAGAATTGTCAACAATATGCATTTGTCGCAACATGTATAGAATGATATAATTCAATAAAATTAAAACTATATGAAAACTGTTTATTCTGAATCATTCGAAAAACACTGTGTGACAGTTTAATTTATTTTATTGCACTACTCAATTACTACTAATCCTAAATCGCTCAGTCACTAATCTGACACTACACACTTCAGCACACTTCAGCCACAAATGAATTAGCTATAAAAATAATTATTCATGACATATAAATCATATGCAATTAACCTTACGTACGTATGTAATGCTAATATTTCTATATGTAGATCCATGGCTAATTCTGACTCTGAGTGCACATGGAATTATGTATTTAATCAGATTTAATGTCGAAAGCCAAAGAAATCTAAATTAAAATTAAATAATATTGTAACAAGCCGAAAATTATTTTTCGGCGGTTTTAAGTTTCATCGCATTTTACTAAATTTCTTGCTATTTTATGAATGGTAAGCATTTGAATTCTCAAATACACGTACTACGCAAAAACCATAAATTGTACTAAAATAAAACCGTAACCAACCGTAAATGCAAAACAAGGATTTCGTCCATAAATCTGACTTGGTTTGATATTAAGCCAGCAAATATTGTTCTACTTACTGACTTTATGATCTTACATCCTTCTTAAACCGTAAAAATGTACTTAACACTTATACATATTCTTTACCTGACTGGGCCAAAGGTCACTTTGACATAAAATTAGCCTATATATTCTTCCAGATTCTGGACGGACAAGCGGTCCAACTGCATTGAAACTTATCTCAACGAAAAAATCTGTATCGAGTGGGACTCGTGGGATGGGGATCGGTCCGAGGTCAAATCAGGTCACAGATTTAATTTCACACATTATGCTTCATAATTACCTTTCTACTTACATAAACGAAAACTAAATCATAATTACATCAATTATCTATGTCCATTTATTAGGTCACAAATTTTTCGGTTGGACAGACTGCGCTTCTTCCTTCCTCTTCTCGTGCACTTCACAAAATTCATCGTCCTCGCAAAAACCTTCGACAAACGACTCTGTGACTTTAGTAGATCGTGGATACCGTAACCAAACTCAAACTTACCGCGATACCGCGGTCACTTATAAACCAGCCGCTAATCTTCAAATTGACGACTCCATCGATGTTTTTTTCGACTTGGAGACTGGTCAAGGCGAAGCTCGCTATGTTCGACAGACAATTCGACATTCGAGCATTTTTAGGTAAAGTTTTCAAAAATTTGCTTTTTTTAAAAATCATTTTCTACCTCAATACCTCTTAGAAAACCGTCCCAACTAACGACCGGAAGTGTGCTGGGGTCATCAAGTCCTACCCCGCAGGGAAGGTCACTCATTGCATCCGAGCAACAAAATATAACCAAAAGCATAACCTCCCTCAAGGCCAAGATGACCCAGAGGTCACGCGAAGATAGGAAAAATAAAGAACTCCTCCACGCCAAGTTGACCTCAAGGATGGAATGGTTTCGCAACAAAGCTGAATTGAACAACTTACTCCGAAAATATGCCAAAGAATTTGGCTACGATAGGATTGATGCCGTCAAAGCGAAGTCATACGACTGGAAAAGGTTTAAAATGTTTAAAAATGTTTCCACTATTTTGACCCAGGATGGAATGGGGTCAGAATACGTGGGAAATAATGAGGTCATTGCCAACAAGATGAAGGAGGTCAAGGACGAGGTCAGCTTCCTCCTGGGGGCGGATACGGCTCGAATAACGGCATCCCCAGATGACGAAGTGGTCGCATCTACGGCCGCGTTTAATCGTGCCCTCGGCTCAATTATGATTTCCGGTGGGGGCGGAATGCGGGGGCGTGCCTTGGATGAGACAGATGATAAGGTCACCTCCACAATAGCAAAGAGTAGGTATACCAAATTTAGTCATCTTATCATGATAAGTAGCTTATCTTTATCTTTCCGTTCAGGCATCCTCTTTAGCTCCACCGACACATTTCAATCGCCGGGTTGGAAACTTCAGCATGTTGACTCTTCTCAATTTAAGCCTAATGTGACCCTTGGTTTGGAAAAGGATGTAATTTTCTACGGGATGGGATCCTGTCCTAACGTTAATGTGACCTCAAATGACCCCGTGACCTTTTACCTCACCCTCTTCCGAACAAACTGTCTCCCCGAGGCGAAACAATACTTGGAACATCTCATTGAAGAAAAATATGTTCAAGTTGTTGTCCAACAGAATCTCACCTTATTTGCATTTTCAAACGATAGCGAAGGCAGTTTCGCCCTCCTCCAAGAAAAGAAGAGATTGCGAAGTGAAGAGGTTCGCCGGTTGGGCGCAGCCTTAGAGTTGGTCGCGTTCAGCGAAACGTATGTGAACCTGGCGAAAAAAGGGGAGGGGAAATCTTGGGGAGGAAGAAATGTATCGCGAAGTGTGTCAACCATTCGCCAATTTTTCATTAGATACGTCACATTAGCGAGGTCAAAGGGTGATGAACATTTCCTCAAGTTGGTCCGAAATTTGGTCGTCACGTTGAAAGGGGTATATGCAAAAAATTAGCATATTTTGTGCGAAATAATAATTTTTGGTATTCTCCTCAGGTGATGACGAAGCTGATCCAAGACGAGGAAATGTTCTTGGCACAATGTGTCCCCACAAAGGACGCTTGTCGCACCGAGTTGAGTCTCAACTCTGCCGACCAATTCGAAATCCATGCCATTTCTCAATTTCTCATCAGAGGTTTGGCCCCCGTTGAGCGAAATTTTGGAGGTGACGACGGTGTCGAAGTCGCATTTCGAAAATTTGTCGACCTCAATAAAGCCGCGCTACGGGAATCGGTAGCATTTTATCAATAAGTGAAATTTACGAAGTTTTCATGTAGGTATAAAAAAATCACTCTCAAAATAAAATTATGTATCAAAATACTTCAAACTGTGGTAAAAAAAAGTAATACTCAATTCTACACTTTATTTATCAGTACATCATCTATCAAAATTGACACTTTTTTGCACAACGCTTAATAAATTATAAATATATCTGCAAATAACAAGTTGTCAATTATTATCGATTAACATTGATTGATTAATATTAATTGAATCTCTTTATAATTACATTGTATCAAATTATCGATAATTACGGCACGAGGTGGACTTTGGATAAGATCACCTCATCAAAATTACCCCGTTAAATCAAGGTTTTCTCTCATTTTGATCTCATATATATATGAATCTTCCCACTTGATGAAGGTATGTATGCAAATTAAATGAATAATTAACATACTAATAAACTAACAATTAAATCCCCCAAAATGAAATTCATCCCATTATTTCTTATCTCAGCCCTGCTCGCAGTGCAGGTGGCGTCTTTGTCCCCAAATCATGACAAGAAATTGGCCCCACTCGACACCTGCGGGGGCACGGTGGAGGCGGACAGTGGGACAATCTCGTACTCCTTCACTACCCCGGGGGAAACGTGCATTTGGACGGTCCACCTCAAAGAAAAGACGCGTTTCCGATACTACTTTACGACTTTTGACGTTCCTGGACGCGACACAAACTGCACTGGCGCGTCGCTCGGGATCTACTCGTTGAACAATATTTTCTCCGAAAGTTTTCAGGGATTAGAGTGAGTTAACTAATAATTAACTAAATGACAATTAACTAAATATTTTAATTAACTATGTAAATATGTAGCTTTTGCAACGAAAAGAACTATTCGCCCTCCTACTTCTACGAGGATGGTCACACTCTCGCCATTGTTTTGCGAACGGACGAATACGCTACTTCCGGTCGAATTGGTGTTTCCTGGTTAGGCCAACAAACCCCGACAAATCCACCCAGCCACGGGTCCAGTTTTACCACGACATCCAGCGGCCTTGTCCAATACCCGGTGGGGGAGGAGTACCCCCCAAATTCGGTCAACACCTGGGTCGTGCAGCCATCCTTGTTGAGCACGGAGGCCACCTTGACCCTAGAAAATATTGATATTGAAGGGTGTCAGTTTGCCGATAGGTGTTTATGCGATGCCCTCATCGTGTATGGGGTCACGGCGAGGGGGGAACTGCAGGCTGAGGCGAAGTAAGTAAATACTTGTAATAAAATGTCACGTTTGAGATGATAACCTTTGACCTTTGAATTTTAAGATTTTGTGGTGACACGACTTCTGGGGAGGTCACTCTCACCCAGTCCAATAAGTTCATCGCTGTCTTTTTCACGGATTTTTTGGACGATCCAGGCCGTGGGTTTGGTTTCCAGTTGGTGTGGAGGTCAGGAGCTCAAGCGACCACGCCGATTACGACGACAACCCTGAGAACGACTACCACTGTGACAACGACGGAAAGGACCACAACCCCAGAACCAGATCAGATCATTGGTAATAAGAAAATTTGCATAAATTCGCGAAAATTCTTCAGGAATTAAAAAAAATTCCTTGCAAATTATCAAATTCGCCACATAAATTCCCAAAATTTCCGAGATCTCCATAATAAACTACATGTTTTTCTTTAGCGACCGAATGTGGTGGGACTATCGACGCAAATCATGGAAAAATTCTGTACAAGCCGGACGAATCTTATGGTAATTCGGAACGTTGCGCGTGGATCATTCGTAGCCCAACGCATCACAAAGCTCTGTATCTGTCCAAGATTCGCAGCGGTTTCGAACTGGGGGCCGACTATTTGGGAGTTTACGGCTTTGACAAGCTCGAGTCCACCTCGGTCACCATTGGCAAGTCGACGAACGATCCAGAAACGAGATACATTTATCAAGGTTCCGTCGCTGTGGTGGTTTTCACTTCGGATGCGGCAAATACGGGGACCGGGTTCGAACTTGATTTCCGTTTTAATGGCACGATCGACACTGGCGTGAGGGTTTTCAATGACTACTTTTCGCCCAATGTGGAGGGTTCGGTACGGGTGGGAGGACCAAACCCGGACGATTATTATGATAACTACAGTTTCTCGGTTTTCGTAATGTCGAGGAATAATACGTATTATTCAGGTAATTTGGACTTAAAACATTGAAACGTTTTGACGGTTTTTGTGAAATTGAATAATTTTCAAAATTTTTGCACAAAAACTAGTTGATAGGATTTTGTAATTGTTGTATTCTACAGTGTTCTATCAGATCGTTCATTTGCAAATATTGGCAGGTCACCTCTCTAAATTTGGGAAACATATTTTATTTTAAATCTTTATAAAAATTAAGTCGGTCCTACAAAAGTCAATTTTAGTCAGTAAATTTCTTTATTCGTAGCCTATTTTGGAGCACATCAACGGCTTATTCATTCGTGCAAGATCTTTATGCACATTTTTATTATATTTTCAGATATCGGATGGACTGCGAGTCTACACATTTACAGAATGGAAGACGCCGGTCTGCCTGCCTGTCATTACGATGGCGTCCGCGTATATTCTGTGGCTTTGGATACTTTATCATTCGTCGGCAGGTCGGTTGTAATACACGCAAATAGTAAAGAAAATCATGTTTTTAACCACTTTATAAATTTTACAGATATTGTTCCGACAGCGAAGCCTCATTTGGACCATTCCTCGCCAGAAACTTGTACATTTTCGTATTTGCTTCAGACGGGAGTATCAACCGAGGAGGGTTCGAAATCACCTGGAGATTGAGATAATTTCAGCCTCCGAAGAAAAAAATGCGAAAAATTTGCATTTTTTAATACGAGAAATTTGGAATTTTATTTGTTAAATAATTATCAAGTTTGAATAAAGTACAAAAAATGCCATTGTTTCAATATTCACTTTTGACGATCGTCATTGCATAGAGACTGGTCGATGACCCTTCAGCAGATGCTCTGGAACAACAAATTGTGTTCCTGATTTTCGAAATATATTTCCGAAAAAATCTAAAAAAAATTCACAAATTGTCCGGAAACAATTAGAAATGTGAACAATTAAGTATTTAATTACCGAAAAGCATTGTTCATTTTTGAATCGTTCAACACAAGTTGGAACATTTAAATAGGTCGTGAAAGTGACGAACGATATAACTCAATCAGTAATTTCAAATTAATGACAATGACGTCTTCTCACTCGTGCTAAAAATTCAACCTAAATAAATATAAATTGGCCTTTGTTCCTCAACTGAACAATACCTACAGAAAAATTTTTCTTAAAAATCTCATTACATACCCTTCGTTGGAATTCAACTACAAAATTTTTACAACTTACGTGCGCATACGTCTCTCTTCGTCAAGGTCAAACGGTCACAGCGCAGGAATTCCATCAAGTTTAACTAATCTTAATCAAATTCAGGTAAGGTAAGATATCTATCAACAATTTGCAAGTAAAAAAAATACTGCTAAGTAGTCAACAAACCAGTGACAACATTTGTAATCTCACCAAAAACTGCCAATTTTAACGTATTTTTGAGCAATTTAAATAATCAATTCTGAAAATCTGATTCTGATTCTCAATTCTATTTTCCCCTCGTCGCCGCACCGCGCCCAACAATAGTTGCAATCCATTATTTACTAATTATTACGTATGAATGGGCGTTAATAAATAAACAATTACAATTAATTACACAAGTACGAATAGGCACAGGGAATGCTGACGGAAATGTTTTCTCCTTGAATAAATAAACATCTTTGTTTATTCTTGACCCAGATTGTCCATACGAACAATATCAAAATTATGGCCCCTACTTCCACACGATCAGGGAAGCACCACCCCGTCTGAGCCACGCCCCTAGACGGGCGACGAGATTTTTTTAAATATATAAAATAGTGTACTAACTTTAGTGACGACTCATTTTACAGCCGAGGTGTTATTGACCCTTGACCCCCTCCCAGGCTAAATGGGGGAGTGGACAATTTTGGTCGTCGTCGTCTTGGTCTTCGTGACGGTGACGTCCGCCTTCCCATTTCCGACCGCGGAGGACTTGGATTCGTCGACGGCGGGGGAAAATGTGGTGGTCAAGAAACGACAAGAAGACGACGGCGCGCCCGACCCGCATATTCCGGTTTTGGAACAATTAGGAGCAAAATTAAATACGGATTGGTTTTTGGAGGATGTCATCTTGGCGCAAAAGTTGGATAGGATTAACGATATTTCCAAGGTACGAGAGTTATGTAAAAAATTATGGTGGAAAAATGTATGTAAATATTTATGATTTTGTAAGTATAGTTTGCCCTCATTTTGTGGGGATTAGTTATTCTGTGAATTTTAAGCAATTGGAAAAATCTAGATTTAAAATTGTTTTTTTAATTAAAAAATTCCAGATTGAAAGGATTTTGTATATTTATTTATAAAAAAAAGTTAAATCGAAATAATTAGAGAAATATAGAGAAATTCTGATTTGTTGTGTATTTTTGAAAAATACTTTCTCCTAATCGCGTCATCACTTGCATAATTGCATAATATGCAAGTATGTAAATATTATTACAAGTTTTGATTATCCACGTTTTGCATGAAAGATATTTCCAGAAAGTCACAAACTGGAAAATTTGAAGTTTTTGTGTCCAAGTTAAACGTATTTTTTCCCCAGTACTCTGACCCAGCGGACAACACCACCATCATCTTCGAACGCCAAGTGCTGGACGCCAACAAAAAAATCATTGTCCTCAAAGCGTCCGAGGACAAACGTGGCGTCACCAATTCGACCAATAAACGGACCTACATCGTCCTAGTGCAAGCCCCACCAGTTCCAGAACACAAAAATTCATTCTACTACATGGTCTTTGCATACATTCGGTAGAAAATGTTTTTTTTCTTGTTTTTCTCCTCAGCGAATGTTCAAAAAATTAATAAACCATAATTCTTACTTGTCAGGGACGCTCGTGACTCCGATGAAGCGAGTGACATCCAAACCATCGCCGGCAAAAAGGTCACTGTCGAATGGGACATTTGGGATGATCGGTCCCCCACCACAAACTTCCACCCGGGCTGGCTCAGTTGTTCGTACACGGTAATGTTCGCCTGCCAAATTAATGAAACTGCGATCGAGGCTACTATGGGGAAAGATTTGGCGATAGCGTCCAAAGCTGCGGCAACTACTGCAAAGGTAACATGGCGCCGAATTATAACCAATTATACAAAAGGATGACCTTCATTGACCTCTAAACAGCCCGACAAATCACCCTCATCCAGCACCACACCGGCACCCCCACCATCGACGGAGGTCATTAAAGCGGACGGTGGCGCAGATCCTCAAGCTTATTACGACCTTTACGGTGACTTTGATGTAAAATGGGACGGAAAAAGCGGTCGAAGTCTGTTTGGAGGGTCCTCCCTCTTTGGCGGGACGACTGCCACGACGACAACAAAAAAGGCGGCATCAACCGGGTCGTCATTCTTCACCTCGGCGGGATCATTCTTCTCGGGGTCGAAGAAAGCGAAGAAAGTTACAAAGACGTCAACCACCACGACATCCTCGTCAGGGTGGGGAATTCCAGGGCTGGGAAGTTTGTTCGGCTTGTCGACCCCTGCCGGACCCCCGGCAAAACCCGCCAGTAGTGCAGACGCCGTGTTTGGAACGTATTACAAAGGCTTGACTGGGACTCCAGCCATTTTTTTGCCTGATGGAGGGGTAATTTTTTTACTCTTGCAATATGTTACCAATGTTGTTCAAACTTTTCGAAATTGTGAATATATATTTTACAAAATTTTCAGTTTTTTAATAAAAATGTAAAGATAAATATATATGTATATATTCTAATTTATTAGGACTCGCTTGCCACCCTGTTCGTCCCAGACAAGGAAACTTACACCATTCATGGGACCTACGTCCCTGGGCAGATTGGTTATCCGGACTCCTTCACGCCTGATAACCCAGCTCAAACCGCGAATGTGTTCTCCGTTGTTGGGACCATCATTCCCGACGGGATGACAATGGCCTCTATCACTGGAGGAATTCACGGCTCACTCACGGCAGACAGTAAATAAGTAGAGAGAAATTTATTCTTAAATAGAATTAAATTTCCTAATTTCTTTCCAATTTCGTGCAGGTTTCAAACCTGAAAGCCAAGGAACTGGAATGTGGTTCAATCCGGACGGGCCTGAAGCCAAGGGAGTCTGGACCCCGTACAAAAAACCTTCAAATGCTACGTCGAAACCAAAAGTTACCGCATCCGGAGAAGCGATCATGTAAATTTCTCCAAAATTCATACATATTCTCCGTCAATATCGGTTTATGGTGTCCGGTAATTTGCACACCATGATTTATCTGCCAGGCGCTTATCTTCGCACGGTACAGATAAGCGAATGCAGACTATACCGCCACACACCACGATTTAATTTCCATTTCTTTCTTGTCAACATGATATGCAAAAATTAAAATATTAAATCGTGATGGTACGGACGGTACGGTCCTCACTCGCTTATCCACTCCCTAGTAGCTTAATACGAGTGGTCGTGGATAAGTCAAATTAACCTGGATGAAGAATATATCTCAATATTCATTAAATCCTACCGCATTAAAAAAATACTGTTAAAAGCATCGTAACAAATCTTGTCGTGCCTAAATTTAGATACGGAGTCGAATTCCCCGGAGTTGCTGGCTCTTCCGACATTTTTATCCCGGACGGTCAAGGAATTCCAGGCTTTTTCGTTCCCAACGACCCTGCCCACCCTGAAATAAAAGTTATGCCGCATGGATCCTTCGTCGCCACAAAACCTGCCGGACACGGCTCATTCTTCCCCGATAATATGAAAGAGGTCGCCACCGTGAACCAAGTCCGCGGGGCGTTCATGCCGGACGGGATGAATTTAACCGGTGCAATTGCCGGGCTTATTACCAAAGAAGGAAATTCATTCGTATTCGTCGTGGACATTCCTGGAATTGATTATTCGTATGTGAAAAGCAACGCGTCCGCCGCCATGTGGACACCATTTTTGAAACCGGGCGAGTGGGAACCACTCCCCCCGCCGGCGCCTGCCGCAGCACCCGCCGCTCCGGCAGAAAGTCCCGCTAAAAAGAAAACCAATGCAGGATTTATGTTCGGTATAAAATCTCCGTCAATCGGATCGCTCGAGATTTTCGTCCCAGACGACTTTCCCGTCGAAGGACAGATGATTCCAGAAGACGCGGAGAAGTACAAACCCATGTCGGGCTGGTTGCATGGCGTGGGAAAAACACCGGAAAAGGTGGCGGAACAAATTCTAAATTTAAAAATTGTTACTGACTTTTTTAACAACCGAATTTCTTGTGGTGTTATAAAAGCTCACCTTCAAGTTGAAGGATGCCTCACAAATCGCCACAATTACGGGTAGCATGCTCGCCATGTACGTCCCAGATGGGATCGCGTCACCAAACGGAATAATGGGAATGCTCAGCGTGGAAGGGGGGAATAAGGAAAATGCGACTTATGTTCCAGAACCTGCGGGGAAAGGGTACTGGTACATTAAAGGGAAGCCAGAAAATCTTAATGTTTGGACCCCCTTTACCCCACCCGTTCTACCCCCGCAGCCCACCCTGGTGGATAAAATGGCGACGCAACCATTCCAAGAGGTAAATGGGAGGATAAGTGAGACGCGAATAATTTAATTAGTGGTAATCTTGTATGTAAATTATGCATATGTAAATGATAGGGCTTCTACGTCCCCGCCCTGGCCGGGGCTGATCCCGTCTTCGTCCCAGAAGAGGGCGCGGTCGGTTGTTTCGTCCCCGACGATACCGCCGTTCCAAAATCTTGTGGAACCTATTACCCTGAAAAACCTGGAATTCCAGCCGAATTCGTGGAAGATACTCCCACTCTGAAAGACGCCTCTCCAGGACATTTCGTTCCCAAATTGGTCTCTGGAAGCGATGCGGGATCAAAATTCCATGCTTCCTTCGTAGTCCCGGGGCTACCAGGAGAACCGCCAACCTTCAAACTTGACACTGTACCCTACAAGGGTTGGGGTCAGCCGGAAGTTCAAGTTCAAAAAGAGCCGAAACGTACCTCCGCCGCCGCCTTAGCCAATTCCACCGCGGCGAATAAAACCTGGGAGGCGAAACATCCTTCGAATATCGCGATTTCCGTGGGTGGCGGGTTTTCCGGCTTCCCGACAAACAATCACGGCATGGAGGCCTTGGTAGAGCCGAATCATCCCATTTTTAAGGAATTCCTCCAGTACAAAGCGAGACAGGATAAATCCATCGACACGAATGAGCGCGTCCTCACGGTTAATTCGAGAGATCAAATTCCTTCCCCGCCAAGAAATGGGACAACGTATGTCGTCCTAGACGAGTATCGCGACTATGTGAATGAACGCTACATGCTGAAAACGACACATATTAAGACGCTCGATTTTGAAGAAAAGTTGGAAATTGCTATTCCAAAAGCTGCCGAAAAGTATGTCAAGAAGAAGAAGAAGGTCAATATTAAGCTGGATGTAATGTCAAACGCGAATGCGGGGGCTAATGCAGGTTAAACCGTTAATTTGATCCTCCAGTTATGATTATATTTCTAATTATGCTATATATTTCTCCAGGTGCGGGAGGTGGCGGGACGGCAGGTGGACAAGGGTCTGGTGGTGTTAAGGGTACAAAGGGAGGGAAAGATTGTAAAGCTGGTTGGTCTTCGACCGCGTCTGCAGTTGCGAAGGCGGAAAATGGATCATCTTCTCAAGCCCAAGCGAACGCCATTAATGGAGGCGACGCCCATGCAATGTCACTCTCGAAAGGTTAAATTAATGTATTTTGGAAAGGTGTTTTTTTCAGAAAAAATAACATTTTTTCTGCTCCCGCGCCTCCAAATCGATTTACTTTTTGGAAAAATTCCCCCCCAAAAAAAACACTCTTCCGCTAAATTATCGGGGCTTATCTCTAAATCTGAACTTCTGTAATTTGTATTCTTTTAACTTACAGACGGAGGCAACGCTACTTCCGGAGCGAATGTGAAAGGTGGGAAATTACATAATTGGAAAATCCTATAATTTCGCCCCGGAAAATTAATTTAATTTTCAATCTAGACGGCGGAAAGGCCAACGCCCTCTCATCGGCCGCCAATGGGGCACAAACCGATGCTGAAGCCAACGCTCTAGGTTAAATTTCAGAGATATTTAACCTCATCATATTTTAAATTTCTAGAAATTATATTTTACGACCAGATGGCGGAAATGCAAACGCTCTGGCTCGAAAAAGCAAGGAAAATTCGACCGGAACAGCCATTTCAAATGCTAAAGGAGGAGGAGTTAAAAACGATACTGAATGTGACGGAGGCGGGATGCCGGACGAGATTGAAGTTGATTCGCACGCTGCTGCAACCGCGCTGAGCGGTGGGGCTGGCGGCGCAGGAGGCAACACGGTCAATTCTGTGGCGAATACAAACGTGAAAATCGACATGGCCGGACTAGCAGCCAAAGTTATGGAAATGCAGGCGAAATTAGGCGACGACGACGACGATCAAGAGCAAGACGTTCATATCCAGATCAATGCCAATGCTGGAGCAGAAAGTGCAGGAGGTTCGGGAAGAGGGTTTGGTGGATTTGATGGTACGATTTATTTTATTAATTTGATAAAGTACCAATTTTTCACCCTTATTTTACTTGATTTAGATCCCGAAACGCAAACGGAAAAAATGAAACGCGTCTCTAAACTCGGTAAAGCCCTGTTTCAAGCCGGCATTCGGATGCAGGTCGGATGGAAAACGGAACTCCGCAAGATTGCAGGAAACGTCATACTCGAATTCGAACGGGAAATTTTTTACGGTTTGGGAAATTGTCCATTTTCTCACATCGATTTCCCCGGGGAGAAAAATCCCGAGGCTATAATTGACTTTTACATCAAAGTTCTACGTCTCGATTGTAACGACAAGGTCAAACCAAGAATTATGAGGCTATTTAACGAAGGATTTCTCAAATTTGACGATGACATGACCCATCTCGTCATCCCGGCAGGAAATGAAATCATGTAGGAATTTTAACTCAAGGAAATTTTCTAAGGCCCCTAATTTTATAATATTTTATTTTTTTTAGAAAACGTGTCAAAATAACCGACTCTGAACTTCGCCTTCTCTCCGCCGCTTTTGAATTCTCCACTTTTACCTCCACCTATCACGACCATGTTCTCGGCACGGCGGAAAAATCTGTCGCGATTTACGAAGCCCCCGACGTCGGGATGCCCGCGGCCTCCCGCAGTGTCCGCTTCTTTATCGAGATGGCGCTCAACTTTGTCACGTCCGCGCGAACATCTGCCCCCCACCATTACGTCCGCCTGACGAGAAACTTACTCACCACGTTGCGAACCGTCATGTTCAAAACGTACCAGGACGGCGTGCTCGTCGCGGGTGTGGCGGGATGCGAAAAGGACGCCGAGATGAATCACCACGACCAAGTCCAGCTCATGGGCATCCTTCAATTCCTCGTCCATGGCACCGCAAACTTTGAACAGGGGAAAGATTCAGAACTGCGGAAAACCTTTAAACAATTCCTCACCCTCAACCGAGCCACGTTGGAGAGCAGGGTGAAAGATTATGATAAGCAGGCACCAAAACAGACGTGATAAGTCTAAAAATAGTTAGGGAAGCAAAAAAAAATAATAATTCAGTATTTATTATTGAGAGTTTACAAATAAAAAAATTCTAACTTTTTTGAAATATAAACGAACGCTGACTTATTTTTGCCCATAAGGAAAAATGGAAATCCATTATTTTCAAGAACAATAGGCACTTAAAAAATAATTGTCATCTTTGCTGAAGGAATGGCGGCCTTGTCCCGAAACAACGTGTCGTTCATTCATTCACTACCTCACAATGTTCCAGCGGATATTGTATTGTCCACAATTTTGTGACGTAATAAAAAAAATTTGCATAATGCAAATGTCCTGATGGTAAAGAGAGTGCCTAAAAAGTGCGGGGCACGCTAGTCATCGTGAGATAACAATGTGGTCAACGGTGGTACCGCTACTTCTTAGTTTATTAGTTAGTGACCCTATGGCACAATTAGGGGCGGGAAATTTGAATTATTACGTCCGCCGGAAGCGAGATAATCCTGGTGACATAAATGAATTCGTTAAAGAAGAGGTGGGCAAATTGAGTGATGATTCCTTCGATGGAGATGTCCTCCTATTACAGCGGTTAGTTTTCATTTTTTGGGCAAAATTATGAATTTTATTCCAATATTTGATTATAAATTATTAGAATCGACACCGTCGCGCACGTGTCGAATTACTTTCTCGCAACTGACAACAGTTCACTCATATTCGAACGACACGTAAATGATCGTGACCCTATGGCACAATTAGGGGCGGGAAATTTGAATTATTACGTCCGCCGGAAGCGAGATAATCCTGGTGACATAAATGAATTCGTTAAAGAAGAGGTGGGCAAATTGAGTGATGATTCCTTCGATGGAGATGTCCTCCTATTACAGCGGTTAGTTTTCATTTTTTGGGCAAAATTATGAATTTTATTCCAATATTTGATTATAAATTATTAGAATCGACACCGTCGCGCACGTGTCGAATTACTTTCTCGCAACTGACAACAGTTCACTCATATTCGAACGACACGTAAATGATCGTGACCCTATGGCACAATTAGGGGCGGGAAATTTGAATTATTACGTCCGCCGGAAGCGAGATAATCCTGGTGACATAAATGAATTCGTTAAAGAAGAGGTGGGCAAATTGAGTGATGATTCCTTCGATGGAGATGTCCTCCTATTACAGCGGTTAGTTTTCATTTTTTGGGCAAAATTATGAATTTTATTCCAATATTTGATTATAAATTATTAGAATCGACACCGTCGCGCACGTGTCGAATTACTTTCTCGCAACTGACAACAGTTCACTCATATTCGAACGACACGTAAATGATCGTGGGACCGATGTCATCGTACTTTCCGCCGAAGAAGATAAACTTATCGTTAGTGGGGCTATGAAAAGGAGATACGTCGTATTACGCGAGTATCAGGGTGGACCGTTGTATCACGTGGTGTACGCTTATTTAAGGTACGCTACGAACATTTCCCACGGAAATCCCAGTTCAAACTCGTCCGAAATTCCCCCGGTTCTCTAATTATTTGCATATTTACCTCTCAGAGACTTTAACCCTGTATACGATCGTGGTGCCCCGACAACCGAGGACGCCAATTCTGGAGGTCGATACGTCATCGAGTGGGACGCTTGGGATTACCGAGGCCCCGGCCAAGAGCGCTTTGTTACGTACGGATTCACAAATTGCGGACCTTCCGCGATCGTTCCGTGCGGTTATAATCCCATCTTTTCGCCCGACTCTGACCTGAAGCCGTCCGGGGTTAAGGAACGCTGGGTCCCTACGTCAGAAACAGCGAGAAAAAATCCGGCGGGGAAAAATAACCTGGTTAGAATTCGAGGTGAAGATGGATACGATATTGGCGATACTTACGATTTTTATTCCGATCTTGAGGTGATATTGAATTAATTAAGTAATTAATTATCATTTCTAAATTAGTTAATTAATAAACTCCAAATTTGTCAGCCTCAATCCAGCCGAGATCAAGGTACAAAGCACCCTCTGCCGCCTAAACAGAAACATCAAGTTCTACTAGACCAAGACACTAAATACACAAATGTTGACCAAAATTTCAAAAATCGTCCAAAAATTGTGGACAATTCGGAACCCAGTCAAGATTCTGAGGGGAGTAAAAATCCCCCCGATACAGAATCTCGCCCAGCACCCGTCCCCCTTTGGGCTGGTGGTCCGTCCGGATACTTCTATGAGAGCGCGTCAACAGCGGCAGTTTCGTCAAGGTGGAAATTTAATAAATTTATTTAAACGATTTATCAAGCAATTTGTAGTGTTTCTTCTTGCGTGTGTGCACATTTCTTGCACTGCAAAGCAAAAAATACGAGGTACAAGAAACTTCAAGAAATATGCGCCATCTAGCGACGCGCCCTATGATTTATAGCGGCGGGGCGTAGTTTCTAGCGCCTTGCATTTCTTGCAGACCAAAATAGCTGCAAGAAACCACTTTCTTGAGGTTATTTGTTGCAAAACTTGAACCCGATTTAATGATAATTTGTGCCTCCCGTCGTTCCCAGTTTGTCCAGCACCTCCACCCTGAGCGGATCCCCTTCTGGCCCCTGGATTTCTTCCCGTCAATCCAAAGGTGACTCTGTGGGGCACGCGTCTGGTCAAAAACTTGAAGTCTGGACTTCTCCCGACGGTTCGGGAGCGGTGAGAAGGTCTGGCGTAGAAGCGTCGGAGATCGGACGTGAAACCGGTGCGGGATTGACGTGGCAAGATAAATCTTCCGGATTGAGGGCTGTATCGTTCCAAAACGTGGAAAAGAACAGGGTTGAGAATCGGACAGAGGGCGGTGGTCGCTGGGGCCCTCGGGTCAAGCGAAGCGTCACTATTCGCGAGCAAGAAGACGATGAACATGAAGAAGAAGGGTCAAAAATCAGGTGGGAGAAATGGTAGAAAAAAGAGAATATTCAAATTTTTGAAGTTTTTAGGATTTTTCGAAATTTTGTCTCAATTTATCAACAGATATGGGTCTCGTTCTTCTAAAATGCTTGAAACGTCGAGGAAGGACAAGGATCAAATTTTAAGCGACGCCATGGGGTTAATGTCCTTCACCTCGGGTGGCGATGATTTAGACGACGACGACGAGGCTGACATTGCTATGCGGGAATCCGCTCGACGAGAAAAGACGAAATATCGAGAAAGCAGCAGTAAAAGTAGGATCCGGGAGGATGACGAATATCTTCGGGATCGAGAATATCGTAGAGATCGGGACAGGAAAAGAACTGAATGGGACAGAGACCGAGATGACGCTAAAAGGGGCAGCAAATCTGATAAATTATACCAAGATCGGGACAAGAGTTATCGTTCGAATAAAGACCGTGACTCCATCTACCGTGGACGAGATCGGGATGACGACAGACTAATCAAGGAGCGGGATCAGGCCAGACTGACAGGGACGGGACAGGACAAAGATTCTTTATATGTCTACAGTCGGGACAAAGAAACTCAGATTTATGACCGGGAAACTGATAAAGTATCACTGGAAAGGGCGGGACGATACAAAATGTCTCAAGACCGAGACAAAGACACAGTCTTGACCGGAAGAGAAACGGAAGTGGTTTTGTTAAAAAATTCCCAGAAAGATGATGCTTTATTGTACAGAGGGAAGGAGACTGAGGCTTCGTACAAAAATCAAGACAGGGAGAAGGTCTTCGTGGATAGAGCGGGCGGTGATAAATTATCCCAAGAACGTGGGAAGGATAGCGCCTACGTCGGGAAAGAACGGGAGGCCGCCTTATATTATGGCGGGAAGGAACCCTCCCTATCCACGGACAAAGATTCACTTTACATCGATCGGAACAGGGGCAGGACATTATTAAAAACACCGACAGGAGAAAAATTGACTCGAGATGGTTCAAAAGATACCATAATTTCAGGGCGAGAACGAGATTCTCTCTCCACCGGCGATTTAGTTTCCTCTACAAAAGAAAAAGACGTTCTATACAGAAACCAGGACAGGGAAAATATCGCTTTAGAAAATCCCGGAGGCGACAGATTGACCCAAGAACGTGAAAAGGATACTGCGTATGTCGGGAAAGAACGGGGCGCCTCGTTATATTATGGAGGGAAGGAACCCTCGCTGTACACCGTTTCAGACAAGGATTCACTCTACATCGATCGCAACAGGGACAGAATAGCTTTAGAAACACCGCAAGGACAAAAATTGACTCGAGAAGGGTCAAAAGATAACATAATTTCTGAAAGAGAACGGGGTTCTCTCTCCATCGGCGATTCTATTTCCTCCGCAAAAGAAAAAGATATCCTTTACAGAAACCAGGAAAGGGAAAATGTCGCTTTAGAAAATCCCGGAGGGATCAAATTGTCCCAAGAGCGTGACAAGGATACTGCCTACGTTGGGAAAGAACGGGACTCTGCCCTATATTATAGAGGCAAGGAACCCACCCTGCACCCCGATTCGGACAAAGATTCAGTCTATATCGATCAGAACAGGGGCCAGATTCCTTTAGGAGAAAAATTGACTCGAGACGGTTCGAAGGATACCATTATTCCAGGGCGAGATAGAGATTCTCTCTCCATCGGCGATCCCATTTCCTCAACAAAAGAAAAAGACGTCCTTTACAGGAACCGGGACAGGGAAAATGTCGCTTTAGAAAATCCCGGAGGCGTCAAATTAACCCAAGAACGGGACAAAACCACTTTGTTACAGGATCGGGAAAAGGATTCTCTAAATATTGACAGAGATTCAACCCTCACCCGGGCCAAGGAGAAGGACACTCTCATAATTGATCAGAACCGAGAAAAAATATCGTTATACGAAAATAATCCCTCCCGGGACAATAAAATACTCTCGCAAGACAAATCTAGCGATACCTTGTACATCGGAAGAGACCGAGAATCACTGTCATCCAGTCCTAATCAGGTCGATCAGGCGAAAGAACGAGAGCGTTTATATCTTCAAAATCAACGCGAATCTTTAATTTATCGAGATCGTGGAATACCGGAAGAAATCGTGGCTCCTAAAAAGTCACCACCGCCTTTCATCGAATCAACTCACACCGATACATCTCTCTCGCTTGTCCAACATACCGACACGGTACGAAGTGGACCTTCCCCTTATCAATCACCACCACAGGGTAACCCCAGAATTAAACAAGTACCTTATCCTCCTGATCAAGATAAGCCGCCTAAAATTGAACCGCCTGGTGACGAGGAAGACTCACAAAGGTACAATATTCGGACCAAGAATCGTGGCGGGGGCGAATTTTCTGACGATAATGATGGCAGGTCAAAAGTTAAAGAGCCACTGACCCCGCAAGTCGATCTTGATGAACGCACAGTGGCTGCTAATCATGCTTACAAAAATCGTAAAATTGCCGACGAAGACGTGACGAAACCACTTCCCATTGACGACCGGGGACATGATGCTACTTGGTCGTCCAAGAATAATAATCCCCCCAATGCAGGTAACGATTGGGGTGAAGAAATTAGTCCTCCAGTGAAGAAACCACCAGCACTTCCTCAAAATAATTTGAATAATAATGACTGGTCAAATGTAGAACCTCAGAAAAAGACGCGTCCAGAAAACAATAATAATTGGTCTCATGACGAGTGGGGGAACAATAATCAACCCAAAAATAAAATAATTCCGACAAGTCGACCCGAAACCTGGGGAGATAATGGAAACAACCGTCCCCCTCAAAAAAGCCCAGATTGGGAGGACACGGCACAAAAAAATAGTAGGAATTCTAACGACGAAACCAATAATAATGGCAGACAGCCCGAAACGATAGTAAATTCCCACAATTGGAACAAATACTGGCCTAGTGATCGCCCCTCGAAAAATAACAATGGGAAGACTAATAAAAACAAAGAAATAATAGATTACTATAGCTCTCCATCACCCCCACATTCCTCATTTTTTCAGGAAAATGGTGTCCAAAATAATAAAAAACGACCTGAAGCCATGGGACGTGGAATCGTCAAGTCACCAAAACGCCCTGATGATAACCCTGACGATAATCCTACCCCAGTGATCTTTCGTCCCGCCCACTTAACCGGTAAAGGCGACATTACTGCCAACGCGGCCTCCACGGACGGGCAAGCTCGTGCCAATGCCGTCGATAAAATCGGCCTTGGCGCTAAATCCACTGCCATAAATGGATCCTCTGCTACCGCTAATTCATTGTCAACCACCAGCGGAGACGCCCTCTCTCGGTCTGAAACGTACGGGGCGGGAGGTTCGAAATCAAATGCACTCGCTCAAGGCACCGGCGTTGCTATTGGGAGGGCAATATCGCGTGGTAGGGGCGATTCAGAGGCGAATTCAATCTCGCGGGCTAATGGTGCTGAAGCTAATTCATTTTCTGGGCAGGGGGGAAATTCGAAAGGTAGATACAAATACATACAAATACTTATTTTTTAGATGCAGATATTCATAAATATTTATTTTTTAATAGCAAACTCAATTTCGAACAACCAAGGCGATTCGATAGCAAGTTCTGTAGCATTGCGTGGGGGCAATTCACGCTCTTCAGCGCTGTCTCATGGAGCAGGAACTGCATCATCTGCGTCCTTAACTGAAGGGGGAGGAGCGTCATACTCGTCGGCAAATGCGCGAGGAGGTGGTTCCGCGCTTTCAAGTTCGGCATCGAAGGCACAGTGTTTCATTTTGACTTTCAACCGTCATAAATGGTCTCGTATTTAAGAGCTAACATCCCAACTTCCGTGGTTAAAAGTGTGAAAAAATTTACCAACGTATTTAACGACAAAGTTTCAGACTTCTAAGGTCACACCACGCGAAAAAAGATCGTGAAACTTAAAAAATATAAGTTTGTGGACATATTCAGGGCGAATTTATGTGTTCACGGCGTTCATTTGAGATTTTTTTTTCAATTAACAATATTTTAGACGTAGTGGTCAATTTTAACATATTTTTGACCTCGGAAATAGGTTACTACATGTCAGTTCTATAATATGAGACCTTAAAATAATGTATACCTGTCGGAAGCCAAAATGAAACAGTATTTATGAAAGGATGGGGGAGCGTCCCATTCCTCCGCGTCCTCTGTGGCTGGGGGGAGCTCATTTTCAACTTCGGTGTCCAAAGGGGGCGGAAGGACGGTAGCGGATGCCATGGCAGAACAAGGCGAATCCGTCGCGACAGCTGTTTCAGATAGTGGCGAAGGTACGCATAAACTTGAATTGATAAGTTTTCTAAAAACTTTGTCCACTTTTGAACAAATTGCGATTTATTTAGCTTGTTCAAATTCTGGTTCAATACGAATTAAATGAATGTCATGATAAAACGCCGGTTATAAATAATATTAAAGTTACAATATTAAAGTTTGACGGTAGATACCTTGCTACGCTAGCTGAAAGTTTTCAATTGTACTTTAACATTGATGAAATCGCCATCAAATTTCCTGTATTTTTAAGTTTCCGACATCCATTATTATTTTTCGAAATGCAACATTCAAAAATACTTATCATTTATTTAATATCTTGCTCTACTTTTCCAGACGACACCCCATTTGACCCTGACACCTTTGCTGATCACGTCAAAACCATGCCGGACGCTACGTTTACCGTTGTCAACCCCACTTTGGGTCGATCCATCGTTCCACAAGACTCCGAATCTTCATCGTCATCCCCCCAAAATATGGAAAACCAAGTCTACCTGCCTGGATGGAAAACGCAATACTTGTCACAACCTATTCAACCCAACGCAACTTTGAAGCATGATTCCGACCTGTTTTTCGGCCTGGGAAGTTGCCCCTACAAATCCGCGGATGAGAGTGACCTCGAGGACAACAATGGGGAGCGTTTTTTACGCTACTACATGACCCTGCTGAGATCTTGGTGTCTCCCAAAAGAGGTCAAAATGATGAAGAGGTTGATTAAAGATGGTGCCCTAGTCGTGTCGGGAACGATTCTAAAGGTCAATGAGGCCTATTTGTGAGTAGAATAAAATAATATTTCAGGTCATGATAACCATATAAAGGTGAAATTTTTAAATTTCTCATTGTCAGACGAAGAGGCAAACTTTCTCCCACACAATTGGAAGATGTCAGCATTGCGTTTGAAATGCATCTATTTTCTCAAATGGTGAATGACGCGAGGTCATCATCCGTGGTATCGAGAGCACCCGCAGGAAAACGGGTGTCACGAAGTGTCAGATTTTTGGAAGACTTGATCATCAAGGTTTAACATTTAAAATTAACTAAAATTAATTAAATAAATATGCATTTGTTTTGATTCCAGGGGGTTCAAGAAGCACGTTCCCTCACTCGGCGACATTTTATCCATCTCACGCGTCAACTCATTCTCGTGGCAAAAGTCACTTATACAAAGCTTTTGCAAGATTTTGACGTAATTGAGCCGTGTGATCGTTGCGTTTTTGACAAACGACTTAATCTTAATGACAGGATGGAGGTGATGGCACTTATCCAGTGGTTACTTAAGGGGATGGGGCCCTTAAATAAGGCTGGGGCAGACAGTGTTAGTGCGGAGGACTCGTTTACTAATTTTTTTAATATTAATAACGCCGCGATTGAAGCGAGGGTACAGAATTATGCGGATTGATGAGAAATTTTGTTAGCAGATTTTTATATTACATATGAATTTACATGAAATTTTTGTTACGAAAACAAACGAAATTATGAATATTTAGGAAAGGCTGTACTTCAATTTTGTATAAATTACAATTTAATTAATTAATTTGTATTCATATTTAGAATTATGCGGGTTAATAAAAATTAGTAAATTTTAATATACATGCAAATTACGTGAATCTACAGGATATTTTTTACGAAAAAACGAAACTATGAATATTTAGGATAACACATACTTAAATTTTCTATAAATTACTATTAATTAATTAGCATCCTTAATTAAAGAAATGCAATTGCATGCATTTACATGAAAAAAATGCATCAACACTTAACTTAATTGCTCATTTGATGTATGCATACATAATTTCAGAAAAATCGTTCACTTTTCTGTCAGATTTAACTAACTAGTTTAGTAATTAATTAACTTGTTTCCTTAATTGGCAAAACTTTATTATTTAAGGCCTTCTTATACCATACGCATTTTTGGAGTGTTAAAAAAAGCTTGTATTTTGTACAGGGTGAGAGTCGAAATGAATATTTGTCTCATTTCAGCACGGCTCGCATACTTTTGTAGTGTTGTTCAGCTGTTGCTGTCTGACTACACTCGGCCAAATTCAGTTAGTTGGCTGGCGAAGATGGTGAAGAGATGGTCGTCGTTTCGTTTACTTAATTCAACACACTTCAAAAATTATCTGCTAATTTACATAATAACGACAACAGTTAACTTGCATACATTAAGTTAAAGGCGGAACCAAGAAGAGAATAAGACGAGAGATTCGTTATGGAAAGATGTGATTTAATTCTAAAGTTAAAGTTAACCACCATCAAAGTTAGCTAACGCAGGACACATTTTCTAATTTTGTTCCGTGAATTGACTACTAATTTCGGTTTATTTTTGTTTCCTGGAAACTTGCACGTTTGTTTACTAACTTTTTTGGGTGGGCGTATTTACAAGAACCCTAAAAGTTATTGCAATTTCTTTAACGTTTACGTGAATTTGCCCAGGTTTGTGTCTATTTTTTGTCGGGTGATAGATAAGAAGAAAAATACTTTTCGTAATTTTCAAGTCGGATTACGACGAGTTTTTATCGTCTTTGAAAAAATGCAGTCGTGTTCGTGACATCGTAAAAAGAAAACTCTAAATTATTGAGCGTTGTCTGCCTGTCGGAGAGACAACTTTTTCATTCCGCCACACCCACCCACCAAAGTCACAATATTGTTGTAGAAAGGTACAAATTTTATGAAGATGACGAAACTCACGGAAGATATGATAATTGCGAGAACCAAGTCGTCCGAGCTTGGCGCTGTCAAGAAGCTTAATTGCTGGTAATAATTTTCAAATATGCTAATTACTAATTACTCCACCTTCATATTAAATTGAAAGATGCTTTCATCTTTTTGTTACCCCAGGGGCTCCGACTTGATAGATGTGAGTCTCGTAAAACGACTGGCAAATGTGGAAGTCTTATCGTTGAGGTGAGTTTAGTTTTAGTTTAGTTTTCAAAATTTTAGGAAAAGGCATGTTGTCGGTCGGTAGATTATTATTTCTTGAGGAATAATATGACATGATTTTTAATGATAATTCACACGCACGTAGTAGTAAAAGTACGTCCCCCCACGTCCGGTGGGTTTTACTGGTTTCATGTCAAGCTCAAATTGTTTTATTCACGATCACGAACACAAGCTGGTTAATTTGCTTTTATTATTCAAATAAGTTTGATCAGTCAGCTCGTATATGATTTCATTAATTTTCCCCCCGTGGAGATATGTACCTTTCATTTTTCATACATATAGTAATATATTTCCTGAAATTGTTTAATCGTGAAGGACGCATTAGATATTTTTCAAGCATATAGTTTCCTCCTCTATAAAATTTCTATCTGAATGAATCCACGCAGCGTCAAAAATAGCGTCAAATTTTTAAACAGGAAAAGAAAGAGTGAAATATAAATGGAGACAGATCATAAACCACACCACAAATCTGTCGTCTACTACGCTTTCTTATTTTTATTTTTATTGTCACATCCATCAAAATACCGGCAGCTGAGAGATATAAATATTTATTTGTCGCAAAAGAATCGCTGTCACCAAGTCCTGTACTATAACGACTCCATTTTCTCGACACATAACTATTAATTTTGTCGTCAGCTTATCATCTCGTTTATCAGGATTTCCTCGTAATTGTTTAAGACGTGAATGGATGGCTTGACTTGGCTAGTTAGACTGGATTTGTAATCTTTAATACCTAATTTGCATTCATATGGGCGTTTCTTTAAGAGAAGAGCGAAAAATTAATTAGCCGTTTCAATCACCAAAAAACTAGTGAAATATTGTCGCCTTGTTTGAAACGGTTAAAATGCAATTTTCATTATTTTTCTTGATTTCCATTTTGAGCTAATTAACTGCAAAAAAACGAAGCCTATATGATTTTTCTACCTGCGTTAGTTAAAATCTTGTACTGAAGTGCAATTTGGTTTTTGTGAGATTAAGATTAGTTTAGTACTAAAGTCGACTAGTACTAAAGTCGAGATGAAAATTCATTCATCCGCCAACTAATTAATTTCAAGTTAGTTAGTTAGATAGAAAAAGAAGTAGAACATGACAGCACTGCCGTATTTTTGTTGTTTGTGTCGTCGCTTCAAATTTTATTTTAGTTGTAAAAGCTTTTAAAAATTGCTAATTTGCGAGAACATGTTCAGCCGATCTGTACTTATTTTTCGTACTAATTCCTCTCACGAGCGGATTTAAAAAGCTTCTTCTGCATCCTGATTACTTATTGTCTTTTATAATTTCTAATAATTTTTTCATCACCGACCGAGCTGATTTATTTATGTTTGCACTTTCTTCCACAATTACTTATTTGCTAAGTACATGCATGCATACGTAGTTTATTTATAAATTTGGGACAGGAAATGAGAGAAAGTGTTTGATGTGAGTAGTTAAATGCTAATACTAATAGTGTAAATTAATCACAATTCTACTAACTGCAAGACGAAGGATTAATCTGTTGTGACGAGTAACAGATATACCGCCATCGTTAATCTTATCTTCACTCTTTAGTGTCACAATTATTAATTAATTTAAATTTAGATACCCAGAGGGGTAGGTCAGTTTGACTTGACGGCTGTGAGATAGAAAACAGAGTCAAAATTTAAATTCAATGCGATGCAATCGAATTAAACTATTTTGGTCATCAATGCTCTTTGGATGGGATGTGTCATTTCATTCAATGTCCTTCAATTTCGTCTGCAATTTGACAGTAGTAAAAAACATGAAAAATGCATACATTTGTATTATGTTTAGCTACACAGACAACAAATTCAACCGATTTTTGACTGGCGGAGATACGGATTTTATTCAATCCAGTGACATTGAAAACGAAATTGAAAAGAGTCCGAGAGCAGACAAAAACATGTAAAAAAGTCAAATTTTTAATTTATTTTCATACATAAATGTGGGACATAATTTATTTATGTGGTATCCCTTTCTTACAAATGTTTCCAATTATTTAAACTCATCAATCGTTACAGTCTCATTCTTTACTATTATTTAATTTTAACTGCTCCTCCTTTTCCTTGCATTACATACACACAAACATCCACCCTTTGTTGGCCGTGTCACGGACTGATTTTTGGTCCGATATGCATAAAAGGACATGGACACTAGTAGTAGTGACGAGTTTGACTCTTTTTACAGAAATGCTGTCCTGCTTTTTTACGTAATGCAGATATATTGCGCCACAAATATTGACATATGTATTACGTGTTCCAGTCTGTATTTTATCTGGAATGTGACATTCCAATCGTCATCTGTTTACCTTTGCCGATGGATAAGTTAAACTTGATAACTTCACCATGAACACAGGATGACGTCAAAAAATACCTTTATTAGCTCACCCTTTTTAGAACGGATTGCATATATTTCTTCTTCTTGGTCTTTTACTACTCCTCCACATCGAAAAGTTATTATGGAGAAATGACGCCCTCACAAAAGCGATCATTTAATGAGCGGATGGTTCTCTTCGTGGTTGTTTCTTCTTGATCTGTTCGCTCAATAGGAAATTGAAAGAAGGTTATACATACATATTAGTACAGCCTATTGTACTTTATAGGTAGGTAGAGGTCTGACAAATGTGTGTGTTCGTAATAAAAAAAAAGTAAATACATTTCTGTATGTACAAGAGGAGACTGATGTAATATTACAAATGTGACTCAAGGTGACGGTCCTTTTTTGGACAATGTGCCTACCTCCTCAAATACAAAACCACTTCGTGTATATCCTTCCAAACGCCAAATACGCATTTTCTCATGGATCCAAATAACGAAACTTCAGTTGCAGAGACAAAATCTTTATTTGACTTGTTGTAAATAGGCAGTGATAAAATTAAATTAGGACAACTAAAGAGCCACTTATGACGGAATTTATGTATGGTATGTCATTTCTACATAATTAAGATTTCTGTTTCTGCTTAATGAGGACTGAATTCGGATGAGTTTTGTAATGAAATGGATTTTTTTATGTGTTTTAAACCCCAACCTGGACGTCGTCCCGTCAGTCAAGCATGTAATCCTGGCATTGTTCTGTTTCACTGTCAGGTTTTTTCTTTTATGTATTTATTTATGCATGGCATTCTTGTATTGTATTTTTATCCACTTGTCTATCAGTCACACAATGCATGAACTGCAATGTAGGTACGTATGTAAATAGATGCAAGTAAAGTAAAGCTTTATGTGCGAAAAAGAAGACTTTTAGAATAACAATAACAATACATTTTATAACAAGATAAGAACAGTGTCATTCCCATGATTAATTTTATTTCTTTGAGGTCCCTACCAAAATAAGTATGTAGTTCATTCTTGTAATGCATTTTTTAGTAAGTACTTATGGCCAAGGCATTTATGGCATGCCAAATTTGCCCGATATTCAAATTTATGTCCGCATAAGGGCAATGTTATAGTTTCGGCGTGACACAAATTCCCTGTAAACACAATTACTTTTTAGGAAATTTAAAATGGTAAAGATTCAACATACACAGTCATTCCAAAGAATGCAAAATAACAAACATTTCTGCATACAAAACAACTACAATAACAAACCCTGCTAATAATGTGATTTGCAAAGATGTATAAAATCCACAATAATGACGGTGCAAAAAATTAGTCGTATTTTCCTATCTCTTCAAAAGACACACCACAGGCAAGAAAAAATTAGAAAAAGGAATTGCATCTTTCTTTCTAAAGTAAAGTTCTAAATTCTGAAGAAACTGCAGTTGGATCTTCTTCTTCTTCATTTCGATGTACTTCTTACGTACATTCTCCTGCATGGTTGCCCAACTGGAATGGCGAACCATTAAAAAACAACCTTCCTTCTTACACATAAAATAAATCAGAGTATGTGCCATACTAGAGCGGAAGCCAAAGCTAGCTATGTACAAATTTAACACAAGCTTCGTTTCGGTACATTCATATATTTTTGCCTTTTTGGCCCTGTACCAAAATGGATCAATTTTCTGCTTACCAAAAATTTACGAGTTTTCGATAATTGATTGCTAAGTATTTAGTAAACCTTGTTCAGCCTTCCGATCATTATTTTATGGGGAAAAGTGAAAATATATGTAGTCAAAATTATGAACTATTTATCCTCACCACAGACAGAGAGATTTCGGTTGCTGCAATTTTTTTTACCACCGCGATGCATACAGAGACACGTAAAGTGAGGTAAATACCGTTGCTTTGTTTCGAAATTGTTGTCGAAAGGCCATTAACTTTTGACTTTGAGGAGATGAATTGTCTAAAGCATTTGAAACTGTGAGAGTGTGGGAGCGATTTTTTTAATGGCTAAATTGTAGTAATTGTCTGTGAGTGGTATGAGATCTTCTTCATCCTTTTGTTCCTCCAATTGATGGCTAGGTTTTTATCGTGTCTGTCTCTCCTGCATATTCCCGTGTCATTGACATATTATTATTATGGATGCAGTATTTCACGTCTCTTTCTCTCTCGTCAGTGGGAAAAATAAGATCAATATTTGGCGTCCGCCAACAAAGTAAAGTTTGTTCTGAAATTGGTGTATGTATGAAAATGAGTCAGACGGGGCGGGTGGAGTGAGTGGAAATGAGTCACGCTTCAAGTGCTGAATAGAATAAAACCGAATTCGGACGGACGGAAGTATGAACAAAGATCGATTTTCATAATGCCAACAAACTGACAAAGTTGTGTGTACATACCGACCAACTTGAGCATGAAATTGGGCCATAAATGTAAACGACGGATGGAAATTAAATGAGCAAAAGTTTACTTTGTAATATTTATGTGGGGGAAAGTATCTATCAATTTGATTTATGAGATGCACATATTTTAGGGGATACAAAATATTGCCAAAATTATTGTCAAAATAATACCTTTGCAATTTCAGCTTAAATAAAATCACCACCCTCTCCGACTTCCAGTACTGTCGAAACTTGGTGGAACTCTATATCCGTCGCAACGCTATCCGTGACCTATCCGAGCTCTGCTATCTGCAAGAACTCACCCGTCTGAGGCGTCTCTTGCTGGCTGAAAATCCCTGCGTGGACACGGCTGGACCCTTGTGAGTTTTTCGTGCAAAAAAATCTATCCAATTATTTTTTAACAATATTTGAACAGATATCGAGCCACGGTTATCCGATGCCTGCCAAATCTCGAAGTTCTCGATAATAACGAAGTCACCCCCGATGAGGTGGAACAAGCGATGAAAGTCGGCCTCATTTTGGAACATCCTCTTGCCCGAAGGGTATGGTAACTATTCGTTGCTTGATTTAATTAATAATTAATAGAGCTTCATAATTAATTGTATATATTTTATGCACAGGAACGTGGCTCGCCGGAACCCATCTATTACCGGGAAGAGAGTCCCCCCACGGCCGTCGTACCGAATCGTAGATACTCAAGCGCCCTGGATTGTGAGCAGGTCATCGTAAAAACGAGCGCCCTGGCCAGATCGCCACCGTCCGAATATACGCCAGCCTATATTCACCAGGTAGAAGAGATAATTCGATAAATACGTCGCCCATAAATTATACTTTGAATTTTCCTACGAATTTTTTATTTAATTGTCGCCTAAAAAGTTATTCAAATTCTGAGAAATTGCACGTATAAATCAGGCCCAGTTATAATCAATTAATTGAAAATCACTTGGTTTGGAATTATTTAATATTAACAGTATTTCATAAAACTAATTGAATCTAATCAACTTATTTAACATTTAACAATCAAGCCGGAGGACAATAAAGAGCGTCGATCTCCCGAAGAATCACCACAACATTCTTCTCCTCCACAAGTGAATGGAACTTCTAATGGATTGCGACATCGCCGACACTCTCACCAATCTTCCGGAAATCTTATTGACGACGTTAATTCATCCCCTCCTACAACAACTAACAATAATACCATTAATTCTGCCGTCGACCCTCCAGTCGTGGTGAGTACTTGGTGTGACGTTAATTAATCAACATCACATAATAATTAACTCTAATCTTTACTGGAACTATTCGTACAATTTTATATTATTTTTATTCGCTTCTACAGATGAGAAAAGTTCAGCGCTCCCCCGTCCAAGAGTATTACCCCCACACTGCGAACGCAGTCCAACAACATCGCGATTCCATCGAGCGAGACAGTCGACCCGCCGAGATGATAATTACGAACGGTAGCAGCGGAGGAGGAGGAGGAAACTATCATCAACAACAGCAACGGAGACCGAGTTCAGATTATCTTCAAGATTCGGGACGTGGATCGTATCAAGAACCATATTACGATGACTCTCCACCCCCACAGATCCGAAATTCGGGATCCAATCAACGAGGCTACACCTCGGCCCAAAATAACAGTAGGGGCGGAAGTGGCAGCAATAACAAGCCCAGGACAAAGGTGGAGTTGAATTAATTCATATTTTTATTTTTTGGCATGCTGGGTCTTGCTAAGTAATCACATTACAAAATACGGGTTCTTTTTTAAATTATGGAGCGTCGTAATTATGTAAAATTATGGAATGTATTCCAATTTTTTGAACATTTCTGACGTAAAGTTCCTCCTAAAATTTTGAATTTCATTTCCTTATTATTTTTTAACTTGTCCACCGTTTAGCCACCACACGACCCGAGAACAAACATGGAGCAAAATCCAGCAAGCAGAGTGCGTCTGTGTAATTTACATAATTTTGAACCCATTTTAAAATAATGTTCTTCCTTTTTCAGACGTCAAACCTATTATCCGCTGTCCTTTGCCTTATCCCGGAACTGGACTGGGCTAGTTTGGAAGTCGTCGAACTAGCTGTGCGGAGAAGAATGGACGAATTCGTGTCGGATTAAAATTAAATTTAAATCTGTCCGCTTTCACTTAGCAGTTTAAAAAATTATTGCAAGTAAATGTGTAGAATTTGTGTAGAACTGATGAGCTGCAAATTACATAATATGCAAATGAATCAAAGACAGAACAATAAGTAGAGTATAGTGAGAAATTAAGTATACAGTTTCGTAATTAGTCGCGTTTTTTGTAATGCTCGGTTTTGAATTCAATTCTTCAAAAACTTAAAACTAACGTGTTTAAGTTTTGATTGACAATTGGTATTGTATTCAAATAGGGATCGGTTGCTTGTTTTTCTGCAATTTTTATATTGTTACGGTTAAATACCAACCACTACTACCTCAAAAATTAAAATAGCTTAAATAGTAACTTAAATAAATTTATGCAATGCGGAACCACGATATGTACCTAAAAATAACCAGTGAAACGAAAAAAGTACCACTCGATGTCTTACTAATCAATACTTACTATCTCTGAACTTACCGAAGTAATAATCGCTGCATGAACAGAAATGCTACGAGCTGCAATGCAATGCAATTTAGTATACCTATTAATATGTTAGAATTCCTTATTATGCATAACTTTGTATGTATTCAAGCTATTTAAACTGACTGATTCAAAACAAGAGTACTTTTTTGGAACGAAAGAATATATATTAGATCCGACCAGATAATCGTCAAAAAGGGGGAAAATCTATATCCTTTAGACAATCTAGATTGCGCGTGCTATTTACCTAATTAATTAATTGTTTTTTTTTGTCCCGTTTTGTATTAATAATTTAGAAAAAGTCAAGTACTTACTAATAAAACTCTTTCAGTATCACCACAGATCGCGTCTTTCTATCTGATTCACGTGACAAAATTCCACCGTATGTTCATTGTCCTGAAAAGGACTGGATCCAATAACGTGAAGGGAATCGATGCAGTTCGAGATAATTATTATTCGTGTATAGTAATAATAGTAATTCTAATTAAATATTTAAATTCACTCCACACAATGGAGTCCATCGGGGGGAAGAGTTTGCCGTTTTGGGGGCAGTTTTACTATCGACCTCCACCGGCGCTTATTAGAAAGTCGCCAACAAACTACGTGCGAGTATTTTACACGCTGGGAGAAAAATGTCATCCGTACCGGTCGCTATTTCTTATACTTCTTTATTCATAAAAAATATTCGTATGAATTACCAATTAATTTCATATAGCGTTCAATTTCCCATGCGTGAAATTCAATACGTGCGCGATCAAACCATTCCAAACTTATATTAAAAGAACAACTTATCGTGGGACTCGATGACTCATCTCCAAAATGATCAAAATTAGTACCTTTTAAATAATTTCTAGGCTCTGGAACTTATTTTAAAATTCTGGACGACCAATTTTCAGTCATGTTGATTGAGTTGATTTATGGAATGACGCTGAGTTATCTAAGCCTCGATTAGTCCAAGTTTTTCTGAAGGCTCAAAATCTACTCCTTCAAAAACTATGAAAATATACAGTGTATTTTTAACGACTTCCTAAGTATACAGATTTTTCATCCAGAATTTTTAAATAAATTTCCAGAGTCGAAAAACTATTCAAAATGTACTTTTTACGATTTTGGCGAGGAGTTCTATAACACATACTTATGTACATATATTCTACGTCTGTCCTGAACACCACCCTCCATACGGCCAAGAACAACATGACCTATACCCACCAGGATTGGTGTCACTCTGGCATTCCTTCGCCGTAGAGGGGACGCACTCTAGGATCAGGCAGCAGGCATACTTGGAGGGGACCATGTCCCCATAGGCAATCCCATCCCGGTCGATGCAGGACGCGTATGAACCAAAGTCAACACTGTTGGGGTAATTTCCGAGCTGATTTTGACACACGAAGGAGAAAGGTCTCCCCTTAATTTGGTAGAGGAACTGGTCACGAGCACAGTCTAGATAATTATGCAAATTTTAAGATCTATGCAAATCATAAAGGTGCATTTAGTCGCCTTACTGCAATCCATGTCGTTGTTTGAATTGGCAAAAAAGTCCTTGATCGTGGTTCCGTTTTTGTAGACGCAATCCTTCCTGCGAATAAATTTGCATATTTTTAGCAATGTCTGGAAATTTTTGCAAAAGATTTTTTTGCATATTGCTTACCTCGTTCCGGACGTTTTCACAGGGGCAAAACTCCCATCATAATCACAGTTAATTTCTGGTAAGGTAATCTCCGTCCCGTGCAATTTCCCGTCCTTTATGATTTTCACATTTGCGGCGAAATTACTCTCACATTTGCGCAAGTAGTGACCATTCCGCATAAAATTGGTCACATTTGGGGTCAAACAGAGCAACTTTTCCCACTCGGCTTCCGGAACCACGGCCCCATTAAGTTTTCCCGTTCTTTCGTGAACGCAGTAACAAAGTCCGGAGTCAGTATCGCACTGAAGCGGTTCAAAATTACCGTCCGGTGTGCAATGCATCGTGGCCGCGTTTCCCGCGCTGCGTAAATTGTTCGCGAGTCGACTGCAGGCTGAAAAATTATCAAATTTGAAAAAAATTAAAATTCTAACTTCCTAACTTTGTAAGCCTAAAAATTATCGATCTTTACATACAATAAAATCTTCATTTTGTAAAAAACCCACGGGGATAAAAAAGTTTCGAAATTTCCATTCGAATATATGCATCAAGGAAAAGTTGAAACCCAAAAATTCAAAATCAAAGCCCGCATACAATGGCACCTTAAAAAATTTCCCCAAATTTCGAAATAATCTTGGTCACTTACCACACGTCTGATTTTTGGAATCGACTCTAAATTCCTGACCAAAGATGCGCCTTCCGCAGCGGTCCACGCAGAAGCAGATGCCCGTCACGTGGTCACCCTTGCACTGCTTGGGAGCATATGACCCGTCCTCCTCGCAGATGGGATCCCAGTGGAATAAGCCGAGCCGTTTGAGACTCTTTTTGTACATGCATTCCTCCGTGCAAGGATTTCGGGGGGTCTCGGGGAGGCTGCAGGACCCGTTGAAAACCTCACACACAAGGCCAGGCAAGCACTGGTTGACCAAAATGGGGCAGGTTGGACCCTCGCATAATGGTTCCCAGGATTTCGTAAGGGCACTTTTCGTCCTGGTGCATCTTCTCGGCATGTCTTTGGCTGAAAGAATTAGTTTCTGGGTCAATTTTTACAAAAAATTCTTACAAAGGTTGTATATGAAACAATTACAAGAAATGGGTAAAATAATGTAGTCCTTAAATATCAGGCTAGAAATTAAAAATTATAGTGAAAGCAAATCTAATGAAAAATTTGCGTCACAAAAAATCATTTCAACGGGAAGTTGGAGCACACCTACGTATTTATTGATTTTTTTACGTGAATTGTAATAATTTTTAGTTGTGGTGTTGCTTAAACTCAAAACTTTTAAACGAGTATCAAATATTCGTTCTTCACACTTACGTGACGCTTTTGTAAGTCCGATATATTTCGCACATCCGGGACAACATCCGCACAGCGTGAGCCCCTTCACGAAGATCGTGTCCAACGGGCAGTCCGCCTCCGTCATGTTGAGTTTACACGCAAAACGGTCACAAACGTTGGGAATTGAGCTGAGCGCTTTGGGACAAAATAGCGAACTGGAGTCGTCGCCCTGACCCTTAGCAGGACTGGGTATGATAACTACAAATAAGATAAGTCCGACTAACACGGGTAAATTACTAAGACGGAATTTCACACAGAGAAGTTTTGTCAAAATTTCCGTCATCTTTGTGAAAAGTTGTGTAGTAAAAAAAAAGACTACCGATTTACACAAGATAAAATTATTGTAATCACTAATACGCTGAAATTGGTGATGGAGGCGAAATGGCAAAATTTGCAAGAAATTCACATGTGTCGAAAATTAATTTATTTGTCTTTCCTGTTATTAAATCGACACATACAAAATCCTGCCTAGCAGAAGGTTTCCTTATCGATATGTAGCTTATCCTGCCACCCAACTGCATCACATCGATTTTATCTTATCAATTCCGATATCAATTTCGTGATTCTGCTCAAATGTAGAATGTCAACGCAAATCGTAATCATGCTGACAAATGAAATGCGTCAATCCTAAAATATGTGACGAAACATAGAAAAAATGCGATTTTATTAATAATTTCAAACATTAAATATGTCGTCGGATACTACGTCGCCCAGAAATAGCACGGCCTAATCTTGTCCTTATTCCATTCGTCACTCATTGTCGGATCGTAGCACTTTTGTTTAACATTGATCGGCTCCTTGTCACAATTTCTGGGCGGATAAGTAGGCAAATTCCCGTAAAGGCAGCATTTGTACTGATCCTCGACGATATCCTCGCCGAAAAATATTCCGTCTCGGTCCACGCAGCGCCAATGTTGCGGCGCAGTTTGGTCGATGGGTGAAATCACGTCGTAATTTCCGGTTATGTCGGCACACCTTTTCATAAACGGGATCCCTTCCTGCCAGGATTTTATTTCGTCTCTGACACACTCTGAAATGCAAATAGTGATGATAACGTTACGTGGATAATGTATAATTTGGATCGTTCTTACGGCAATCTGTGTCATGTTTGTCCTCCGAATCTCGATATGCACCAATGAGCGTGCCATCTTTGTTGACGCATTTTGTCCTGAAATTTTTACGCAATGATGCAAAAATTCAAAATTTGGAAATGTCGAAATAACAATTCACAAAATTAAAATAAATTCGAAATCTATCTACATCATCAAAAATTAAAAAACGCTAGAAATTCGTAATCTATCATAATATCCACTAAACTTCTCACTCACAGTTGATCCATGTTCTGCACTGGGGCATAACTTCCATCAAAATCACAATTGAGCCTCCTTCCCGACAAGACCTTCAAGCCGTGAAGGGACGCTTCAAGCGACAACTTTTGTGCGGGCGCCCATTCGCTCTCGCACACCCGATAATAGCCCAGCTCAGGATTGAAGTTGGTCAAATTGAGAGAAAAACAGGGCAGATTTTTCCACTCGTTTTCCGGCAGGACAGCCCCCGTCATTTTCCCAGTCTTCGGTTCCACGCAGTAACAAAGACCAGATTCCGTGTCGCACTGGAGGGGTTCATAGTTTCCGTCGGGTGTGCAGTGAAACGAGGCAATGTGACCGGATTCGCGTAGCTCGTGAACTTGTCGACTACATGCTGTAATTAATTAATGAAGAGGTTAAAAAATGTCTGATTTTCCAGTATATATTAAGGCCCCACTGCATGCGGGTTTTGAATATGAATTGTTGTGTCTCAACTTTCCCGTCTTCTCTGTATTCTTTGAAACTTATTCATCGGCGTACGTTCTTAAAACAATTAAGATTTTAGTGTATCTAAAAATCGATAAATTGTAGGTTTAAATAGTTAGGAGGTTAGAATTTTGATTTATATTTTCTCATGGACAAAAAAAAATCAAAATTCTTACTTCATAACTTTGTACACCTAAAAGTTAATGATTTTAGGATGCAATAAAATCATACTTAAAAAAAACACATGCCGATGAACAAGTTTCAAAATCACTATTCAAATACATAGAAGAAGGGAAAATTAAGACACAAAAAATCAAACTCAAAACCCTCATGCAATGGAACGTTAACATCTTTTCAATATTTTTAATTACCGCACGTCTGATTTTGCGCTTGGCGTTGATATTCCGTCCCAAAAATGCGACGACCTTCTTTACTCACGCAGAAGCAGATTCCACCCGAGTACGAGCCTTTGCACTGCTTCGGACTGTAGGACTCGTCCTCCTCGCATCGTGGGGTCCAGTAAAGGTCGTTGCTGAATGCGAGGGCGCGCTTATCGTGGCACGAGGTCAGCTCGGAAAATCCCCCCGTCAAGGTGGACTTGTAACTACACTTTTTCTCATTGTGACCAACCAGCGGACAAATCAGACCGGGGGCGCACGTGTTCATTAAAACTTTACAAAATTGATCGGTACACTCCGGGTCAGGGCTGGGAGGGGGAGGGTATTGTTCGCATTCTTCACCAACACCTGATAAGAAAAAGTATGCAAAAATTAGACGTGTGCAAAATTTGCATGTTTGCAAGTTTACAAAATATTGTGCCAAATTCCTCTCACATTCTTCACTAACGCCTGGCATAAAGTATGCAAGAACAAAGTAGAAACAGTGCAAAAATTGGCAAAAATAATAATTTGAAGCATTTTCTTAAAAATTACTGGTCAGAATTTTAATGGGCCAAATCTTCGCAAAAACGAATCTCCCCTTAAAATCTGAAATTCTTGCGAAACTAATTTTGCATACCACAAATTGCATCAAAAACCTGAAAATTTCCTCACCCTTATACTTCACACAACCCGGACAACATCCACACATTGTTAATTTTTCTTCATACATTGTCCTCCCCGCCCCTGCGGCGTTGTTTTCTGTACAGTTCTCCACCTCGATTCCCACACATTGCACATTCTCACAAAAATTTTGAACGTTTTTCCGCTTTAAATCGCAGAGGACTTTTGGACACGCGAAGTCCGGACAGGTCGTGGTGTCTTCATTAATATAAGCGTTGACATTGTGAGGGGCAAATTTTATCCTCCCACTCGACAAAGATATTAAGGTGAGGAGGACGCTTGTTGTGACGACGAGAACCAAATTTGGCGAAAATGTGGGCGACATTTCTCTTAACTGGACAATTTCCGGTTTGTACTTACTATCACATAATTTTGCACAAATTGAAAATTATTATTTATGCACGTTTGCTAAATTTTCGGTAACAAACAGGTGATGCTGATCATTAATTACGCAAATCAGCAAACTAGTTCGTATCGTCAACTAAACTCGAATTATTGACGTGACGATATGTGTGAGATATGTGAGCATAGGAAACTCTCGCTGTTATCTTATCTGTAATTGTGTCTTATCGATATTGGAAATGATATTATGACGAGGATAGGATGCCTATCCACACGGTTTGCGTATGCAAATAAGAAATTAAACGCAAATTTATGTACAACTTTTTAGAAAGGACTAAAACTGAACTATGTAGAACTGTTTTCAGCCGTATTTTAACATGGCATTAGCCTATTTTTAAAATTTAGTCTTCCGAAACCTTGCAATTTTCGGGTGAACATCAGGATCGTTGCAGAAACACAACTAAACTGGGATGTTACAGAACTGAGATTATTTATACAAGGAGGATCACAGCATTTTAATGTCTTGGGCAGGCACACGACACCGATTTCCGTTTTGGGTGGTTGAATAGTGCGAAATCTTTGGAGTGTATCAGACCGTGATGGAGGAAGGTGGTTGTCATTGTTTTTCTGGGTTGATAAACTCGTAAGAAATAATTATGCCTATGAAAACACATTGCTCTAGAATAGCATATCTGAGACTTTTCAAAAGTCCTCAAAATTTTTATTAAGAAAAATCAAATTATGTATGTGAAATAAAATGTTCTCAAAATATCTCTTTGCTTATATTAATTTGATAAAAATAGTCGATAATCATTACATACAAATGTCGTCTTATTATTTAATAACGGAAATACATAATAATTATTCGTCTAATTGGCACAGGGCTGTCATTCCCCGATTTATCCAGTATTGCTAAGGCAGGTTAGAGAGGAGTCTCTGATTTTCGGGGCATTCGTAACACGGCCTCTTGTATAATTTTGCGAAATAAGAACGTGCCCAATTGTTGGGTACATTCGCGAAAAAAATCCCATGGTTTTCCAGCAAAAGTACATATGCAGAAATTTCGCAAAACTTTCCAAGTTATATATGCTCAATTTGCGAGATTTGATGGAGATATGCGAAGGTTGCGTGGTATGCTGAAAAATAAACAGTGGAATTTCAGAATTTCGCACGGTGTTAAGTACTTTTGGACCTCTATGTTGAATTAGCTAATGCACCATAACTCATTATTACCATTTTGTTACAACTTTTCTGGTCACGGCATAATTTCATGGGTAAGATGATACTCGTATAAACTAACAAGCAATGACCTTAATCTCTGTACCCAAACTGACTATATAAACAATCAGTAGCTCTCTTTTTTAACGATCCTCCGGGTATTTACGCGTGAAATATTAAACGCATATAGAAGAATGTTTATATTGTTATGTTTGTTAAATAACTGCAGTTTCAGGTACAGAAAGTCCAAACATGGAAGCCTGAGAATTGGAAACCAGTTTATCTGAATTAACCAATATTGGTTTAAAACAAAGGATTACTTGACCTGAGTTGTGATCCACAAGTCACCCGCACGTTGTGGGTTCGAAATGCATATATGATTTTTCTACAAAGTTTGCAGTATCTTCAAATGCAAATAAGGTTGCTACCTTTTCCATTTGGATTCGTTCGAGGCACGAAGTAACTTCTCTATAATTGCTTGACCACAATCAATCATGGAGCAAACTCGACTCCTTGACAAAACTCTGTTATCCTTCACGTACGATCTGCTCCGTTCTAAGACGGACCAGGAAATTGTGACAAACTTCTCATGGGTCATGGCAGGCTCGATTTTAATCACGATTTCGTGGAATTTGGTTGGAACCGTGGCGTATGGAAAGGCCGCAGTTTCGACGAGCAGTAAAGAGGGATCGAAATCTCAGAATTTTTGGGAGTATCCGATCAGTTCGAGGTTCACTTGGAGGGTGCGTGGACATCGGCATTCATGATTTTATAACAATACAATGTAAAAATGTGGTCTCTGTGAATATGAAATTGTTTAGTTTGGCTTCCTTCCAACGGTAATCGTGCCCTGGGTGGTCATTCTCTTCACGCCGACGCCATATCTTTTCAACGTTACAAATCTTGCTGGACTGATGATCTACTATCTTCATTATTTTAATCGGTAAACGTTTACTTCTATTTATGGTTAATTTTGAGTGAATTTAATTTTTTGTTTCAACTTGCATGTATTGAAATGGATATTTCGAAACTTGTTCATTCCGTGTTTTTTTTACAAAGTATGATTTTATTGTTTGTAAAAATTCATAAGTATTAGGTTTTAGGAGGTTAGAATTTTTACTAATTATTTTTGATCTTTTTTATTTCTATTTTCTCATGAAAAAAAAATCAAAATTATACCCTCCTAACTTTGTAATAAGTATAGTTTTGTAAAAAAAATGCAGGGAAATTAAAAAGTTTCAAAATCGTTATTTGAATATGTACAAGAAGAGGGAGAAAAAATCAAAATTCAAAACCCGCATACAAGAAAACGTTAACAAACTGTTCACAATTTTTAAAAAATTGACCTTTATTAGGTCGGTAATCTACCCTTCCCAAATATCTGACCATGCAACTCCTTCTCCAGTCTGGTTTTTCGTGAGTATGCTGACCCTCACCACGGGACACACATTCGTCCAGGCCCATCATCTCGCAAACGTACAAAAGCCTCTTGGCGTATCCTCCCTGACTTTTGTCGCAATTGGAATAAGCATCCTGGGGGCTTGGCTGAATGCCCGGCATGACTGGATTCTGACGAAACTTCGGGCCAGAGGAAAAGGTTACCAAATTCCGGAGGGGTCGCTCTTTGAATACGTTTCGTGTCCGAATTACTTTGGGGAGTGTTTGGAGTGGTGGGGCTTCGCATTGGTGACGGGTGGGGGACGTCCTCAGGTAAAATTGGTAATTGGTACCCATTTAGTTGAGCGAAAATATTAATAGCATTCGTGTTGCGATTTTTGTAGGTGATGTTTGCCATCTTCTCCACCGTGTTCCTGGTTCTCCGAGCGAGATTTACGCACAAGTGGTACCACGCCAAGTTTGGTGCCAAGTACCCACGTGAGAGGAAAGCTATCATTCCCTTCGTGTATTGAATAAATATATATGAGGTATTATTAGGTTCACGAATATATATATATGAATACTTTTCCAAAATGTAATGTACAACCGCAGAATAAAATTTTTTGTGTATGCAAACCATTTACATGAAAACCTTAACCATGCCGGTCATAAATTTTAAGATTATAACATGTTATCTTCTATCGTCGTAATGAGCCGCATCCAAGACACATACATACATCTAACGAAATATCTGGATAATTTCCCTTTCGACCTCATCTCTAATTTACATATGAAGTGTGTATATTCCATCCATTTTATAAAAATGTTAAAATGTTAAAATGTGACAGTTTTACATCGCCAGGACTCAGATTTCTCTGCTTTTCAGCCTCAGATGGCGACTTCTTGCCATAATTTCGTAGCAAGTTGTCTCATCCCCACAGAGAACGGACTCTGCTAGGGGCTGTACACAGTGACATTGCCATTCCGTATGGCTGGGCTCACCCTGTCACGAGACAGCACCTACCCCGTACTAACACCGAGCCGAGTAGGATTAGCAATAGCTTCCCGGCCAGAGGAATCGAACGTGTGACTGCGTGGTGACAATCCTACCCTCGTACCTCTGAGCCATAGGGCCTTGCTTATACTACTGGGGAGGAATTCATTTGTAATTTGTGCAAGGCGTAAGCGTAAATTTTGATTCAAAATCTATGCTTACGCCTTGCGCAAATTACAATTCAATTCCTCCCCTGGTGAAGATAAGCGATGCTTTATATTATAAGCAGGGGTGGGGTGGATAAAATACTTTGAGTGGGTGTGGCGGACACATGGAGTCCTTCTACACTTTTTTACCCTCATAGAGCCCCACAACATATCCAAAGGATATCGAAATCTGGCGCTAACAACCTCTGACTTCCTACTCCTAAGTGTTTGTTTTATGTTACAAATAAGTTGCATTTCCTGAATAAATATTCTACGTGTGTTTACAAATTTATCTTGCTGGTGGTTTTGAGGATGAGTTTGCGAAATAAGAACATGTTCATTTGCTGAGTAAATTTGCGACAAAGATGCCATGTTTCCAGAAAAAGTATTTCCTAAAAAAATCACAAAATACCCGATTATCCCTGTGTGGAAATATTTATAGGCTATCGACAATACATCCCACTCAATAATCTGTTTCACAAATGTGTTTATGTTAGTAAAAATTTGCATTTCGTGCATGGATAAGATGATAGATACTCACGAAAATTATAGGAACCAAAGACCTTATCATTTGCATTCTTCCTTGAACCTGCATAAATAAGCAGTTAGTCAGAAGTTAACTTTATTACTAATCCTCTGTCCATTCTTTCCCCTGTACACGGTTCTGTTGTCCATATGCAAGAACCGGATACCCCTCCGGGTATTTACGTGTGAAATATTAAACGCATGTATCAAAGCGCATACATTCTTATTTATTTAAGCAATTACTGCAGCCTCAGGTTAACATATGTAAACTTCAAACGTGTTGTCCAGAATGGCGTGAGAAGTAGAAACCAGTTTACCTGTGTAAGCTTTAGACCTTAATGAAGAATTACATAGTTGAATTGACTTGTTGGTTTTTAATTATGTATGCATATGATTTTTCTGCAAATTTGCCTGTCGATATTAACACGTAAACAATACAAAGTTAAAGGTTGTGAAAATGTTGAGCAAATTATATTAACTACTTTTGTGCCTGGTAATTTAGTACAAGATACGCATCAATTTACCTTCAATTTTGTGTATTGACTACGCTGGTAAGCTCAGGTTTTCAGTTTAGAAAACAGTTTTTGTTTCGATAACCGAAGCATAAGAATAAGTATAATTTTAATTGTTGATAAGTTCAGACACTATTTAGATTATTTGTAGCATACGTAGCAGTAAGAAATTATTTGTTCTTTTTAAACCTATATCATATCTCATACCTCATTGCGTAACAAGTTATGAACCAAAATCTAACCAACCTAATTTGTAAATGCAGATAAGGTTGTTATCATTTGTGAAATCATTCGAAGCAAGAGGTCACCTCCATCCAAGTTCTAATCATGGAGCAAACTCGACTCCTTGACAAAACTCCGTTATCCTTCACGTACGATCTACTCCGTTCTAAGACCGACCAGGAAATTGTGACAAATTTCTCACTGGTCATGGCAGGTTCGGTTTTGCTTATCGTTGTGTGGAATTTGGTGTGGGGTCCAGTGCCGTATGGGAAGGCCGCAATGGTTTCAATGAGGGGTAAGGATAACTCGAAAGGGTTATCCTGGAAATTTTGGGAGTATTCGATCAGTTCGAGGTTCGCTTGGGGGGTGCGTCGATATTAATGATTTTATAAAAATGAAAAGCAAGTAGGCTGTCTCTGTGAATATGAAATTTTTTAGATTGGCCATCTTCCAACCATAATCGTGCCCTGGGTGGTCATTCTCTGCACCCCGACGCCCTATCTTTACAACGTTACAAATCTTGCTGGACTGACGATCTTCTATGTTCATTATCTTAATCGGTAAACGAGATATACTTTTACACTGTTGGAAATCTAGTATAGTCGCGTAGGTATTGATTTCTCGGTATTAAAGTTGCTACCACATGGTATTAAAATTATACCGGACCGTAAAAATTTTCTACCGAACTGGTAAATTTTAATAAGGTATTACTTATCAATACCACTTTTTTCAGTCATATATATGAATACCGCTTGGTATTAATTTAATACTGGATTTCTAAGAGTCTAATTCGAACATTTCCCAAATTTTGTAAAATTCGTGTTTAGCACGGTAATTTATCCCTCCAAAATATCTCATCATGCAACTCCCTATCCGGCCTGGTCCATCGTTGGTCCGCTGATCATCACCACGGGAAGCACTTTCGTCCAGACGCATCATCTCGCCAACGTGCAAAAACCCCTTGACGTTTCCTTCCTGACTTTTGTCGGGATTGGGGTGACCATCCTGGGAGGCTGGCTGAATACCCGGCACGACTGGATTCTGACGGGACTTCGGGCCAGAGGAAAAGGTTACCAGATTCCGGAGGGGTCGCTCTTTGAATACGTTTCATGTCCGAATTTCTTTGGGGAGTGTTTGAAGTGGTGGGGTCTCGCATTGGTGACGGGTGGAGGAAGTCCACAGGTAAAATTGGTAGGTATTTATTTACGTGAAAATATTAAACAGCGGTCGTGTTGCAATTTTTGTAGGTAATGATTGCAATCGTCTCCACCGTGTTTCTGGGATTCCGAGCGAGATTTACGCACAAGTGGTATCATGCCAAGTTTGGGACCAAGTACCCCCGTGAGAGGAAAGTTATCATCCCCTTCGTGTATTGAATATGCAGGTGTTATTGAGTATATGTAAATACTTGTCCAAAACATATCGTAGAAAAAACTTGTAATAAATTGTAATGGGTTTTTTGTGCATTCTACACTGCATGCGATCGAGTGAGTTTGCTGAAGACCGATCGGGGCTGAAGCATGAAAATGTTGATGAGAAATTTAAATCTACTCTAATAAAGTGTTAGTATGATCCCTGGGTCCCTGGGTCCGTCTTCGCAATGCAAATTGCCCCATACAGTAGACAAAGAAGGAAGCGGAGCAACCACTGCATGCATGCACTGCACTGCATGAATAAATGAATACATGAACATGTACACCCCACATACATACATCACTCATCAATAGTGGTTATCATGATAAGTGATCGTGATAAACACTATTAATTAATTATTTTAGTTTGAGAAACTCTACCCACAGCGAGTGGCATGTCAATTCGAATGTATTTTTGACGCTGAATCCAACTCCGTCAATGGTTTTGACCTGCGAGGCCCCCGTGACCTCGCCGTGACCGTGGTGTCCAAATCTGGCTTATTCGTGATGTCGCATATCAATTCGAATGTATTTTTGACGCTGAATCCAACTCCGTCAATGGTTTTGACCTGCGAGGCCCCCGTGACCTCGCCGTGACCGTGGTGTCCAAATCTGGCTTATTCGTGATGTCGCATATCAATTCGAATGTATTTTTGACGCTGAATCCGAATCCGTCAATAGCTTGGCGTTAATTGTAGAAGTTAACGGGGTTTATGGAACTTAACGGGAGCGTGAAGCGTGGGAATTTAAATAGTTAGCTATGCAGTTACTCCCACGCGACGGGAATTTAAGTAATTAGCTATTCAACTACTCCCACAGGGGGAATCAAATTTTACTGTGACCAGGTTAATTAAAATGCAGTATGACTTGGGCAAACCCTCAGTCTGATGTATGTATGTAGTATGACAAAGTCTCCACTGGGAATTATTTAAAATATAGTATGACGGATTTTTCGCTTTGGGCACACCCCCCACTGGAACTCTAGAACCCGGCCTTGGCCGGGCTATACGCTAGTATTTTATAAAATCACTTAAGAAACTGCCAGTGGGAGAAAAAAAATTGAATAACTTTTTCGCTCGATCGCATGAAGTGTAATTAATTACATACAGAGCTCAATTTATGCTTACGAATCACCATACGAGCACCCGCACCGAACCCGCCACCTCAGGTGAAAAGTAGTCATTGAAAATCCTCATTCCAGAGTCATTAAACTGGAAGTCAAGTTCGAACCCGGTCCCCGTATTGGCTGCGTCCGAAGTGAACCACCACAACGACGGAACCCTGATAAATATACCTCGTTTCTTGATCGTTCGTCGACTTGCCCATGATATCCGCGGTGGAGTCGAGCTTATCAAAGCCGTAAACTCCCAAGTAGTCGGCCCCCAGTTCGAAACCGCTGCGAATCTTAGACAACTCTGTGATGCGTGGGGCTGCGAATAATCCACTTTCCGAGTTAGAATACGATTCGTCCGGTTTGTTCCATAATTTGCATCGATAGTCCCACCACATTCGGTGGGTAAAATAATTTTGTAGTTATTACGCAGGAGGATCTTGGAAATTTTGGGATTTTGTGGTGAATTTGATATGAATAGATTACAATTACAGGGAATATTTTATAGCGGCACGACATGGACGACCCAGGTGTTACCCGAATTTGGTGGGTACTCCTCCCCCATACCGGGCATTGGACAGGCCTAGCCTACCAGGGGATACCAACTAGATCGGAAGAAGCGTATGCGTCCGTTCGAAAAATAATTGCAATTGTGTCCCCATCTTCGTAGAAATGGGAGTTCTCAGCAAAAACTTCATAAAAAAGTATGAATTTACAAAGTTTAAGGTGCGTTTATGCTTTCTGATAATTGTAGCGATCTCTTAGAGAATTGATAACCGACGGGTTTTTAGTTCCCGTCCTCGTTACATTCGCGTCGCCATAGCGGTCGCTATGCAATTCGCCATGCGGGTTTATGCATTGTTTCCTCCTTCATTTCACGGCACCTTCACGATCACCATGAAAGTTGAACAGAGTTCAACTTTTACACGGATGAAGGAGCAAGGAAATTTTTAGAAACCATTACAATTTTATAAATATTTCCATTTGCGATTTCAAAATTTCATAAAATGACTACAAAAGTGATATCTGCGCCCAAATCTCCACTGGATCTGGAAGAAAAATTAATTCTTCTAGTTCAGCAACGTCCAGCACTGTACGACAAGAAGGATCCTGCATACAAAAATAGAAACACTCGTGCGGTGATGTGGGAGGAAATTGGAAAGCTACTAGGAAAGACAGGTCAGTTTGTTTTACTGCAGAGTCTATATTCTCACTTGTATTAACTCTAAAAAGGCAATTTTTCAGAGTTCGATTGTCAACAACTGTGGACAAAATTACGCAGCCAATTCAGCGGATTCCTGCGAAAATTACGCAATCCAAGTGGAAAAGAGGACAAGCCACGTCCCTTCTTCCGGCATGAAGGAGCAATGCGTTTCATCCGTGACATTGTTGACCCGGATGAAAGGTAATAGTAGTTTATATTTAATTGAGTAATGAGTTGGTTAAATAATTTTGGTAATGAAACTATCTCTAAACAAACAGTACCGTGTCCAATCTCGTGACTGAAGATGATTCTTTTTGTTTTTTTGTTTTTGTTTAATTGGCATAATTGTTTTTGTGAGATTATGAAATGGCTATGATTTTTTACGGGTTTTTACTTTCCCTTCGATGACCGATAGCTAAAACTAGCGTTGAGAGAAAGCGATCGTAAAAACTACAGAAAGTGTAAACCCGTTATGAAGGAAGGAACGCTAACGCTATGGCGACGTTATGTAACGAGGACGTTAAGCATAAACCATACTTTAGTTAATTATTTAGCTAATTAGTTGATCCTTGATCCCTGGCAGCGGACGCACTCGCACACATATTCCATCATAATTTCATTTAAACTGTTTGTGAGCATTTTGAAAAATTTTCAAACACGTGTTTAGTTATTTACGTAAGGTTACATATGTACATGATCGGAGCGAAACCGCTGAAGTAATCGTGTTGTAAATAAGTGGGTTTTATATTTTTTATGAACAAGTTGTATTTTATGAATCGGTCACGCAATTTCCCTTGCTGATGATAGTGAGGATGAGCTTGGGAAGTAAGATGGGTAGAATTTCGCACGGTGTTTTTACTTTTTGGATTACCTATGCATATTGATTAGCTTACATCCACTGATGCACCGTCGTGCTCGCTCGTGATAATTGCTAGTTTTCACAACTGATGCCTAGTCAGTAGTCAGTCAGCAGTGGTCACTGTATAATTTCTAATCAAGGACCTTGATCATTTTCCCTCAGCCCTGAAATTGGCCATATAAACTGCTAGTCCCGAAGTTATATAATTATCTTAACGGGTATTTGAGCGTGAAATATTAAACGCAATCTGAAAAACATGTACATTGTTATATTGTACTGCACTCCCTGACATAAATCCAAACGTGTTGCACAAAACTTTGGTAATATTAATTAGCTGATATTGGTTGAGAGCTTAATAAAGAATTATTTGACTTGGTTTGTATGTAGGTTTGAAATCTGTGTACGAGTTTTGTTAAAATATTGAGCAATTTATATTAGCTACTGTTGTGCCTAGTAAATTAGTACAAGATATGCATCGGGACCTTCAATTTTGTGTTGACTACCCTGGCAAGCTCAGGTTCTCAGTTTGAGAAAACAGTTTTTGTTTCGATAACCAAAGTATAAGAATTTGTGCCAGCTAAAGAATCACTTGAAGCAAGAGGTCACCCCCAAATTCTTGACCACAATTAATCATGGAGCAAACTCGACTCCTTGACAAAACTCCGTTGTCCTTCACGTACGATCTGCTCTGTTCTAAGACGGATCAGGAAATTGTGACAAATTTCTCATGGGTCATGGTAGGCTTGATTTTGGTCACCATTGTGTGGAATTTGTTGGGAACAGTGCCGTATGGAAAGGCCACAGTTTCAACGAGGGGTAACAAGGAGGGATCGAAAGGGTTATCATCGTCCTGGAGATTTTGGGAGTATCCGATCAGTTCGAGGTTCACTTGGCGGGTGCGTGGGTATCGATAGCTTGGCACTAATAAAAAAATTTTAACAATGAAAGCAACAATGTTATCTTTTTAAATATATTTTTTTAGTTTGGCTTCCTTCCAGCTGTAATTGTGCCCTGGGTGATAATTCTTTTCACGCCGACGCCATATCTTTACAACGTTACAAATCTTGCTGGATTGATGATCTACTATCTTCATTATTTTAATCGGTAAACGCTTGCTTTTTTGGACTTTTTTCATGAAAAAATAAATACATTCTAGCCTCTTAACTTTGTAATAATATCAAATCAATAAAATCTTAGTTTTGTAAAAGAAAACGCACAACGGGAATGAACAAAGTTTCAAAATCAACGGTGCACCTCACGAGTGGAGGAGAAGCGTATGGTTGGAGTAATTTCCAAGTCTGAAAGTTCCCTCTCGCCTTGCAGAGTACATTGAATCACCCATCTCGAAACTTCGCATCGACCCTGTGGGGGGGGGGAGGAATCGACATCAGGGTTCATAATAGTGGAATGTTTTACATTTCTTTTTCTTCGTCTGATGGCATTTTTCAAATTTTTTGGTCGGGCGCAAGGTCCTAAACATCCTTTACCATGGAGTGTGGTAACCTTAGGAAGACTGGTAAAGGATGTTTAGGACCTTGCGCCGGACCAAAAAATTTGAAAAAAATACCATCAGACGAAGAAAAAGATGCAAAACATTCCACTATTATGAACCCTGATGTCGATTCCTCCTACCCACAGGGTCGATGCGAAGGTTCGAGATGGGCGATTCAATGTATTCTGCAAAGCGAGAGGGAACGTTCAGACTGGGACACACTTCTCCACTCGCGAGGAGCAGCCTTAAATGATTTCATATTCAAAACCCGAATACAAGAGAACGTTAACAAACTATTCACAATTTTTGTAAAATTTACCTTCAGCTCGGTAATTTACCCCTCAAGAATATCTGACCATGCAACTCCCTGTCCGGCCTGGTTCATCCTTGGTCCGCTGATCGTCACCACGGTACACACTTTCTACCAGGTCCATCATCTCGCCAACGTACACAAGCCTATGGCCGTGTCCTCCCTGACTTTTGTGGCGATCGGCATGAGCATCCTGGGGGCCTGGCTGAATACCCGGCATGACTGGATTCTGACGCAACTTCGAGCCCGAGGAAAAGGTTATCAAATTCCGGAGGGGTCGCTCTTTGAATACGTTTCATGTCCGAATTACTTTGGGGAGTGTTTGGAGTGGTGGGGCTTCGCATTGGTGACGGGTGGGGGACGTCCTCAGGTATAATTGGTACATATTAAATTGACTGAAAATTTGTACTAGTCGTGAATCGTGATGCAATTGATAGGTTCTGTTTGCCATCTTTTCCACCGTGTTCCTGGGATTCCGAGCGAGATTTACACGTAAATGGTACCACGCCAAGTTTGGGGCCAAGTACCCCCGTGAGAGGAAAGCTATGATCCCCTTTGTCTATTAAATATGCATGATTTTTTTGTGCACGTCAACAATTTATATAAAAACCTCAATTTATGCTTAACCATACCGGTCTTAAATTTTAAGATTATATGTACCAAGTTTAGTTCTTAAAATTTCTCAAAATTTTAGGTCAAATTAGGTACTTGTTGAAATACAATTTTCTCTAAATATGTATGCTCTTCTTGCTTATAGTTTAATAAAATAGTCGATAATCATTACATACAAATGTCGTCTTAATAATAGTAACGGAGCGTATTTAATACATAATTATTCGTCTAATTGGCACAGGGCTGCCGTTCCCCGATTTATCCAGTGTTGCTGCGGCAGGTTGGAGAGGAGTCTGATGTACAGGAGGAAATTGGATGAGTGACCTGTCGTCGACAAAGTTCCGTGACGAGCGCTGGTTCTGTAAAGGGGGCATTCGTAACACGGTCGCGGCACAAATTTAGTCTGCGGTGAAAAAAATGCATTACATTTGTTATATAGTTTAGTATTTTGCGGGTTTGCTATATTTTTGCAAGAAATTCTAGAAACTGCAAGAAATATGAGCCGTATGAAATATAGCGGTGGGGCGTAGTTTCTTGCGCCATGCAATTTTTGCAGGTCAAATTATCCGCAAAGAAACCACTTTCTTGCCGTTATTTTTTGCAAGTGATCACTTGCACCAGAAACTTAAATTCACCTTCTGTCCAGGTCTCAGCCAAATCACGGGGAGCGAATCGTACAAAATTTTAGGGTGAGATTCCACCAATTGTCTAATCTGCCTGTCCCAACGACCCGCTTCGAGGAAAAGACCCTTTAAAAAATTTCAAATATTTCAAATATTTTCAGAAATTAAATATTTGCATAATTAATTGGTTTAATTCCTACTCGAACATACGCCCCATATTTGGGAACGGCTTCGACACTTTTTTCATGAGGAGTGACATCATACTCGAATCCCAAGAGGTCAATCGGAGTTTTATATTTCCTCGCATAATTTTGTAGCACTCCGGTCAAGAAGGATTGCGTAAAGAAGAATCCCGACAGCCAAAAGACCACGGGCGGACCGGTGTTGACCCATTGTTGAAAGAAGGTAAGCCTAAAAAAAATTGGAAATTTTAAATTCAAAATTTCCTGAAATTGTTTTAACTTAAAACTGTACTTACCTTTCTATCAAATCGGTCACATAGCTTCCCAGCCGTTTTTCTGACGGGTATGACTTTGTTGCCCATGCGGATGGAACTTTTCCTTTGAGAACGGCTTTAAAAACGTCCTCCAGCCCGGGCGACATCACGATCTGACCTTTAATCGCCCTCTGTAAATTTTGTAACGATTCTCGCACAACGTTTATCAACTTGTTGAAACGGACGAGCTCCTGGCGTAACACGGTGTTCATAGAGTTCATGTAAACGACGGGGAATTTCTTCGAGACAACGTCCATATCGTAATCGACGGGAAGTTTGGTCAGGATGTCTTGCGAAATGTCGAACACTTTCGAATTGGAGGCAGAATCTTCTCCGGAACCGGGTTTTAACTCGATCTGCGTCAAGAGTGCGCTCTCCAAAAGCTAAAAAAACGAAGAAAAAATCATGACATGAAAATTTGCCAAGAAAACTCAACTTACCTGCACTGTTTCTCGATTTCCTCGTGTAATATTGGCATTTTCATGCAATCCAAACACTTGCGGGTTCGAGTTGAGTGGCAAGGGTCGAATATATTGGAAGCACGTGCTGTAATCCGCTTCTCCAGGGACGTAGTAAATCCCACTCGATGAAAGCGGGTAACTAATCAAGCAATTAATTAATTAATTAATTAAATTCCAAACTACAAAATAATTAAGTAACCATTTCTCACTTGTCTTTATCAACGACGTCCTTATTGTAAAAGATTGAGAACAAGCTGCTCAGCAACCTCATGTCCTTATCATCCGTCACCCTCCCCCCATAATTACACTCGGCGGTGAGAAAGCTCAAAATGTCGAAGGGAATGACGGGATATTCGATTAAAAATAGATGCAACTGCATCAACGAGATGCGTAAATCGCTTTCTGAAAATTCGTTCAATTCGTTCCAACCCAACGGACCGAATTTTCTTCGGCCTTGCACAACCGCGTGGAAAAAGCAAAGTCCGAACAACATTCTGTGCCAGGCTCGCGTGTTTGTGGGCACAGAAGCGAAAAATTTTGGATCATTGAGCGGAATCGAGGTATAAGTTCGGAGCAAGTTGGCCCTCAATTCTTGGGGAGGTTCGTTCGTCATTTTTACAGAGTTTTGTAAAATAGTGACAGGAAAGTGGGGGCTGGGGTAGGATGTCAACCAGAGGCGGAAAGCTGGGTGGGTTTCCTCCGTAGTGATGACGTCTTCGCAAATTGTTTCCAGGACGGGCATCCATTTTGTGGCCTGGAAAATGGGAATGGGAATTAAAAGAAATGATAATTGGGAGGATTTTAGTCGGTCAACTTTGCAAACTCTGAGAATTCTGGGTAAAACAGTGGTTAAGTACCGTTTTTGACGGCAGTGGTCACAGATTTTTGCACATATTTTACCCAGTTTACAAAGTACTCAAGATTAACATGAATTATTCTTACCAAATGACAGTTCTGCAGTAGGACCCAGTTCCCTTCTAATGCACACTGTTCCACCACCTTCCGTGCAATTGGACCCTGTCCCTGACCCAGGCAGATGGACTGCAACTTGTTCGGGTAGGGAAATCCTTTGTCGGACGCGAACTTAAAAAGTCCCAAGGTTGGGTCGGCACCTGGACAAGAAATCCATAAAATTCAGCCATCTCTCAACACACCTAACCCTCATTTACATATGCATAATTACCCGGCGACAACACAAACACCAACGGTGTCGCAGCATTCGAATCATTATAAATCGTTTCAAAATCATAATTCGGTGGTTCGATGAACTCCCTCCCAATATTCCTCCCGATAAAGATCTGCACCGCGGGGATCAACTTGTCCGGACGGAAACACCGGAGAATCACCAACCTCTGAATATCGCTCATCTTATCGAACGGTGCGGGAAACTTGACCGTTTGCGGGTCCGCATGATCATACAACTTTTTCCAATGGTTGACATGTTTCGTGACATGGTTACTCAACTTTGCAAAGGGTTTCATTTCACTCAACTTGACAATCATGTCCCACGACTTGGCCGCTAACCAGTCCGGCGCTGGGTTTGGGTGGGTCGAATGAGAATGATGATGCTTATCTCCGGATGATGATTCACCCATTAACAGAAATCGCCACGTTTCCATATCAAAATCACCCTTTTCCTTCATCAAGGCAACGCAAAAGACGAAACAGAACGCGAGTCTGTCCTTCTCGAAGAGAGAGCGGGACACATTCCGGTAAATGGAGGCGGTAAAATGCTCGTTGATATAGTTCGTCCTGGTCGCCAGGTCGCGGGACGGTTTGCTGTTCGATATGCTGGCTGAGTACAGGTTGACGAACCAGGTGAAGGAGTACTGATACATGGGATCGATATTGGCCAGCTCGGAAATTGAGAAGAATAACGTCGACCCATGAATTGCGATGGGACGGAAGCGGTTTCTCAGTTCTTCAATCTTTTTTCTTGTTAAAGTTGCGGCTTTTTGTTTGGCGATGATTTCTTCTGAGATGTCTTTCGAGTCGAGGAGCATTTGGATGGCGGCCTCGTCGTCGACGATGTTGCCTTCGAAGGAGATCAACAAGTGGAGGATTTTGTCCTCGATTTCCTTCATCATTAATTTATTGTTGACTCCGTCGAGCTCGAGTTGAACGCGTTGTTCTTCCAGGACGGGGTCTTCTTTCGCCGCGACGACGCCGAGGAGCTGGTCTTGCAGGGCGATCGGGGTGACGATGAAGTTCACGAGGGTCACCTGGGGTAATAGAATTTGCATATATTTTTGCAAAACTTTCAATCGGAAATTTATAATTTTGGGAAACTTTGACCCCATTTAATTTTGATGTGTGACCTCACCTTGACCGCAGTTTCTGGCAAGTAGTGTGGATTCCTTAGCCTCGTAATCACATAAAACCGGAAGTTGACATCGCACTCGATCACTTTTTCACCAATCTGCATGCACAAAATGCCCTCCTGTTTGAACGTCTCTTTTAGCAGGATGGGTTCAAAGGCGGGGTCAATTTCTTCCCCGACGTTATCCAGCAGAACGGGAATGCCTTCTTGAATCGAGTCCTCGACAACTTGGATGTAATCCGCGTCCGTCAATTTTATAACGCGAAGGCCGTTGGGCGCCTCTAATCGGCGAATCCACTTGCTCGCGATGGCCTGCGGGTCGATGATAAGCGGCCAGCGGCGCGCGTTGAACATGATGATGCCATTATCGATGGAATAAATATCGATGGGCAGGCCGGCCAGGTGCCACTCACGAATCTCGTCGGGCTCGCCTAACGTCGCGATCAGTGAGAAGGGCTCGGCACACGGGATTTTCGCGGAGGTGCAGAGATGCAGCCAGTTTTCGATGCAGCCCTTCAGAAATAAAGACGATGATAAAAAATGTCAAAATATGTGCATATTTAAGTTAGAAAATGCGATTTACTTGTCTATAGTCGACTCCAAACGGGCCAAGGTAGGCCACCACGGCGGAAGCTATTAAAATATCGCCGACTAAATTGTGCAGTCTAATATTCAGCATGGCGACACCTTGCTCCCACCGCGACTTCTCACCACTCAGTCCATCTGCACATGAAAATCAAGCATATTTATTGTGCAAAAAACAGGTTGACAATTTGCAACAATTTTTGCAACTGTGCAATAAAACGGACTCTTAATCGTGCCCCAATTTTTACAAAGTTTACAAAATTGCCCCGAATTCACCCCTCCTCCTCACCAATCAACTTTTGCGCCCTCTCCAAATTTGCCAAACACTGTCGAATATGCTCCTCCAACTCTTCCATCATCCTCTTCATCGCCATATATTCGTCATTCAGCTCCTGCAACTTTTCCGCAAGGAGTCTCAACTGGGCCCGTTTTTCGTTCAGCTTATCCATCAGAATTTGCAACTCGCTCTCCGCCTGGGCCAACTTTGCTTTCTTGGGGGCAACATATTTCGTCACGCGGTCATACACCTCCATCGCCTTGATCCACTTGCACAGCCCTTCACACGCCGTGGAAACATATTTTATCTTTTCGGGAACGAATTCCTTTGCGGGGAGAAATTTTTCACGAATCTTTTTCATCACGGGGATCGGAATGTTGTCCTTGTCGTATTCTTTCAGGGCGTCGAGAAACTTCATGTTGCTCAACATGCGGAGAGAGGCGGCCCAAAAGTCGTCATATGGACGTCCATTCGCATCCACTTTCTTTTCCGGTTTGATCCCTCGCATAATGCAGACCGCTTCGAGGACAAGTTTCACCGTGTAGGGGGGATTTTTCATGGATCGGACGATCGCAATGTCGGGCGTGGTTAAGGTGTCGAGGGCAGCGCGGGCCGCGTCAAGGGCGGGGATCGCTTCGGCCAGGTCAATCTCGCAGTCCTGCTTGATCGCTTCGGCCACAGCGGCGGCAGCGTTGGCTAAAAATACGTAAATATTTATGAAAATTTGCGATTTTTCAAATTTTGCAAATAATTTCATGGCAAAAAAATAATTGCTTTATGAATGACCAACCAATCACTTCTTCAGCGGCGACGACTTCCTTAATTTTTTCCACCTCAGCCGTTTCTTCCGCGATTTTGATCATAAGTTGTTCCGTTGCTGCTGCGGTTTCGAGAATTTTTTGCTGTAGGACTTCCAACTCGGCGCGCATCACGGCGACCTGTTCCGCCGCGAAGGCGAGGCGTTCCAAACCGTTCAGGTAGCGTTGTCTGGCAGCCTCGATTTCGGCACGTTTCTTAACAATGAGGTGTTTAAAGGTGAACATGAGTTCCATGTAGGATGTCGGGGTGACATAACTCTTACGGTGGAGATGGTTGTAAAATCTGGACAAGAAATTAGTTACCAGACAATGCAAAAAAAGTATGAAAATTATTTTTTACTTACTCTTTCGCCAATTTTCGCACAGACTGATGAAAATATTGGCACATTGAGACACACGCGATCCGAATGTCTTCCTCTGTGTCTAAATTGGCTAAAAATCTCTGCGCAACCTTTTCCAATGCTTCGTCCGGCCATTCGGTAAACCTGAATTTTTACATAATTAATTAACCATCGTCAAAATTTAAATAAAATAAATTCAGCTCGCTCACATGTCAATCGTGCAACAATTAATCAACGACGGAAACATCCTCAACCGTTCCTTGAACACATCTCCGACCGGCGACATGGCCAACACGACATGCAAATTAGTTCGAACCCTCTCAATAAAAAAGTTAAACAGTGGCAACGGCGAGTTATCAATCCTCCTCCCAATCGCCCTCGCCGTACGTTGCATGACCCCATAAATCTCCCCAATTTCATCCGGCTCAAATAGATCCGGAATATCGCCCGTGTTCAAAATCATGTTAATATCCTCCATATACGACTCGTCCTTAATTTGAGTGTCCGCCACGAGAAAAACGGTCGGCTTCCCATCATTTCCGGCATGTTTGAGCACCCTTTTTAAATCCTCACGCCACTCATTCGTCCCATAATTTCGGCTCAGTTCGATCTGAATGAGGTCAAATCCTGCCAAAAATGCGGCCATTTTTGTCCAACTTTGCCTCCCACAGCCGCCCACGCCGACAAGCAGGGCATGACCGTTGTCTTGCTTGAGGATGCGAGAAATTCGAGAAATGTGCTCGATCGCAAACTGGAAAAAAATTATCGTCATTTGTCTCCTCGTCACGGAATTGTACTCGGTAAGACGACTCTCCAAATAGTTGCGGAGTTGGGTCAAGTCGACAATCTCGTCGTATATCTTGTCCGCTTGGGAGTCCATGAAGTCGCCAAATATTAAACCGCGAAGGTCCACATCTTCCACCTTTTTACCTTCGGGGACTAAATGGCCAAACAGTTTTTGCATGTCTTGCTTGAAGTTTTCTTCTACGGTGGAGGACGTCAACTTAAAAAATGTGGTGCGATCCTTCTCATCGACGAGACGGTCGTAAAAGACACGATAAACTTCGTGAACCCAGAGTTTCATTACTTTCGGGGGTTCTTTTAAGTGTGTGGCAGGAACGAGAAGAACGCCTCGGATGACTCGAGAGAAATCGCGGAGGTTGAATAAATAGTGGGATTTTGCAGGAGTGGGGAGGAACAGGGACATCGCAGACTTGTAGATTTGCATGGTCGCAGTGATCATGGGTCTCGCCCAACGGACCACGCTGCTGTCGAACTCCTTGGCGAAATGCCAGTCGACGATGGAGGTGAAAATTTTCTTGAGAGTGTTATCATCAAAAGAGTCGATTGCGAGGATGCTCATGTGTCGAACTAAGCGAGGCGTGATGTCGTTCCGTCCACCACCCGGAGGTCCCATGGCACAGACGAATAACTAAAAATAATAATTAATTAAGTAACTAACTGAACTATATTTAAATACGTGCACAGAATACTATTTACCATGTCGATAAGTGAAATTGCCGTGTTCTTCTTATCATACCAACTCCCGTGATCGAGCCACTGGCGGATAAGCTCGAGTGGAGGTTGAGCTCCGTACATGTCGGGTTGCGGCATATTCAAATCGTCGACAAAAACGACACACTTTTTCCCCCGAATTGGACCAAAAAGTCGCTTCTTCCTTCTATCCAACTTGCTCATGATGATGTTCTGCGTTAGATTGGCGGACGTTCGAGCAGAAAAGTTGATGATGTTTGGAATGTATTTCTCTTTTGGGAGGGACATCATGTAATTTTGCGCGATGGCACTTTTCCCCGTTCCTGTCGGACCGACGAACATGAGGGGAATGTCATTGTTCAGATAAGCCTTTAAGAAATACATTTGACGGGCGGTCTCGTCCGTGGGAATGATCAGTTCATTGACCTTTGCAAAATTAGAGCAATTAGTTAATTAGTAAAATAGGTAATTAACTTTTGCATATTTGCATACTTTTGCATTCTCCGGAATTCTCAGCATTGCCTTGTCCACCGTTTCCATCCAGACGACCCACGTATTGTTCTTTTTGTCGCAAATGTAGTCGAAAAGCGACCCCTTTTCCGGTGGCATTTGGTTCTTTGTAAGCTTGAAGGATTTCGCTCTTGGAAAATCCTTATTGTTTCCGACAAGCACGGAGCGAAGGTAGGAATCGAATTGTTCTTTCGACTTTTGGACCAATGTGGCCCCAAAACTCCACACGATGCAGAAAACGAAGCTGCACTGGAGCCAGATATTCCCTTCGTCCTCGGTGGAATCTTCTTTCAGGCAGGTGCGGAAAAGGCGGACGAAATTCTAAAAGAAAAATAATTGGTGTAAGTAATTTTTTAATTTAAGAGGGAACGTAATATGTTAATTGGCCCTGGAGGTCATGATTTTAAAGGTCAATGTCATCAAAATATCTTATGCCATCATCTCCTGTGTATATTTGTTACCATCAACCAAAATTCATAATAATTCCCCATCATAAGTTTAATTTCCTACACGTCCAATTAGCGCACAAAATAAACTAAGACGTCAAAAAATTAACTCGTCTCTCATCAAAAAGATCGCTCCGCAATTTCATGAATTTTACGTATTTTTTACCTGAAATTGGTGTAATTGCGACGTTCCGATGAAAGTTTGTGTCTCGGGGCGTCGCAGGAAGACGAAACAAGCAGGAACCAACCACTCCAAAAATTCCTCCAGAATTTCCTTCTGCTCTTCGCTAACCGTTTCTGGAAGGGATTGGATATAAGAATCCTTCAAAGTTCGCCAACCGAGTTGTTTCGACTCCATGTAAATCATCCCACAACGCGACACGGTCGAGGGAGAGGCCTGCTCGAGGTCGGCCGCTTCGAAGAGCAACGTCATCAGCGGAGTCATGCGGATTATCTCGCCGGAAATTAGGCAAAGACGTTTGTGGTTGTCCAAAACCTGGGGACAAGCAGGGATGCGTTTTAAATTGGGACAATTTAAAAAAACCAATTGGATCATTTTTTTAATGATTGATGTGACTTTGTTCACGGGACAATTATTTTGAATTTGGTTGTAAAATTGGGACAATTGATTTTTTGCATAATTCGTCTAACTTTGTTCACGGGACAATTCATTTTCATTTAGTGATAAAGTTGGAACAACTAATATTGACTATAAAATTGGGGCAATTAATTTTGCATAATTGATGCATAATTGCATAATCTAACTTTGATCACGGGATAATTTTCATTTAGCTATAAAATTGGGACAATTATTTATTAATTATTTACCGTGTTCATATTTTCCACCCAAACTGTAAATAACAAAAGGACCAACAATTACCCAAAGTTTAGTTGAATAACTAATTATTTAATTAAATAATACTACGTACGGGAGTCGACCGGCCCATCGAACACGATCCATTTCCTGTCGTCATTCGTGGAGGAGGCCATTTCCCGAAAAATGTTGGGCACCACGCCATCCGACCACTCGAGGAGGTCGCCTTCAAAGAAGCCGTGAAGCTGGTGCATCGTGATGGACTTGGGGTTCACAATTTTGTACTGAACACGCTTGCCGATAAAGCCTGGGGTCTTGTTCTCTTTTATTTCCGTCAAGGCGGCGGCGAGACACTGGAACCAAATTTATTGAGATTAAGTATGCGAATTGTTCGGAATTCGCGAAATTTTCACCGAATAACTAAAGAATTGCTGGATAATTAGTAACAAATTATTTGCGAAAATTATTTATGAATTATGAAATTGGATTGCTTTCTCTGAAAAATCTACACAAAAATTAATTATTTCGCCTGTTTGAAAATATATAAATGACGTTAATGACTCTCAAAATTTTTAATTATTTAAATCTGACTAATACATTACGTAGTACTTCTACTCAAGTAAGTTAATTCCTCCTTCAATTGAATATGCACGAAATTAGCAACATTGTATTGCGTCTTCGTAAAAAATATGCAAAAAATATGCAAAAAATATGCAAAAATCTGCGAGTTAGGTTCTTTACACGTAGCTATGTTTTGCTGTACCAACTTTGAACTTTCACAAGTTTATGAAATTACTGATAGCTTCCTACCTGATAAGCACAAGTCTTTCCCCCCATCGGATCCCCCACCAAGATAACACCATGTCGGGCCAAAATCATCTCATAAATTTGTAGCGTCTTCTCAATAAAGTAATCCGTCGGTTGCAAATTCCTACTTTCGCAAACCGTCTTTAACGTCGCGATGAGTGGGTCGAGTTCCGTTTGGACGATTTTCACTCCTCGAAACAAGTCTGAAATAAGCCCTTCGCACAGGGGGACGTCGTATGGGAGGAATTTGGGCAGATTTATGCTCTCAATCGCTTTCAAGATCAGTTTGTCCTCGTCCATGTCGGGATTTTTGTTGCGCGCGTGACCCGTCGCGACCAAAATGGCCTTCATGGCACGCATCCCGTAGTCGTAGTGCTGTTGGGAGGAGAGCTGTTCGAAAAATAGGTGACACAAGGTGACCATCTTTCCGGCCAGGCTGTAAATTTAATGGGATTTACATATGAGTATTTATTTTAGAAAAAAAATTTAAAATAGAAATTTATAATCACATTTTTCCATTCGCGAATCCCAGCGCAAACAAGTGGATTTCTCCGATGAGTCGAAAATCCGGCACCATCATTGCCACCGGTCGGAATAATACCTTCATATTTTCAGGGAGTTCGGATCGACCGGTGTATCCAGGCTGGAAATAAAATGGTAAATTTTAATTAATTGAAATTAAATAATTATTTAATTAAAATAGATTCACTAAAATTTAAATACAAATAAAAATTTGTACTCTGAATTTAAACACGTTTAGAATTTCATGACACAAATAGGACACAAATGTTATAAATAAATACACTTTATTAATGTAATGCCAGATCGACCACACACCTAATTACACCTCCAAGTAAGTCATAATTCTATAAACTTTACTCAGGTCGCTTAACCATGAACACTTTTGTAATGTAATTAAACTCTGTACATATGACAAAATTTCTAAAAAGCTGTGTAAAACGGAAATCTCTGGAGGATTTTAGAAATTTTAAAAATTGGCGAAATTTTAAAATTTCGCCAATTTTTCTACTTACATTCATGGTTATGATGGCATTACACTCCAAATTCACGGGTAGCTCGAGCCCTTCTAAAATACAGGTGGGCATCTTGGATGCCACGGCTTGCTGCACGGTCCACAACTGTTGCGCAATAACGCTCAGAACTTCGGGGTCCATCCGGTTAAAGTCGTCGAAGCAGAGCCACGCTCCGGAAGAGGCGAGTCCCCGGATGAACCTGCCGATCGTGGCGACACTCAGGTCATACGAACAATTGAGGACGACACACTGTTTGGCAATCGTCTTGGTCAAATCCTTGGCGGTTTCTGACTTTCCAGTGGAAGCGGGTCCGACCAGGGCGCCGTTCAGGTTGAGATGATAAGCTCCAATGAGGACGCGATAACAGCGGTCGGTCAGCGGCGTGATGACGAGACGAGATGGGTTTCCGACGTATTCGTAGCCGTAGTTGACGTTCGAATTCAGCATGCGCAGGACGACTTGGAAGTCTTCAAAGTAATAGCTGGGAAACAAGTATTTATTGCAAAAATTATGCAATTTTTAAATTTTACAATTTTGCAATAAATATTCCCACCGTAATTGCGCAATCCACAAATAATCCGTCTCTGTCTGCACTTTGTTGGCGATCAGCTCTTCTAAAACGTCCCTCGCGTGTACGTCAACTGTGACCAAAGCGCCCAGAATTACTCTCGCCAATTTAGGCAATTCTCCACGAATTACGTCGATCGTATTGTCCAGATGGGTCTGAAGGATTTGATTTAGCATAAAATCCATTCATTAAAAAATATGTAAATTTTCTTGGTAATCAACTTACCACCCATTTCGCCAAATAAGTCTGAATTCCTGCCGTCGATCGGATGAAGGCTTTATGAACTTCATACGTCCAATAAATTTGGGACACGCAGAGGACAACTTGACCCGGCCATTTCAACACCCACTCGGACCTCGACGTGTGCATGAAGGCGTCTTTCGCGTACGTCGTGATATTTCGGAGCGAGCTGACCATCGTCTCCTCAACCTGGCGAATTAAAAAAAAATTGCAAAAATCTGCAAAATTTCGCAAATACGAAAATTCGCACCTGTGAAAACCACTTTTCCACACACCCCTTCACACCCCCTGTATCAACCGGATTACTAAACGTGACCCGTTCCCCCTCCGCGCTTAACATGCCAAACGCTAACATCTCCGAATCTATGCGAAGCTCGCTAATCCCTTCAAATACTTTGTTGAGGAAGGGTTGCACTTTGTTGGCGTCCTTCGTCTCGGCCAGAATGAGGACCATTTCTTCATTCGTGAGGAAAAAGAAGCGAGGAAAGAAGACGCGTTTCTCATCCAGGTAAATATTCAGGCCAAAAATGACTTTCTCCAGGTACGCCGTGCATTGCAAGAGTTGCTCCCAGCGCCCCAGCTTCTTCGCCATTTCGAGCGCGTTAACTTGCGATTCCAAATCGAGCATGAGGTTTCGCCAGGTTTCGTCGACGAGCATGAAAAGTTGACCCTCGTCGGGAAGGAGGACTTGGATGTCGTCGGAGGAAAACATGTGTTCCAAGTAAATCCAGCGTTTCTGGACTTTGAGCCATTCGTCCATCGTGTTCTGGGCGCGGACGAGGGTGGCTTCCCAGTCGTGGACGAGATCTGGGGGAAAATTTGTGCAAAAATGTGTACACAATTTTGAATATGCAATTTATTTATACTTACCTCGATGTGGTACGACGAATCGGGACCCTTTCAATATCCGGGTGTCGACGATGTGTCGATTTAAGAGGAATTGGATATCGTCCGCTTCGTGGAGAATGTTGGTTTCCGTCTCCCTGTAAAAATTTTGAATTTCTAAATTATTAAAAATTTGCATAATCCATGCAATTTTTTATGTAATTTACTTGTAGGGAAGATACTCAATCTTTTCGACTAGCCAAGCTTCCTTCATTTCTTCCACCGTCGTGGCGAGTAAGAGTTCTTGCGTGGCGCAGAAACTGATCTCTGCGAATCTGAGGGTTTATTTAGCATAAAATTAGTATGCAAGTCAGATCGGAATTTAATTATATCAAAATTTTATATTCTCACTCTTCCATGTACGGGTCGAGATCCATTTTTAATATTTTTCTTAAACTGCTTCCCGTGTCAGGGATCATTTCAAGTCCGGAATATTCCGACATTTGAACCCAATGTCGCAACCGCATGGCAGGATTGCACAGGATTCGCATCACAGGTAGATTAGCCTACGTAATTTGATTAATTTTCCTAAATTTCCAAACTAATTTTGAATTTTATTCTTAATTCGTACCCGAAATTCTTTTAATTTCTCAAGTGCTAAATTACAGATTTTAAGTGGGGGTGGAATTTCCTGTAAATTATCTTCATCATACAGAAGCGAAATCGGGATGTGTTTCTCCTTCGCTTCGAGCTCTTTCTGCGCTTTGATTCGACTTTTGAACAGGGCTTGAAGATCGATAAGTTCTCTGTGCAGAAGAAAAAAAACATGCAAAAAATATTAATATATGTGCAAATTATGTACATATGTATTAATAAATTCTGCCCATACGCGTAATAACCCTCCGTCTCGACATCAATTTTTTCCGCATCGAGGTCAAAATCACCGTCCATATACTTTCTCTCGGCCCGTTGCCATTGTCTCGTAGTCTTAAAAAGTCTCGTGTACGGTTCCAAGTGCAAATTTATTTCGTCAATGTCCGCAAACTGGGATTGATTCAGTTTGAATAAGGTTTCCTCCGTATTAATCCAATCGATGCCTTCCTGCAGTTCGTCCACGCGGCGGCGAACGTAGCGCAAATCCTGAAAATACATATGCTATTGACTTAAAAATCTAGGAATTTGCGAATTTTTTTGCAAATTTTTTCGCAAATTTTCCGGAAAATTTCTAACACCACAAACATAATTCTGCCATATGTCTCCTTACATCGCAATAATTTGGAACCTCCGCATAATCTCCATACCGGCCGAAATCTTCTTTAACGCGACGCAACAATTTCTTCAAGTCGCCCTTCATCTCTTCAATCTTTTGATAAAGTTGTTCCTCAAATACTAATTTCTGGTCTTCAATCATCTACAATTAAATTATAACAGCCCAATTATAATACCTAATATTTTACATTTTAAATTAAGCCAGCCAATTTACAAGTCAAACAAAACTACAAAAGCATGTCATGTTAAAACACATTTGAAAATTAATACTGGATCCGCATCATAAAAGTCCCACAAGAAAGAGTCCGGCTGCATGTGCAGAATTATTTGTTTTAACCACACAACAATTAATTAAAGTTAACGTCCCATGGGTTTTAAATTTAATTTTTTATTGTCTCGACTTAAAAAATGAAGATTTTATTGCATCTAAAAATCGATAATAATGTTTTGTTTTGAAAAGTTAGGAGGTTAGAATTTTGATTTTTTTCTTTCATGATAAAATAGAAATAAAATAGATACAAATCATACAAAAAAAAATAAATATTTTCTCATGAAAGAAAAAAATCAAAATTGTAACCTCCTAACTTTTCAAAACAAAACATTATTATCGATTTTTAGATGCAATAAAATCTTCATTTTTTAAAAAACTACAGAGATGAACAGATTTCAAAATCGCAATTTGAATACATGGAAAAAGTAGAGACACACAAATTTAAATTCAAAACCCACATGCTATCGACCCTTAAAGTTAGCCCCGCATCGTAAAAAATCTCAAAAAATCTTATTTTACTCACAATTGCACTCTTTTCAAACGCTGGTTGTATCTTTCTCAACAATTTATGCGCCGTGACGGCCAACTCCATATCGTCCGCGGAAAGAATGTAATAGTCCATGAAGGCCAAAACCATCTTCAGCCCTTCCACGATGTCCTCCTTGAGGAGGAGGAGCAACACGCCGCGAGCCTCGTCGATATATTCCACCAACTCCATCAGCTCCGCCGTGGTGGCTGGTTTTCTCAAGAGACGGTCACGTATCTCTTTGTAACCCGTGATAATTCTGGAGTCAAAGGTCAAGGTCATTTTGTTTCCGTAATATGACCATTTATCTATCATTATTTATTACGCGTGATGATGCGCCCTCAACCATTTTGTTAAATGCTCCGAAATGATGTTCTGATGACTCTTGCAGCCATCGAGCAGTCGTCCGATAACGTCTTCATTGTTGACTTGGAGCCAGCCGACGAACTCATTTTTCGGAATAGTGTACATTGATTGGCTCAATTGTTTGAGAAATGCGGACTCCTTGAATCCAGCGTAGAAATTGTTTTCCTTCGAGGTGACGAAAGCCTGCAGTCTGGTGCGGCCGGAACCGTCCAGAAGAATTTTGTATTGGTCATCTTAAAAAAAGTAGGATACAGAAAATTAGCATAAAAAATTTCGCAATATGGAAATATCTCACAAATTCGATCCGCCACGTTTTGCACGTCACTCAGCCACTCTGCCATCACGGCGTGGAAGCGTTCCGTCATTAACTCGACGAAAAAGTTGGGGATGACGATGCGACAAAATACTTTGATTGATTTCTCTTCATCTCCCCGACTCCAGAATAGTTCGGCTGCGTCGGGAATGTTCTGCACGACGCTGACAATCTGGCAAAAATATAATTTAGTTTTTAAATCCTCATTTAAATTTTTAACTCGTAAATTAATTTGTGAACCTCGTCAATCATCTTTTTAAAACAGTACATCCATCCTTCCACCGGCGGAGCGAAGGTGACACGGGCGTCGTCAATCGCAGTATCGACTAAAATTCGGGGAAGGTTTTTCTCATAGTTTTCATACGTGGAGACAATCTCTTGAATCGTGTTCATCGCCCAGGCCGTCCCCTGATCAGTTTAAATTTATAAATAATTGTAATTATAATTAAATTAATTCTGATTTAAAATAATTAATTTCCTCCTCACATCCGACACAATCATGTGCGACGCGCACTCCATGATGAGTTCCTGCTTCGACTTGTTTACAGATTTCAGGGCGTTAGCATTCTGAAAAATTCTGACCAACTGAGGAATAAATTTCTGGAGAAACATGTCCCCATTTGAGCGAATCTGGTTCAGGATGATATCTCTCAACTCGATGGGTCGCATATAGTTGGACCCTCGGCTAAGAAAAAAAAATATGTAAATTTGAACACTAATACCAATTTCTTCACTATTTCCTTCCACTCACATTTTGATCTTATCGGGATAAAAGAGCTTATGCGTGTTCATGAGGTCCCTCATTTTCAAAAAGGTTCGAGACACGATGGGATACAGGATGCGGAGCTGTTGCGCAATAATGTGACGATTGATTCGATACGTGTCCCACCATGGCGGCGGTGAGGCGGAGAAGCTGGCAAATTTTAAGGTTATTATTCGCCCTAATTTTTTGCAATTTTTTTTGCAAAAATTTTTGCAAATTATTTAACTCACAGAGGAAACTTATCGACCAACACGTACGGATCGACATATCCTGCCGGCGGGATTAGGACAAAGTTCAAGATGGTTTCGTGCAGGACAAGTTCGTACCGTTCTTCAACTTCTCTCGCTAAGGCACGAAACAGCTGGAGGTGTTTCTTCTTGTAAGGTCGTGGAATAAGCTGGAAGAAAAAAAGATAAGGTAATTAAATTTAATTAAGATTAATTAATTAATTTGCCCCCTTACCGATGCGATCCTTCTCAACCAGCTTTTCTGCATCGGCACGACCGGCGCTGCTTTGACGCTGTCCCTCCGATACTCGGCAAAGTCCTCTTGGGTGAGAAATGCCTCCAAATCGCCCCCACTGCCGCCCGCCGCACCCTCTTTTTCCTTCCCAGCTTCGATCTCTTTCTTATAGACGACATCGGCCACGATGTTTTTGACCTTTTTACCCCTTCGAATCACGACCTGTAAAATATATGGGTAGTTTAAGGAAAAATAGGCTAAAAAATAGGGTGACCATAATTTTGTCCTGACTAAAACGGGGACATTTTAGGCAAACAAAAATCTGAATAATATCCAGTAGTGCTTGAAACGAAGATTTTATTTTGCATGTTTCATTCCGGGTTCATATTTGATTTTGATTCATATTTCATTCAAAGTATGATTCAGGATCTGAATCTGAATTTCAGATATCACCGAATTTTGAGAAAAATACAGGAAATTAAGTTAATACATGTCATGCAAAGTCTATACCTCCAACTTTTTCACACAATCGGGAATATGTTGGCGAAAAGAGGGAGCTAATTTAATTTTTTGTCTGTTTAAAACCGGGACATTTCCGGGACGCCGGGACAGGTTTTTAAAACGCCGGGACATGTCCTGGCACCCTAATAAAAGCCTAAGAGTGAAAAATAATTACCTCATTGTCTTGGCGTTTTTTCTCTTTGATAGCGTTATACCGGAGGAGGGGGTGTTCTGCCCAGGGGTCATTTTTGAAACAGTGGATCGTCGGATGTGGCGCGGGGGGAAGGTCGAAACTTGGCTTGTCCTTGTCGCCACGAGCAGGACGCCATTTTCGCCCGGTCGTGGCAGAATTTCCGCAGCTGTCGCTACGTTCAGACATTTGGTTGAAGAACACACTTGGTTTATTTAATAATTGGTCAGAATATTTAGTAAATTGGGGACGAAATAAAAATTGGCATTTCTCCGGGATAAAAAATTGTCCGGATGATTAGAAGAATTTTAATTATGAAATTAGCGTTCGTAGCAACTGTTTTCCAAATTACGATTTTATTTAGAAGTAAAATCTCAATTTTCTTATCTTGTGGATATCGATCGGCTAGCACAAAATAAACAAACTTTCCCTGCATGTTTGCTATATCCGGCTCGTTTTCACTCAATTTTCTGATTTCCGATATCATGCAAAGTTTTTATTGACTAAACATGCCGTTCTAGTAGAAATGATATAAATGCATGCACAATTTATTCGTACAAAATAATGAAATTTTTAAAATCTTCGTTTTACTTGTGGAGCCTTATCTTATCATTTTTGCCAAGAAGTACAAGTTTACTGATTTTCATGCGGTATCAAAGTGCAGGAGCAAAGTTCCTGCCTGTTTGTGATCCAGCTTATTTATGCTTTCACCCAATTTCTCATTTCCGGTTCTTCTTATTGACTAAACATGCCGTACTGGAAGAAATGATCTAAATGTATGCACAATTTATTTGTACAAAATCATGAAAGTTTTAAATTGTCAGGTTCTACTCATTTTTTTCATTTTTTGTCCACATCAAATCAGTACCAAGGAATTGAATATATGTAAATACATTACACACAATTTAATTATTCCTTACATAACGTACAGCATATTTAACTACTTCCAAACCCCATTAATAAAACAAAACAATGGAACCCCGTTTTTTGACAGTTCATAAAGTCGCATTTACTTAAACGGGTAAAAAATATACCCATACATATTTTTATGTACTAGTATTTATCATGGAAAAAATAAGGTGGATTTTTACCCTGTTCAACATCACTTTTCTACTAATTAGTAGCATCACCTTTCTCTCTACACCTGCCGACGCTGAGCATGTAAGCATTTTCCATTTTAATTAAACAACTATAATTTAAGTAATTTTCAAAATTTCAGCGAGGGTGTGGATTACGGGTGTGTTATTGGAACTCGAAGAAATGCTGTCCAGGCTACTATTGCCATTTCTGGACCTGGACGGGACGATGTGTAATCACCGTGCGGGGGAAGTAGTACAGTTGTGCACATATTTAAAACTTTTAATCTACACGTGAATAATTATATGTACAAAATATTGAGTAACACGACTTCCTGCGTGATCTATGTACGTTTCTCAGAATTGAATAAGTTCTTTTCCAATAAAAACCCATAAAATGTTTCCTGTATGTTTATGGTAATTACCGAGATGATTTTCATGAACTATAATTATTCCATGCATCTATAACAATTTATGATTTCCGGTCAAGTTATTAAGGGACGAAGTCCCTTTATAAGATGGTTATGTCCGTATGTCTGTCTGTTTATCTGTCTATTGGTCCGATAACTTGAGAACGCAACGACATACAGACTGGAAACTTTAAACGTAAGTTCCTGCCGTCAAGGGGTATGGCAGGTTCGAAAATAAGATGGACACTGGTCCTGATTTTTTTAAAATTAGACCGATATCATATGTTGGCTTTGGTATTTTCAAAGCGCTGTCCAATATCGGTAGAATAAGTCATTTTGACCGACCTTCGACACCCCAGCGAACGTGTGGACGAAGTAAAAGGTCACAAATGTCTCAAATACTTCAGATGTGTCAATTTTAGCATAAATTTTCAATGAGAAATCTGATATGATACTCATTTTGACATGTGATTTCATCCCTTGGTTTCATCCGTTTTTAACGGTTTATTACTGACTATAAGCATTTGGTGTAACCTGGCAAGCCACAGTAAAACCCATCACCAGTAAAACCCATATTTATTTATACATGAGTAACTAATGAACTGATTAATCATAATTTTTTGCGAGTCTAATCTTTTTTGCACACGATACATTTCCCTTTATTTGCACTTATTATATGCAGCGTTACTCTTCGGACTGGAATGACACTTGAATCAAGTGTCGACAAAGTATTATAGTATGTATGCATACACAAAAAATGACACCAGGATCGTTAAAAAGTATTAGGGTTAAAGGCTATAAAGATAAAAGTTTTATACATAAATACTTATCAATAAGTTACAGTAATGAGCAAAATTAATGGTACAGCGGAAAAGTGCCTGTTCTATCTCGCACATTGCAATGGATAACAATTTGACCATTGTGCAAGGCCGTTATAGCCAAGCAAGATGTCTGTTTTTTTAAAGAAAAAGGTCAAAGGTCATTATTTAAAAAAAATCTCAACTACTCCTAGTAATTTTTTTCTTAGTGGCTTCACATTTTTGTTTCCGCCCAATATGGACATTTATATGCGTTACGATTTTTGCTGACAAAGTTATGATTTTTTTAATTAGGTAAACTCGTAAAATTTGAAAATACTGTTACATATGAGAGAATTTGAAAAAAAATTAAAAATTTGCCTAATTCAAAAATTAATAACTTTATGTGAAACAATCGTAATACACTGAGCAGGATGTTAAAATGTTCACATTAAGTTGGGCTATGAATAAATAAAGCCACTTAGGAAGAACAAAATCATTAAGGGTAGATGAGACTTGAGGTTTTAAAAAAATACTTTATGACCTTTGACAGTTTTGCGTAAACAGACGCAGAATCCTATCACAATTATGCGAAATTGAAAAGTTTTCCGCTGTACAATTTATTTCGCTTCCTACTGTAAATAGGTATTTATACGTGGTTATATAACATAACTATAAATACATAACAAGCCAGTTTCGGTTCTTGCAGTTCAATTGAGAATTCCAATCCATCCCTTCATCATCTTTTAATTTCATCTTTTGATCTTCCCGTGAGCCGTCACTATCAAATTTTCCCCACCGGTCTTTAAGAAGAACGATCGTTCGAAACGTTGACCCGTTGGCCCTATAATTTGGATTACTACAAAACAGTAAGTCACTTCCCATTCCTTACCATTAAATACAATTTAGTCATCTTACAAATGCGTTGAAACAATGCATACAAAATGGCATAAAATTTGCACAAAAAATACACCCACTTGGCTTAAAAACGAAATGCGATTCACAATTATTGAACACATTACATCGTGTCTCTCCACCCACGGCTGCCCGTGACTTATGATGACCTTTGACCTTATCTCTAACTTTATTTCTTTCCCTCTATTTCTAGCCTTTCCAAAAAAATGGATCAATCCTCCATAATGTCACGGGCAGCCCTGGGAAACGTGGCGTCCCTCGGTGAATTATACGACGCTCGAAAAGACACCTTCAGTGGGATTTCCATCTTCAAGAAAACTCCCCCCGAAGCCGCTCTCACCCATCCCGACAACCATTTTTCGGACATCCAACTCCTCCACAGTGACACCTTTGGAGAAAAATTCTCCAAACTAGATGTCAGCGCGGAACTCCAAGTTAGCGTTTTAGCCGGCCTTTTCAGCCTTTCCGGGTCCGGGAGATACCTAAAAGATCAGAAAAACTCATCCCGCGCCGTGAAAAGTTCCCTCATCTACAACATTCGCACCAAGGACGACAACGTCAACATTTTCCATGAAGATTTGAAGGACTCCTTCGCCCTGGACGCCATCCAATCCGGCGTCGCGACCCATGTCGTCGTCGGCATCACGTGGGGCGCAAACTCCGTCCTCAGCTGCGAGTATCAAAATACGGAAAATCGCGACATCAAAGAAATCGAGGGGAGCCTTTCCGCCCGCCTGAAAATAATCGGTCTCTCCATTTCCGGCTCAGGTTCGGTGGAATTTAACGAGGGAGCAAATGACAAAAGTATCAATTTTGCCATCAAAATTTACGGCGACGTTCTTCCTCGAGGTCAAGATCTCCCGACCACGTTTGAAGCCGCGCTGGAACTCATGAAACAAATGCCAAACCTCGTCGCGACCTGTAACGATGGACGTGGAATGCCCTTGAGCTACAAACTTATCCCCCTCACTTTGCTCAAGGATTACCTCAAGTTTGAAATGAAGGCGGACCTCGTCGTCAAATCTTTGCAAGAATACAGCCTCGTCCGGATTGTACAATTGTTCGAAAAACTGGACCAGGCACGCCAACTACTCAACGACTTTGAGAAGGACGCCACGCAAAGTAGATTTGCCGTTAGTGCGGAAAATATTGCAAAGGTTATCTCCTTAGTGGAAGGCTTTTCCATAGAGGAAGCTAAATTCAGGTCGGAACTGGGCAACATGCTGGCCTCGGTGAGATCCGGGCATGCTAAAGGGACCGATTTGGAAGATTTCCTGGCACGATTTGAAGCCTCCCCCTGCTCGCCGACATCCGTCGATGCCACGCTTCTCGGGATGAATGACATCGTTCAGAAAATTTCATTTGCAAGAACCATCATCGCTTCGGGAATAGCTTATATCGGCTTCGGGACGAATCTTGACGACGAAATTGTAAAGAATTTCGACACCACGACGTATCTCCTCTACTTTAACGAACCTTGTAAAAAGGAGGATCCCACCTCCTGGCAGAAAAATCGACAAGTCTTCCTCCAAGAGTCGAAAAAATCGAGCGAGATCAAATTCATCGCGGTCGATTGCGACATCCACGAGTCCCTCTGGCCGGGAAAGGTGACCATCGAAGTGGTGGAAAGTGGTCAAGTCATAGTCAAAGACCTCGTCCACGAGCAGGAACAAAGCAGCGCGACAGCCGTCGCAAAATGCACCGTGGATCTCGACCAACTCGTTCACAAACCGAATAAACGAGTCAATCTCGTCATCCCCTGTACCGGGAGGAATTGCACCCCAAACGTCGAGCAGGAATGGTCCTGTCGAAAATGCGGGGAAGTAATTGAGTACGGATTTGACTCCTTTTTCTACTGCGGATGTGGTCGCGGACCAGCATCAATGTTCGAATTTAAATGTCCCGACCCAAAACATGGCGTTAATTTTGAGCGCCATTCCGACAAATATTTGGAAGAACTCCTCGCAATGCTGAGACCTTTTAAAGAACTCAACATTCTAATCTTGGGAGAAACCGGGGTCGGAAAATCGACTTGGATTAACGGCTTTGTAAACTTTATGACGTTCGAGTCCCTCCAGGAAGCCGAGCAGTATGACCTTTGCACCCTCATTCCGTCCGAATTCACCGTGTGCGACGAGGACTTTAACGAAATCACGGTAACTACCGGCACGGATACGAACGAGGTCCAAAATGCGGGCATGTCTGCAACCCAAGAATGTAAAGTTTACCCCTTCACCGTAGGCGACCGGTTAGTCCGACTTATCGACACGCCCGGAATCGGAGATACCCGGGGAGTAGACCAAGACAAGAAAAACTTTCAAAACATCCTCTCCACGCTGTCCTACCTGCAAGAACTACACGGAATTTGCATCCTCCTCAAACCCAACAATGCCCGGTTAACGGTCATGTTCCGCTTCTGTATTAAAGAGCTCCTCACCTACCTCCACCGCGATGCCAGTCGCAACATCATGTTCTGCTTTACCAACGCGCGAGGAACCTTTTACCGCCCCGGCGACACACTCCCCGCCCTCCGAAACCTGCTCAAAGAAAATGAAGACGTCGTCATCCCCATCGCCCAACATACCATTTACTGCTTCGACTCGGAAGCCTACCGCTTCCTCGCGGCCATCAAGAATAAATCCAAACCCGTCAAATTCGCGGACGATGAGTGCGAAAACTTTGCAAAAAGTTGGGAAAAATCCATCTCCGAGACGAAACGCATGCTGAAACATATCTCCCAACTGAAACCGCACCCCATTCAGAGCACCATCAATTTAAACCATGCCCGTGAACTGGTCGTCAAACTGACCCGGCCTCTCGCCGAAATTACGAAAACCATCCAAACAAACAAGGAAGTCATTAAGGATCACCTCGAGCTGCTAAAAAGAACCAAAGAAAACATCGCGGACCTTCAAGCACAGCGATTCTGCGATAAGCAAGAACTAGAAATTATCAAGCTAAACTACCCAAAAACCGTGTGCACAAACGTGGCCTGCACCCGGGTTTATGGTAACGGGGAATTTAAGCAGATCGAGTACCGCACCGAGTGCCATGCCCCCTGCGGCCTGTCCGGCGTGGCGCACGATACCGTCGGTGATCCCGGGCTTTTAGGCTGTGCCGCCATCACGAACGGGTACTGCAACCGGTCCAACTGTCGCCACTTTTATCGGGAACACATGCACATTTACTACGACTCGAAAGAGGTCACCAAGCAGGTGGAGAGCGAGAGTGTGAAAAAGTCTCTGAACGAGAACATCTCCGCGGCCGAGCTGAAACAGAACATGATCGACGAGAAGAACCAGCTGATCAAGGAACAGGACGACGAGTTGAAGCAGATTGAAGTGGCGAGTGTGAAATTCGCCTGTTTTCTCAAGCATAACGCCATCACGCCGTATAACGACGCGATGCTGGAGTACATGGACCATTTGATTGGGGAGGAGAAGAAAAAGATGAGTGCGGGCGGGACGAAGAAGACGTTGGAGCAGATGCAATTGGGCAGGGCGTCGTATGAGAATCAGATTAAGATTTTGGATAAGGAGATGAGTATCGGGGACAGTACGAATATTCTCAATCCGACGGAGGTGGAGAAGCTGGTGAAGCATTTGTACAAGTTGAAGCATAATGGGGCTTGTATTAAGGCGTCGTTGGATGCGGTGGAGAGCAGTGCGGGACAGATTTCGCAGTATAGGGAGGTGGTTAGTGCGTATAAGAAGAAGCAGAAGAAGAAGAATGTGTTTAAGAAGGGGTGGGATTGGCTTACGGGGGGAAATTAAATTTTGTATGTATTTACGATACGTCAAAAGCTTCGTAATTTGATGGAGAATTAAGAGTTGAAAAGAAGAGGTTACCACATCACGTATTTGCATAAATTGTGAAAATATTAGTTGCATGCATAGAGTTTTATTAATATATGGTTGCATGCATGATTTCAAATTAATATTTCATTTATAATTCCTTAATGCAATATTAATTTGCAATTATGCATGTAATGAATATTTTCGCAATTTTTGCGAAAACGTGATGCAGTAAACCCTATTTTTCATTTCTGATATAACAAAAACAAGTAACATTTACATAATGACAAAAGGTGGGACGGAAGCTGAAGGCATCAAGGGTCCCGCAATAAAAGCTTGCCATTAAAAAACTATATATTTATTATAACATTCCATAATTTCTGTGAAATAAAAAATTAACTTGAAATTTCATCTCGACTCGACTGGATTTATTTTTTCCATTTTTCAGACGCATTAACCATTATCACTCCAAATTTCAAGCCATATTTCAAAATTTACTAAATAATATTACCATCCATTCCAGATGACTACTACAGATACACTCCCCGAAATTAACATCCTCCTCCTCGGCGAAACCGGCGTGGGAAAATCCACCTGGCTCAACAGTTTCCTCAACTACATAACCCACCCTTCTCTCTCAATCGCCAAATCATCCGAGCCCCTGCTACACCTCATCCCCACAATGTTTACCATCACCACGCCCGACTTCCAAGAGGTTGTCGTCCAAGTGGGGGATCCGTCCTTGGCAGAAAATCTGAAAACTGGAGAGTCTGCCACCCAAGCTGCGCAAATCCACTCTTTCCGCACCCCCTCAAACATTATCAACTTTATCGACACGCCGGGGATTGGAGATTCTCGTGGAATAATTAAAGACGGGGAAAATATGGAAAGCGTCATGGCGGTTATTAAACCGCTCGGAAAGCTGCACGGGATTTGCATCCTCCTAAAACCGAACGAAGCCAGGTTGACGCTCTCGTTCAGGTTTTGCATTCAAGAGCTGCTTGGTCACCTTCATAAGGAGGCTGTTTCAAACATTGTCTTCTGCTTTACGAACACGAGGGGGAATTTCTACAGGCCGGGAGAATCGATCAAATCGTTGAAACAGTTGGTCAGCAATAATCTTCCGGGGAGAAGTTCGGCAAGTCTGGGGCTTGATTCGGGCAGCATTTTTTGCTTTGATAGTGAAGCCTTTAGGTTAGTATTTCGTTTATTGCGGATTTCATACATTTCTTGAATTGCAAAGCAAGAATGCAAGGGGCAAGAACGTCCAAGAAATATGCGCCATCTAGCGACGCGCCGAACTATATCGGAAGGAAGTAGTTTCTTGCGCCTTGGATTTCTTGCAGGTCAAAAAACTACTTTCAAGAAACCACTTTCTTCCCGTTATTTCTTGCACTTGGTTACTTGAAACTGCTTTATGCAGGTATTTGGCGGCATACAAACAGCAGCAGGACAACAAGGACAGCGAACCGCTGTTTTCTGAAGACGAGTCCGCAAGTTTCGAGCAGAGTTGGAAGAAATCCAGCGCCGAGGCTGAGAGGATGATTGCGCAAATTATGTATAATTAAATCAACTTTTAGTTACTGTTATTTTACCAGTTAAAGTATGTACGATTCTTCCCATTTTCAGGTCCCTAACTCCCCACAATCTAGACTTAACACTGGATCTCTTCCGATTGCGGAGGTACGTTGACGCCATCACCATTCCGGTTGTGGAACTTAAACAGAAGCTACAGCTGGAAATCCACAATTTAGAAAAGTCTAGGGAAGACGTGCAGCAACAGCAAGACGCGACCACCGCCATGGTGTCGGATCTTTTTAAGGAGGCGACGATTTTAAAGCGGGAAAAGTTAAATCACCTCAACATCGTTTGCACGCATGACGATTGTTCTGCCCCTCACGGAGAGAATGAGCGACATTTTATGAAAATATGTCACGAAAATTGCACCTGTTTGACGACTGGAGCTGACCTAAATATACAAAATCAGGCCAAATTGCTACAATGTAAAGAATTGAGCTCCGGCTCAACCTGCAAGGTGTGTGGGCACCCTTGGCAGATTCATATGGCCGTGGATTACGGTACCAAGATGGTGGCGGAGCAGCAATTCAACTCGGCAGGGGCTGCGGATCTTCTAGTCAATTTTGGCAAGACGGTTTGGAAAAGGAGTGAAAGTGATGGTACGCATTATATATCAGAAGTCTTTTCGAAGCGATTTCTCCAGAAACACTGGCAATTTGTTTTTAAATAAATTTTAAAAAAATTTCAAGATTGAGAACGTTAGTCAATTTACCAAAACACAAATTGAATGGCAATGGTTCAGATTTTTGACATAGGGAAAATTAGTCGAGTTCGCTCCTAAACTTGAATTTTCTACACGAACAGTGTTTGAACTTAATTTTTAACTTCAAAAAATTGAAAATACAAAAATATTGCATATTCATTATCCAAAATGTAATTGAATCTGTTTAATTTTTTAATCAACCCAACAGGAATCCAACGCCGTGTCAATGAGCTTAAAAAGGAACTCCAAACAATTCAAGATGCCACGTCCTCACTCGTCTCAATGTTACAAGCGAATGCAGTTGATGATGAAAACGACGCCGTGGAAGAATATATGGAGCGTCTCATTAAAGATGTCAAACCCGGTGATGAACACGACGCGTTGGAGGAATTGCGAGACAGCTATGCAATTAAGAAGGAAGCATTTTCCAGCGTGGAAAATGATAACGATTGTAAACTGGATATGCAGAAGGTTGACGCGTTGCTGGACTCTTTACTGTCATTGAAGTTGTCGGGGGATTGTCTCAGACAAAAGGTGAATCCTATAAGTGAAAAGGTAGGGGGCAAAATTTGGCAACGGAAAAGATGTGAAGGGGATGATAAAGATAAATGCAACATTTGCTAGCCAATAAATTGATGAAAATGTCTTATCTTATTTTTCGATGGAATTTAGTTTCTCTAAATATATAATTCGATAACAAATTAGATGCACCTTGCAAAATTCTATTTTAATCGGACAACCTTCAAATATTTGCATATCGTGAATTTGTGACGCAGCAATACACATTTTGCAAAATTTCAAATTGGTAAGTATAAAATTTACATATTCCGAAGTTCCATAAGTTAGCTCTGTACTATAAATGAGGACGATAGGTATTAAATATCGTAGTACGAGAAATGCACAATAATCTACAATTTGTAACTTAATGTACGTACACTTAAATAATTTTGTTATTTGTTATGCTCCAAATGTTGATCAACACACGACTTCCTACAGAAGGAAGTGATCGGAGTTTCTCAGAAATTAAATACGTAAATAATTAAATAAAATTCTCAATTTGCACAAGTTCTGCCATGTTTTCGAGATTCTACAAAAACTTAAATAAACATGTTTGCTCTCCTTAAATTACCTCCACGCTGCAATTATTTCTCCCTTTTTGCCACCCTTGTCGTCGCTTTCCATTTCGCGATAGGATACGATGGCGACAACGACGAGACGACCACTACCTCCCCGGACGATTCCTCCATCGTCGACACCTCCTCCAACAAAACCGTGAAAAAATTTGTGGTCAACTTTCCTCTCATGAATCGTACCGACGTGGAGAGGAACTGTACCAAACTGTCGCTCGGCAAGTGTTGGTCGAGTGATTATCTCCTCCCAATTTGCGCCTCGAATATGATCGTGTATCAAAATCCGGGCGTCTTTGTGTGTGCCCAGGTCTGCTACCCGGGTAGGTTAGCAGGTCAAAGGTCACGTTATTCATGACTTAATGAAGCTTACTTTAATTTTACACATGTAGACATTGAGCTGGAAATCTTTTGTGACCCTCACGGCACCGACGTAGACGAATTGCAATGGTGTAAAAAATGTAAAGAAAAAATTACACAGAGTCGTGCCATTGCCGTGGCGGCAAACGCCACGGCGCAAGTTGTGGTGGAGGATGGAGGCGATGGAGGAGGAGGTGAAGAACAGCCTCCCCCATCGGAAGATGGTCAAGGTGGTGGTGGTGATGTCGGTCCCCCTCCGACCGACGGCAATAACGCCGCCCCCACTGGCGACGAAGCACCACCACCACCACCACCACCGGAACAAGACCTTCCTCCCGTGGAGTCAAACGATCTCGGCGGCGGTGGCGACAATCCGGATCAACCTGCGGACGGAATGCCAAAGAAAAAACGAAGAAAACACAAGAAACCAAACAATTCAACAAAATAATTACAAAATTGTATTTCTTTCTGAAAACTTGGAATTTTAATTCTTGAGAATATCAATATTTAAGTAATAAAATATTTACAATTAATAATTAGATATTTTTTAATTTTTACCCTGAAAAAGAAATCACAATTTAACAAGTCTTTTAAAAAATATTGTGATTTTGTGGAAGCATGATAAATTTCATGGCGCTTAATACTTACATAATTACTAGTTATCATTTGCACTTATCGCGTCGTCCATTTAAAAAATCAGTAATAAAATACTTACTTGCATAATTTTAAAAATGTGTAAAAAAAATCAGTCTAAATTTGATGGCCTGCACCCAAATATGTAATAAGCATTTTTTAACTCTTCTTTATCAACCAAGGAAATACAGCACGGTAGCTGCAATGAGTCCCAGAACGACGGAAATTTGCAACCCAGACGCTCCTGCCGTCGGTCGCAGTGGCCCCCGACCAGGTGTCGATGGGATTACGTCATCGCCAGGCATGACGTTTTGGTACAGGGCGAAATTAACCGTCCTCAAAAGAGCGTTCTTGATGCCGCAGGTGGATCGAAAGTCGTCCGTGTCGATTGACCAGATCATAGCGCCGCGAAGTTTTTTCTGAGTGATGTACTTTACCTAAGGAAATTAAGAGATGTGGTGATCATCATCTTCATAAAAATAATTCATGAAAATGTTACCTTTTCCCTTATGCTGTCTGGGTTATCGAAGGAGACCCATTTATTCCCGTTCCGCATGTAAGGAACCTTCGCCACGTCGTCCCAATATGTCGTCCAGTCGCCTCGACTGGCCGTCAATTCGCGACAAATCTGCGAAAAAATTCAAGATTTCAATTTCACAAATTCGCAAATTTTCACAAGAAAGACTGACCTCATTATATCCCAGAAATCCATCCTCCTTAGTATACGGGCCTTGAAACCCTTTATCCATCGCACCCTGAAATAGCCCCGCTCGTACCGACGCATTCCTTCCGGTCGAGCTTGACAAGGCGTCACCGAGCTGCCCCTCGTCCGGAATTATGAAAGTCCTCCCGTAAAATGGCAGCCCGATGACGAGCTTGTGCGGTGGGACGCCTTGGGCCAAGTAGTAGTCGACACTCTCAGCGATACTGCCATCCCCCTTGGGAGCGTAGAGGGGTGCGTTGTGTCCCGTTTTCCTATCCCAGGCGCCATGATAGTCGTAACACCTAGATCAGATTAATTAATAATTAGGTAAATTTGTGGTTATCCAGTCGGATTGATAAGTGGATGTACATACATCAAGTGAATGTGGTCCAAAAGACCGGCCAGCTCGCGGAGTTCGTACCCTTTCGTCGCCGTTGATAAGGCCGGACCAAACGCAGAGGTTAACATGAGTCCGTACTTGTCGAATTTGTGGCGTAATTCCTATTTGCATATTATTCCAATAATAAAATTAGTTAGATATTTATTACAGTGGTGTTTCCTTACCTGAACTAAGATGGTAAATTGTCGCTTATCATCCATACTGCCGCCACGGTCAGCCGGGAACTCCCAATCTAGGTCTAATCCGTCAAAACCGTAGCGTTGAATCAGGTCAAGCGCAGATTGGATGAAAACTTGACGATTTTGGCTATTTCCGGCCATTTGTGAGTACTTTTTGGACCCTTCGTTCCATCCGCCTGGCAAAAAAACAGCAGAAACATCATAATTTAAAATTTTCAGAGAAAAATAGTCCTTATAAATTTTCCTCACCAATTGCCAAAAGAACTTTTAAATGGGGATACTTTGCCTTGAAATCGTTGAACCGCTTGAACCATTCTGTGCAAAAAAATATTTTCACCATCAAGAAAAATTCGCACATATTTTCACCATCAAGTAAAAATCGCAATATCGTTACCTCTACCACCCCCATTCTCCTGAAGTTTCTGGTCTAACCATGGATCCAACGGTTTCATGATGAAGGTCGTATTGTCCAACCCTGCGAAACTGTAGATAAGATGGGTGCAAAGGTTAGGCTCAATATGGTCAATGTCAAACGCCCCCTCGTCCGGTTTTCGGTACGTCGCCCATGTCGCGACGTAACACACGACGACTTTTTTATGCGCTTGGACTCCTGCCATATACAATTAATTAATTAACATTAATTAAAACCCTCCATTAACTTAAATAATTATCCAACTTACTCGCCCTCTGATAATCTCCACGAAAAGTTAAATTCAAATTGGTGACCTCTCTCACGCTGGGATCTTCTCCCTCATCCATGCTCGATACCGTATTTGAGACAGAATTCGCCTCCTTCAGAAACAAGAGGACGAAACCAACGACGACGAGGAAGTGAATTGATGTCCAACCAGACATCGTCATAATAATTGTTCTTTTCTGAAATAATAATATTATTTACAAGCTTTACATAAACAAAATTAGATTCCCAACTTCTTAACTTAATTGTTTACCAGGATGCAGTTTTATTTTGTTATTTAAATTGTAACTTATTCACAGATTTATAATAAACCTCAAAAATCACATGTTATTGCCTCCTTTTAAGCTACACTAACTGATAAACTGAGGCTTCTTCTTGGGTTAAAATTTACAACAGGAAATGCTACGCTGCAGCTCAGGTATTAATAAAATCAGAGCAGGTGAGTATAGGATAGGTGAAAAACCAGGTAGGTTTAACAACACAGGGCTCGTATTTAACGGAATATGGAACTATTTAAGAAAGGAAGGCAACTTAAGCCAACTAAAAATACATATAAACCTTGGCTATGTAGTGAAATATATGGTTAGTTCGTTGATTAGTTAGCTATATACCCTTCGAAAATGGACACCTCTTACTTTACCAAGTACTTGATAATATTATACGAATTTTTGAGGGTATATAACAGTCAGTCATGTTATCATGGCGTGATTGCACATAAAATGCATGCGTGTAATGTAATATAATATGTATTTACTATTTACCAAAACCAACGCCAAAAGTGAAGGGGATTGGATTTTTAGAATGCATTTCTTGCATTTTATTATCATAAATAGCAATAAATAGCTTGATTGGTTGCAAGTAGTGCAACTTTATGGTATTCATAAAGCAAATTAAATTACTGAAGAAGTAAAATTATTAAGTTCTCGAGAACGAATGAATGACATCTTTTAAACAATTTTAAGCAAATAACTTCTCTAAAATATGATAACGGCGTTAAAACCTTATAAATAATTTAAACATTGCACTTTTGGAGGCAATTCAAGGGCACCTTTAAATAATTTCATTTAAATAAACTTCCGTAAACTGTGATAACGGCGTCAAAACTTACAGATTTTAAATCCTATTTTAAACCCAGCACCAAAAATTTCACAGTAAAATAAAAATATGCACTTGAAAATTAATTCTCTTCGTTTTTACGGAAAACTTTTCCAAAATTGTCAATTTTTTTAAAAACTCTATTACACTTTAGAAATACTTCCCTTCCTTAATTTGTGAGATTTCAGAATTTTAAATATTTCAAAATGTGATAATTTCCTTTAATTAAACTTTAAATTGTGTATGTACTTACTGATAAAATTCTATTTTTAACACCTTAACCAATTAAGAAACTAAGATTACAAACTAAATTTCGTTTTAATCCTGACCACAATACGTCAACTCTTAATCAATTTCATGCAACTACTAAATATGATACAAATTATTACTGCAATTATTCCTTCGTCAACGATTCTATGAGGGTATTCATTATTTCTTCGTATCCATCGTATCGTAAAATAGTTTACGAAGAAAAAACAAGGGGTCAGGTTTAGTAAAAATCGTAAGCGTAGTAACGTGATTTTCGATGACAAAATCTTACGACGCTTACAAAATCTCGTAAGCGTCGTAAGTTATTTTACGATACGAAGAATACTAAGGATACGAAGAAATAATGAATATCTATGTATTTCGTGGAAATTATTAAGTTATTACTGCTATTAAATTATCTCTCCACTTTGTAAAATGGGATCACACACTGTACATAAACTCAAACGTCTTATCTCCTCGTGATCATGCTCATCTTGGTGTGAGGAGCAACTCATCCAAGTCAAAATAACAATATAAAAGCGTGAGTCATAATAATAATTCGAGTGAATTTCAAGGTTGCTAAATTGTTATGCATGCGTATGAAATGTTATTCAGTTGGTTTTATTTTATTATTGAGTCAAAAACTGGACCAAGAAATCACGCATCGAATTATCAGAGTCGTGGCTTCATGGAATTAGTTCTGTCTCTCTGCGAGGGAAAAAATATTGCAAAAAAATTTGCAAATTATTGTATAATACTTTTCTACCACGCCCTTATTCTGAGTAATCGACAGCGTGGTAATGATTTCATCGGAATAAGAATTGCATGTAAAAGTAAACAATAAAATGGGAAGAATAATGGTTTCTGAATAATTATTTGTAAAAAGTAAAATAATCAGTTTTCATAATAATTGGAACTCGATAATCAATCAAGTAATTTTTGCACATTAAATTCAGCATCTCAAATACTTCACAAAACTATGAAGAGAGACCTGAATGACTAAAATTATATTAAACTTTGCTAAAAAAATAAAATTGGCGACTAATTTCGCCATATTTTGAAACAATTGAACTTTTACTTTTTGCTCTGATTTTGAATTGATCCTCCAATTATAATATAGACAGTAAAGACAATGCAATGATGATGAGGCGTTTTCAAGGTGTCACCTCCTCCTCAACTAATTTACATGCATAATTTGCCACATTATCACATTATAAACGATGCAGAAACATGATAACGTAATTATTATCAAGGCCGGTTCTTAATAAAATCAAATATTATAATTATAAATGTGATTAAGAAAATAATTGTTAAAATTCACGGAATTTTAAAAAAACGAATTTTCATGTCTTATGTAGAGTACACTCGGTGACAATTTTGTTACCACAGGGTATGAAAATTCGTGGACTTGCATGCAAGAAATCTTTAAATCTATTTAAAAAACTGCAAATTCTACCATCATATTAAATTGAATTTTCCAAAAAAAATACTCGATTTCATGTTAAATTTAGAAATATAATTACAAAAAAACAATACTTACACCCATGCAGATTTTCCCCCAATAAATCGATAAACAGATCAAAAGCTGTGTCCACTATCCGGTAACAAATGTCAGGTGCGACGGTCCACGCAAAAAATATCGTGATTACGAAAATACACAAAAATATTACAAACTCTAAAATTTCCTTTAAAACGATCTGAATGATATTTTCCATTTTCTGCTCAATATGGACTGACTGACCAGATACGAGTGAATAGATTTTGGGAAAAATAATATGTCTCCTTAATGACGAGAACCCTTTTTCCAAGAACAAAACAACAAAAGAAAAAGTCCCGTTGCATGGAAAACTTGGGTTTGCCAGTTAAAAATAACTAGGTAATGGTTAACGACATGCAAACAAAGAAGAACACGTTTTTTATGCATGTTTTATGTATCATTTCTGAAATTTTGGTATACTTTCAACTTTTGAATTTGATTGGAAAAGTTTTTAATCTTTCATGCAAAAAATTTCAGTGTCACTGAATGAAAGATACAAAGTGATCCGGATTTATCTATCATGTTTGTATATCCTTGAACAAATTAAATACCTTAAAACGACGTTTAAATCATTCTAATCTAAAAGTTGCTGGATATTAAAAGTTTATTTAAATATTGATAAGCTAACTAAATGAGTACCAATAGCGTTTATACTTCACGATTTCACGGTAACTTTCCTATCTTGCAATGCTACGTACATATATATGGGTACATCACGAGATAATAAAATTATCGCGAACTCATGAAGTGTAAACGCAACTTATGAAGCGCAAAATTAATAACAAACTAGCGAAAATATGTTAATCTCAATAAAAATTCTCTCCCAAAAATTTCACATCAATTTAAAACACAAATTTCAATCAATTTTCATAAAATTATCATCACTTTCTCCGTTTTGAAAAAGTATGCACTCATCTGAAGCATGCATGCAACAGTATTTGCGTATAAATTTGCTCAGACTTTAGCAAATCTTGCTTACAATAAAAATTCCCTCACAAAAATTTCACACCCGCTTAAAACACGAGTTTCAAAAATTTTTTATGAAACCATCATAACTTTCCCAGTCTTGAAAAAGTATGCATGCAACAGTATTTGCGAATAAATTTGCTCAGATTTTAGCAAACCTTGCTTGCTTACACATGTTCTCACTCACTCACTCACGTGGAGGGTGGTGATTCATCGTTTCCGCATTTATCGATCCAGCCAGCCAGGCAGGCAGCATGTTTTCTCCGCTGCTTTCACTCAACCTACTTTCTCCACCAGTAATGGAATGGAGAGTGAAAGTAGAGTAAGTAAAAGTATTCAGTCCACAAAAACACGGGCAGAATGGCAACCAGAGAAAGTCTCTAATCGCATTTTGTCTAGTTTTCCAATCCAACTACACAAATTCACTCAGGATCAACGAGACGACTCCATACAATAAAATATTTAGTGTAATCTCTGTGTCCACTACAATTTCCCAGCCTGTCTGCTGCTCAACGCAAAAAATACAATCGATCCAGAGAGAAGAAGCTCCCAGACAAGACAAATTGCAAATAAATAAATTTGCGAAATTTGGCAAATTAATTAAACTAAATCAGCTTTAAATTCCAATTTGATATAAATTCGCGAATCTTTAATCGGGAAAGAAATTTGCATCTGTTTATTTTGTCTGCAAAAATTTTGGGCATGAATTTCCTCACATAATTTTGACCTACATTTTAATACTTTTGTTATTTGTGTCAAAAAATTATGGCGGATTACGACTTTAGTGACATTAGTGAATCTTCGTATGCTGATGCGAGAGCCGATACGCCCACTCTTGATGGAGAACGTGGATCGGATTCTGAGGTCAGTTTTATAAATTTGTAAATTTTTTAACACTTTGAAAAGTGAAGGATTAAATTAGAATCACAATTTCGCATTAATAACATACATATGTAAATATTTGGCAAATTCATCTCTAATAAAATACGAACATGCCAAATTTTGGCATTCGCGAATCTACATACATATTTTTGCAAAACAACTCAAAATATTGATTGACGTGGTTAGTTGAAATCAAAGAGAAAATTCAATTAGCTGCAAAAATTACTATCTATTTTCTTGTCGTCCATTGTTACGTCTACCTCGCCCCATAATTATCTGTAAATATGTACATGCATGCAGTATGCACTTCTTGAAATTTGGGATTTAACTTTGAAAATGTTGAGTTGACCAATATACAAATCAGTAGATTTGCACATTCGCTGATCGTGATCTTCACGACATGGTCACTGCTTTCCATCCCATTCATGGATCAAGAGATTATCTTTGTTTATTTACTTATTTCCGAAATTCAATATTCTTCGTGACTTTCGGTTCACGACGTTCACGTCCACGTCCACCTGTCATAACCAACCTCAAGCAAATAAACTTTGTGCAAATTTTGTGCAAATTTTATTCCCTCATGTCTTATTTGTTCTATAGTATGTACGATTTAAATCTCTCTCTCTATTTATTTACACATACTTATTTCCCTTGATAACGTACATGCGTACTGATAAGCTAAATATTTATGAATATGTCAAAAAAGGAGCATGTGTGTGAGTCCACCTGTCCAAATACTAGTAAAATGATCGTATTTTCAGATATAGAAATATCTACGAACGTTGCATATTATTATTCAATTGATGGAATTAAGTGTTTCTTTTATTTGTCAGATTTCGTAACCTTGAACTAATTTTTTTATAACGATTCCTCGTAAATAGAAGAAGTAGATACAAGA